TACTTTAAAGCTAAAGAAAAGAAGCTATCCCCCTATTAAATCGGGTCTTTCTGTATCCTTATAAAAATCGGTACCTAGGCTTATTATATTGTATTATTAGAAAAATACTTAAGATTATATAATGTCTTCTCTATCTCTCTTCTTGAACTATAGAATAGCTGAAATAATAATAACTTATAAATATTAATACTAGAACTTAAAGACGAAGAAGAATAGGAAGTTAAAGAGATTTAAAATAAAAGAGTCTTTAATAGAGTACTATATTACTATATAAAATAAATAGGATAGCCCTTAGAATATAACTAATAGGAACTAGTAGAATACTTAGAAAATATAAGAGATATAATAACTTTATTTAAGAAAAACTAAGCTTATAAAATAGTATCCTAATAATACTAAAAACCCCCTGAAACCCCCCTAAATCACCTTTAAATTAACACTAGATAAAGAAAAGCTATATTAGATAAGACTATTTGGTTAAAAAAGGGGAGGATAAGTAAGATAAAAATAATAAATTACTATAGAATTCTATACTAAGTTATAAGTATCTTAATATTAGTAACTATTACTATTATAACTAGAGTTAAAGCAATCCTAATTGGAGTTATATTATACTAATATCTTACTATAATCTCTACGAAGAAGGATTAAATACTACTTTACTAGAGAGTAAAACTAGTATTATTAATCTATAGATATAAAAGATTATTAAGATAGTGAGGAGGCTAAGTAGAAGATAAATCAATCTCAATATTTAACTCCTTTTATTACTTAGTAATAAATATAGTATATATTCCTATAGCTTAGTCTATATTCTATGAATCGAAATAGAGTTTATAACTAGAAAGATAAATAGAGATTATCTTTTAGAAAGATACTAGGAGATAAGTAGATCCCCCTATAGCTATAGCTTTACTTTCTTTATTCTAGGTAGGTATAGTACCACCAATAATTGTTATAGTAGTACTACTATTTCAAACTTTATGTATCTAGTTAAGGATTAATTAAAGCTAATACAAATTGTTATAAATTCTATAAGATATCTAAAATAAATCAGTACTAAATTGAATATAACTTAGAGAAGAACCTTACCTAAAAGTAATTTTTGCTATACTTTTTATATAAAGTATAAGTAATTAAGTTTATATAATCCTAATTATAATAGATCTTAAGAATAGTATTCTTAGGAGGGCGAAGAGCTATTTTAGTAATATATTTAATATAGAACGTAAAGGAAGGGTAAGTAATTTAATTATAAAGAGGATATAAGCTAGTAGAAGTACTAGTAATACTCCTATTACTTTTATTAATCTTATTATCTCTATTACTATTATCGTTATCTTTATCTCTAGCCTGACCTTTATCTCTAGTTGTACAACAACCACTACAATAAGGAGGATTACTAAAAACACTAGAAGCAGCAGCCTTAGATATATTAAAACGAAATAAGATAAAAGTAGAGAGTGAGAAGATAGAGAGTTAAGAATTAAGAGCTGAGAAAAGGGAAAAGATAAAAGTTAAAAAGACGGGAGAGAAGCTCTTATCTCAAAGATATTAAAGAACCTATATTGCTTTATTTGTATTTATATATAAAGACACCTAAGGTAGTATTAGTCCTAGAATCTTTATTTAATATAACACTACTAGATACAAATTACCCAATTAAATATAAGTCGTATAGATGGTTGAGTTGACTATTATTGAAAGGGGAGGATGAATTGTTACGGGATTCCTGAATCCCTTCGGGTACGATTCGGGTATAATTCATAGTTGCTCCGCGGGTGAATCTACCACGATACACCTACTAATGTATAACTGCCCTAAGCCCTAGTAAGCTCTAGCAATATTAAAATGTATGAATAATAGCTACGATTCTTGTCCTGCAAGAATCAGTTCTATATATCAATTGTTCTATTTGATCTCTACCATCCGATATCCTTGCCTAGTCACAGGTCTCTAGCCTGACAACTTAGTAACCATTACATATTAGACATTAAAGATAAAGAGTAGGTTCTCTATAATAGTTAGTATTATAGTAGATAGCCTAAGACTAGTAATAAGCTAGAGCTAATTCTATTTCTTCTAGAGTATTTAGTATTCTTATATTAGGATAGTTTATATTTAGCTTAGAGTAGTAGAAATAGAAAAGATAGATATAAAACCTTTTATAGATCTTATTAATAGTAGGGATAATTAGGGTATAATAGTTTATAGACTATTAGATAGGTTTAGTAGGGTATTCCTAGTAATACTAGATCTTAGAGCTATTATATATAAATAATAGTCTAGTTAGCTGGGTGGTATAGCCTAAGGGCCTTTATTATATAGCTTTAGTAACTAAGGATCTAATAGAGGTAGGGTTAATAGGAGTAGTGGAGGAGAAGGAGAAGAAAGAGAAGGAGAAGAATCTTATTTATTTAGATTAGTAGAGATAGATTATTTAGCTATAGTCTTACTATTCTTTCCCTCTAGTAATCCTTTTTATATATCCTATTCCTCTAGTAGGATATCCCTATTAGCTTATATAGATACCCTAGGCCTATCTTAATTACTATTAAGTCTTTTATTAGTAGATAGTAGAAGGGATGATTTTATTTAGCTTTAGGTAAGCTAAGGGGTAGTCTATAGAATAGATAGAGTAATAGTAGTAGAGATTAAAGTAGTGATAGTAGGGGTTAGTTATATAGTTAAAGGGTTTTATAGTACTATACTAAGTATTATATTAAGGGCTCTTATAATCTAGTAGTAATAGTATTAATTATTAGTAAATTAGTATTAGGTATAGATCTACTAGAGTAGTAGTCTATAGACTAGAGAATAGCTTTAGTAATAGTACTCCTAGATTTATTAAGTATTATTATTAAAATAGATCCTATAGGTCCTATAATACTAGACTTAATAGATTGGGAGCTATAGGATTATATTATTATTATAGGGAAGTAACAGGAAGTCTATATAATTAGATTAGGGAAGAATATTACTAAATAGAGCCTAGAGTTATAGGCGATAGTTATAGATCTTCTATATATAATATATTTCCTAAAGATAATACTATATTATCTAGCCTAGGACTATAATCTAGTATATCTAGTAGAGGATTATATTATACTTAGGATAGTAATAGTATAAGGATAGTATTATTATAGTCTAGATTATTTTAGTTAAGGGGGAATCTAGAAGGAAATGTTTTTAGATTAGTAGGATTAGAGAACTAATCCCTAATCTAAGTACTTAAGGGAATTAATCCTTATTTATAGTTATATATTATTATTTCCTTTTTTTACTTTTTCCTATTTTTTAGAGAGTATTAGATTTCTTAGGATCTAATATAATTAGATCTTCTTAATAGTTTATTAGCTAGCTATTAATTCTTATACTTAGATCTAAACTATAACGAAATAGAGTTTATATCTTAAGAAAAATATAGTATAGACTTTAATTTAAGATCTTAGGTTAGATATTTCTTAATAGATATTTAAAGTTCTCTATATTTATAGATTAGGAACTACTAAAGATAGGTAATAAGTAGTATAAACCCTAGTTAGACTATATTTTAACTAATAATAATTATCGGGCGAATTATATCTTATAATTAGTCTAGGTTATAGCTAGTTACTACTATTGGTAAGGATAGTACTCTATAGGAGTATATAGTTATTGGTAAGATTATCTAAATTATATAATTATAGAGATCCTAAAGTTAGTAGAAGATACTATTCTCTATATAAATAAACTAATAGGGATCCTATTAATATTATACCCTTCTTTTAGTCCTAGAGAGGTATTCTAATAGATTAGTAGCCTTAGAGAGGGATTAAAGAAGTTTAATTACTCTTTACTATCTCTAATTTTAATCCTAGAGAGGAGAGGATTATATTAGATAAAGAGATATAAGATATAGATATAGAGATATATATTACTATGATTCTAGTTTATATATAGGATTAAATTCTATACGCCGGTAGGGACTAATTGACTAAAGGTATTATTACTATTAATTAAACCTTAAGTAAGCCTTATAGACTATTTATCTAATATCTATTATATATCTTTTAAAGTGACACAATTGATATTATAGTCGGTATATTAGGCAAAACTAGTCGGGAGACCTAATCCTAATAGGTATATATCGGTTAATAGATTATAATAGAGGGCCTCCTAGATATAATACCTACCGTTCGATAGCGCACGCTGAGACGGATTGAACGATCCCAGGCTTCTAGAGATAGAACGGAGATCGGAGGGAGACACGGCGACGGCAGTCGCGGGGCCGGGGGGTGCCGCGCACCGTACGCGGCGGGCCGGCGGGGGCCGCGGCAGCCGGCGTATAATATTAATAAGCTTTATTAAAAAGCTAATCTAAATATCTTAAAGATTAGAGATTTAGGAGAAGATACTATCTTAGACCTACTTTTTACTTAGACCCACTCAGTACCCCCCCCCCTTGCCAAGACTTCATAACGCGGAGACCACCACCCCCCGGGGTCAGGCCCGACTATAGTTATAGTTAGTTGAATCTGATCTTAGTAATATAAATTCGGTGCTAAGAGAAAAGTAGTATTCTACGTGGTGTAGTTCAGAGGTATGAATTGATTAAGTTTCTACCAAGGGAATAATTGAGGCTTGATCGGTAACCTCACACACTCAAAAAGACAAAAGAGACAGCAGTTTGGCCATAACAGGTCATCTGTCGCTGCAGTCTCAACACATCTAGCGTATATACTTGTGATTCACGCACGTTTTGATAGAAACAGAAGCCAAAATATATTGATTTCGTATAGACACCTAAACAACGGCATCATTGTTCAATAGGGTTATAAATATGATTACTCATTCACACATGATTGTAGAAAGCACAATGTGACATAACAGAATAAGAGCTAGAATGGACAACTTTTAGACAGGAACTGATTTCGTTCTTAATCAAATCTATAGTGGATCATCTTCAGTGTAAAAACGATGGTGGACAATAGCCCAATAATTTGTTGACCAAGAACGAATTATTTGTCCTGCTGACCTTTAGTTTCCCAAGATTCAGGTTTCCATTCCCAATTTGTATGGCACACAGTAGAAATGCTGCAGGGGCCATATGGTTTGGTATGAGTGGAAGTAGCAGGGCAAACAGTAATTGTAGTGCAAGAGCCATACGATTTAGTGCGAGTAGGGGTAGTGCATGTGGTGGTTTCAGTAGGCCGAGTAGTCGTCGGCTCCTCAGTAGTGGTAGGTTCTTCGGTAGTGGTAGGTTCTTCGGTAGTAGTTGGCTCCTCGGTAGTAGTAGGTTCTTCGGTGGTAGTGGTCGGTTCCTCAGTAGTAGTAGGTTCTTCGGTAGTGGTAGGCTCTTCAGTGGTAGTAGTCGGCTCCTCAGTACTAGTAGTTGGCTCCTCGGTAGTAGTTGGCTCCTCAGTACTAGTAGTTGGCTCCTCAGTAGTGGTAGGTTCTCCGGTAGTGGTAGGCTCTTCAGTGGTAGTGGTCGGTTCCTCAGTAGTAGTAGGTTCTTCGGTAGTAGTGGTCGGTTCCTCAGTAGTAGTAGGTTCTTCGGTGGTAGTGGTCGGTTCCTCAGTAGTAGTAGGTTCTTCAGTGGTAGTAGTCGGCTCCTCAGTACTAGTAGTTGGCTCCTCGGTAGTAGTTGGCTCCTCAGTACTAGTAGTTGGCTCCTCGGTAGTAGTAGGTTCTTCGGTGGTAGTGGTCGGTTCCTCAGTAGTAGTAGGTTCTTCGGTGGTAGTGGTCGGTTCCTCAGTAGTAGTAGGTTCTTCAGTGGTAGTAGTCGGCTCCTCAGTACTAGTAGTTGGCTCCTCGGTAGTAGTTGGCTCCTCAGTACTAGTAGTTGGCTCCTCGGTAGTAGTAGGTTCTTCGGTGGTAGTGGTCGGTTCCTCAGTAGTAGTAGGTTCTTCGGTGGTAGTGGTCGGTTCCTCAGTAGTGGTAGGTTCTTCAGTGGTAGTGGTCGGTTCCTCAGTGGTAGTAGGTTCTTCGGTAGTGGTAGGCTCTTCAGTGGTAGTAGTCGGCTCCTCAGTAGTAGTAGGTTCTTCGGCGGTAGTGGTCGGTTCTTCAGTGGTAGTAGGTTCTTCGGTAGTGGTAGGCTCTTCGGTAGTGATAGACTCTTCAGTGGTAGTAGTCGGTTCTTCGGTGGTAGTGGTCGGCTCCTCAGTAGTAGTAGGTTCTTCAGTGGTAGTGGTCGGTTCCTCAGTGGTAGTAGGTTCTCCGGTAGTGGTAGACTCTTCAGTGGTAGTAGTCGGTTCCTCAGTAGTAGTAGGTTCTTCGGTGGTAGTGGTCGGTTCCTCAGTAGTAGTAGGTTCTTCGGTGGTAGTGGTCGGTTCTTCAGTGGTAGTAGGTTCTTCGGTAGTGGTAGGCTCTTCAGTGGTAGTGGTCGGTTCCTCAGTAGTAGTAGGTTCTTCGGCGGTAGTGGTCGGTTCTTCAGTGGTAGTAGGTTCTTCGGTAGTGGTAGGCTCTTCGGTAGTGATAGACTCTTCAGTGGTAGTAGTCGGTTCTTCGGTGGTAGTGGTCAGCTCCTCAGTACTAGTAGTTGGTTCTTCGGTGGTAGTAGTTGGCTCCTCAGTAGTAGTAGATTCTTCAGTAGTGGTAGGTTCTCCGGTGGTGGTAGTAGGTTCTTCAGTGATAGTAGTCGTCTCCTCAGTAGTAGTAGGTTCTTCGGTAGTGGTCGGCTCCTCAGTGGTGGTAGGTTCTTCAGTAGTAGTCGGTTCCTCAGTAGTTGTAGGCCCGACCGTGGTTGTTGTAGTAGTCGGCTGTGGACATGTTAATGTGAAGGAGAAATACCGGAATTGTGGCCCATCGTAGAACTCCTCTCCAGCCGTCGCAAATAAATTAGCGTCTCTGTTTGGATCGTAGTTGAGACTCTGGGTGATGATGTAGAAAGTTTCTCCACAGGCCGTAGTAGGGTCGGTAAAACTATTGATAGGAATAGTACATGTTACCCCTAGGTTGCCATTTGTCAACATGCACTGTCCTTCATTAGTGCTATAAGGAAATCCGTCAGGACTTTGAGGAGGCGGATCAACTCCAATCCAAACACCAGCGTAATAATAGAAGAACCCTCCAGCAGTCTCTCCGTAATTCACAATCATACTGGGACCAGAAACTTCCAAGCATACTGATGTCCCATAGTCGATAGTTCCTATATACTGTTCCGCGCACATGGGCACTATTCCGGTTGGCACAGTGACCTGCCTTTGAAATAAAGCATTGGCTCCATAGTTGCCTTGCTTACCCCGAGGTAGTATATCTGTGGTAGCTGCAGCAATAGAAGTATACAGCGCTAGAAGGCTCATCATGGTCTTCAAGTAATCTTTCATTCTGTCAGTAGTTTCACTAATGGGGTATTGTGAACAAAATTAGTGATGTCGATTCAACTCTGAACTAAGCAAAGCAGACTCTTCGGCCATTTTTATATGAACATTGAGGTGTTTTTACCTATATAGGATTATCTTCAGTCGTGATGTCACTTGCATTGACCAGATGGTAAGTTTCAACATATCCTGCTTTCCTCCAACCTTCATAGAATCACCCGATTAGTAGTAGTAGAATGAATTGAATTGACATATTCCCTAAATGTAAGGAACCAACGGATTATATTGTATCATTACAAGCTACTTCACTACTTTAAGCTTGATTCTAATTATACTCAAGCTCTAGAACCCTAACGATTTCACCCTCATACGTGCAAGGATTGCTTGGTGATATAACCATGGACGCAAGATTCAATTCCCATCCATTATTACATTTTTATACAATTCATGACGGTTCAAAAAGCTGACGGAGGCATTCCGGTTGCTCCAAACGCTGGCATTATAAGCACTAAGTTCTGCGGTTACAAATATCCTCTTCGCTTGCAGAACGTCTTAGTAATTCTTCGGGTTTGTAGAAAGGGTGGTCCCTTACAACCATTGTAAACTTCAGACCCAGACTGCAAGTAACACTGGATATTTATTCCCACAATTGTAGGATTGAACTTTAGTTTTTTTGCTGGATAGGGTCTAGAATTTTGATTTACGCGTTTCTTCAGATGTGGTGTTGACTTCCGCTTCATCCGATTGGGCCCGAGCAAATTCTTTCAATGCAAAAGATTTCCATTGACTTTCCGAGACGGGCCGCATTGTAGCTTCTTTTCTACTATACTCCGTTTTCAAAGACCGCTCAGCACCCGGCTGATATCAAAGGACGCGGGTGCATATCACATGGCGGCACATAATCAAGGTCCAAACAGGAAATCAATATCAAAGGAGTGGCGTACTCTCCTTCGAAATACCCCGCATTGACAAGAGGCCAGAGCGAATCAGGTTACTCACGTCATAGAAAGGATAAAAGATCTGATTATTATTGATTCTTTGAAGCTTCTTCAAGCATCAGTCTTGGTTACTATTCATAGTCAAATCTGAATCTAGCCCGTTACATACCATCCGCCTTCTTGCCTAGTCAGTATTCTATCTTTACAATCATTTTGGTATTTGTGGTTTGAATATATTTATTGAAACACGACGAAAATACAATTAATACTATGGCGCTCCATGGACGCAACCAGTTATGCGGCAGAAAATGTGACCGCCCGTAAGATCAGCGTCCCAAATTTACTAGCGTTCCCTATACGAAATTGGACACGGCTACTACGCCTAAAGCTAAAGTCTTCCCACGCTGCCTAAGCCGCCTCTGCCGCCGCCTCCTTCTCCACTTATCTCCCAGCGTAGAATTATCTGAATAGCTTTATTGTTAGCTTGGCTGATTGATTTAGGAGATATAATTATCACGTATAGTAGTGTAGTCATATACTGAACACATAAATTTTGAGATAGAGCAATTTGTAAGGGCGGATTAGCTTCGATAGGGGGGGGATAGGGGTAGGGGGGCAAAAGACAGCAAGCCAGCGCCAAGAGGCTTAGTGTACTAACCAGGTCCAAATATGTGTCCAGTGGCGCACTTAAAGTCTGGCGTGAACATATTTTGGAAAATTTTGGGCCGTACAAGGCTCTAGATTCGCCGGAGGGTCTCGGCTGGTCGATCGGATGGGTAACGCGGCCCCTTAGCGCCTCTGGAATGAAGAAAAAACAAGATGGACGTACTACTTATAACACGATCGATGAACATGTTCAACACCACTGCTACACTACCCTTGATATGAACCTTGGCCAGTAGCTCAAAGTTTTTCCACCTGCGAATTTGCAGACACACTGTCAGCATAAGTTTCCGCAAACGGACTGCCCCAGCGAAGAAGCCCAGAACGTTTCTGTGACATTGACTGAAGTGTCAACTAGGTCTCTTGTTCCGGGATTTTACTCATATTACAGAATAGTAAAGAGAGTTAACTAGTTAGGTTAGTTAACTATCAACCATTTTTCATTTATCCAGCATGAGCAACTGCCGTCCTGTGGCCCCAAAATATTACCTCATGTCGACAGACCATGAGATTTTCGCATTCGCTACTATATATAACTTGATACAAGGACAAATTTTTGGGATTTTCAGCTGCTACAGAGTGGCAGAATTACTTAAAAAAAGTCGCAAGTCCATTTGAACCAAGGTATATAAATCAGACTAAATTCCGCAAAATAATTCATCAACTAATAAGCGCTATAAAAAGCATGGCACCACCGTCGCAGTTTCTCAGAAGCAAATATTTCGTCCTTTACAGTCTGTTATCGATCGGCTTCACCATATACTTACTCATTGTTTCTTCCTCTTCGATTACTTTTGGTACCCTATCAGCTGCCGACCGCCATCCCAAGCAGCACATCCCAAATCGAGGTTCCTACGCCATCGCCATTTTTCTGGCCTCCAAATCCAATGAGAGGCCAGAAGAGAGCGACGACAACGACGGCTATTACGTGAGCGCCCGGACAATTGTGTACCAGCTGCTTCATTCCCCCAGCACCAAGCTGAGATATCCAGTCCCCTTGGTAATTTTGGTTAGCCAACATGCTAGGGAAAGCAAGCGCCAGAGGCTAAGGGACGATGGGGCTATTGTCGTTGAGGTCGACGAAGTAGCGCACAATATGACTATTACGATAGACCGCTGGACTGACACTTTCACCAAACTGCGCTTGTTTGATCCTAGCGTCGTGCCCTACCAGAAAGTCCTTCTTATGGACGCGGATATAGCTTTGACACGTCCTATCGACGCAATTTTCCAAGACAGCAATACCGACTTATACGAGACGAACCAAACAGCTCTTACCGAGCCAGAACGAGAATCACTCCCTGAGAAATATGTTATGGCGGCGTCACCTGAGTCTCTACAACGAGACCATTCCTATCCCTTTCTTGATCCCGACAATCTATCAACTCGTTTTAACTCCGGCTTGCTCATATATTCGCCTTCCACCGAGCTTTTCCAATATTACTTAAAGCTCCTCCAAAACCCGGACCTGTATTATACCGGTGGCCCTGACCAGGATCTCCTCAACTACGCACATCGCTGGGGAGGACCTATGCCATGGAGAAGACTGCATTATTCATGGTATCTCAATTGGCCCAACGATAATGACTTAAAAGGAAATATGGCTATCTTGCATACCAAGTGGTGGGATCATAAATTTTCTTATTCCTCCGATAGCGTGGAGAAGTTTGCTTTTGCACGGAGATGGGAAATGGAAGGCTACTGGATAGGAAAAGAAGGACAGAAATCTCACTAGAAAAGGAAACTTGCCGTTATTGTTCTTTCCTGAACTATTTATGATGATCACCTAGAGGCGCTGTGCCACCGGCTGCGGCTCCTTCCAAGACATACAATCAATATATTGTGGTAGAACATATTAGCCTTACGCGTCCCGACACCGTTTTGAAGGGTAGAGATTGCCTGCCATTATTTTTTACTATAGTTGACTACAGCGGCGACTCGGAAAACCCCTGCGGTAATGTTCTCGGACTCAACCACCTGGGTGGCACTCGAATTCCCGCATGAGGAATCCTCCCGACGCACCACTCACGCCTGTTCCTGTACGTTCGTCAGACGTTTCCCAGAACATTCCCTAATATTCCCCACACGTCAGGTCGCGGGATATACATAGTAGCTAGAGACTACGTTTCCTCTTACTATTGGTATATAGCGGACCTCTATTATCTGGTTTTATCAACCTCCTAGTATATCTCTCGGATCGAAAGAATGATATCTTTGCCTTCTAAGCCTTCCGCATCTGTATATGCCAACCCTAAGAGAAAACTGACTGTAAGAATTAGAACAGGATGACGGGATTGCAGGACAGGAGCTTACGGTAACATAGATTGTGAGATCGTTCTCATTAAACGTTGATACGGCGCTCCCGCCATAGAGGAATGGAAAATCATACATTCACGCATCTCTCAAACAACTATAATACCAAATAGCAAAATCTGTCGATTGCACATTGAAGAGGTGATAGGTGAAGAGATAACTCGAAGTACAGAGGTCAGACACGAACAATACTTATACCTGAAGCCGCGAGTTGAAGCCAGAACAAGTGGGTACTGGAAATAGCTCGAGAATATTAATAGCCTCCGGTGTGATGGTCTGTACAGAGCTGTATGTTAAGCGTGGACTGGGTGAATTGTGTTGATGTCTACTCACACCGTGAACCTTCATGCGAAGATCAGATTGATTGATCTACATCACCCGGCAACGCTTGGATCTCACCTTATTCCGAATTGTTACATTATTGTACTGTGTTAGCGTCTGTATGAATGGAAACAAGATCTACTAGTAGCTTGGCCTAGGCCGGGTCTTCCGGCCTACAAGAGTTTAGTGGTGTTGTCATCGACAACAGGCTCACAATAATTCATAGTTTAATATTATTGTGTTATGTAGCGTCTGTATGAATAGAGCCTGGCACGGATACAGTAGTCTACTTTAATAGCCTGCCCTGGACCCTGAACAGGGTCTTCCGGTTGCGAAATAGTTTCGCGGAGTGGTGAGTCATCATTGATGGCTCACGTATAACTAGTTAGTTAAGATCGCCGTATTGCCAAATATGTGGAGCCCCGAAGCTATTTGTCGACGCTGATTGGTTCCCGGATTCGCCATAAATCTGTGAAGAATCATCCGCAAAGTATCTAACGCGCAAATGTCATAGACGATGGTACACCTAATTCATGATATCATAAGTAAGACGCATAAAGAGTCATGGCAAGGTCAGCAGCAAGACAAGCGTGGACGACAGCTAACAGCGTTATCTTTCTGGGTCGAATTAAGTGGCTCAAAGTGATTCATAGGTGATGCAAGTTCCAAGCCACTGCATTCCTAGGCCACCTCTTCGACTTCTCATGTTACCCTTGTAAGTTTTGTTAGACTCATATTCATAGCAGAGGAAGAAGTATTTCTTGTTGCTCGGATTTATCTATCAATCAACTTGCTTTGTACGACCTTGGACCTTACGAAGTAGGTCGCAGACGGTTCGAACACAATGCCGGTGCATACATTCCATACAATCCATCTCCACCTGAGCACCAAGATTAGAAGAGCCATATTGTTTTCTGTCGTGGCCGTCTTTTCTATCTTGCTTCTACTTATATGTCAATTCCAAATATCTACGATTGCCAGCTTTCTGAATCCTGTGAACTCGGATCTCAACTTCTACCGCTCGAGCAAACCCAATTATTACGAATTTTCGCCAGATGCAATCCGTTGGCGAATCCATGCTGCCCACGAGCAAGCGCAAGTGGCCTTTACAACTCAATCGACCAATCCTCAAGAGGCTATATCCGAGTATAAACGGCGCTATCGGCGCGACCCTCCCTCTGGTTTTAGCAAATGGGTCCAGTTCGCCCTTGATCATGGCTCGAAAGTAATTGACGATTTCGACGAAATAAGCCGCGACCTTGAGCCATTCCGGACACCAGAAGCTCAAAGTTGGTTTCATCAACTCAATAATCGGAAGGAAAATTGGGCCAATACCCGCCGTGTTATTATGGAGAATGGAGCGATGAATGCCTCTTCATCCGATGGATTTTGGAATACGCTAGTTAGCCCATTCCTCCATGCTCTACCAAATAATAGCGTCTTTTATATAAACACTCTCGATGAGCCACGGGTCTTAAGCAGGCCTGGACCCCTACCAGATCAAATCAAGTTTCTCGAATCTGCCGGTCAATCGATTGAAGACCTTTTGAAGGCCTCATGTTCACAAATTTCACGTGAAATTTCTGGGCATCTGGACCCCGAAAAGGACGTCTGCCAATTCTCTACGCCTAGCAAGCTTCATTCGATGATTGCATCTCCCTCCTCTTTCTCATATACTTTTTCACTCCTTCCAATTTTGAGCTACGCTCGAATGTCTGCATTCAGAGATATCTTAATACCATGTCCTGACTATGTTCGACAGCCTGTGTTAGATTCTGATAAGATAATACCCTTCCTGGAGAAGAAAGCAGGCGTTTACTGGCGGGGAAGGTCTACTGGGGGGAGAGTGAAACGACTAAATTGGAAGGATGGTCATCGACAACGATTTGTATCATTCACACAGTCACTTCAAAATGGGGCCAAGTCGCTCGACACTAGCAGGTATTTCGGCGCCAAGATCGGGAATCTGGATCAGAAGAAGATTTCACTTTTTAAAGACGTGTTTGATGTTCAGATGGCAGACTATATTCAGTGCGAAGATAAGTCTGCATGTGACGATATGCAGCGAGTCCTCGGCCACGAATACAAAGAATCGCAGGAATCATCTCTTAACTACCGATACCTATTCGACCTCGATGGAAACAGCATGACGTCCCGCTTTTACCGTCTTCTTTCTCAAGAAGCCGTCGTTCTAAAGCAGACATTGTTTCAAGAGTGGCATGATGACCGTCTCATCCCATGGGCTCACTATATTCCGGTCACAATGAGTATGGACGAGCTTCCTGAGCTACTCAACTTCCTGATCAATGACCCCGAGGGTGAGGAACTTTCACTCAAGATTGCACAAACAGCATCTACATGGTCTCGGCAAGCTCTCCGTGAGATTGATATGTCTATCTATCTTTATCGACTTCTTCTAGAACTAGCAGAGATATTTGGCCCCGTGGACCCGCTGCAGCCAGGATACAGAGCTGTAATGGAACCTGGTACTTAGATATGTGTTCATAAGAAAAGAAAATAACTGTAGGAGAAAGGCAAATCACGCACAAAAATATATACTCCCTCGAAAATATAACAGAAAAAGAAAAGGGGGATATTAGAAGCCAAAATATGGCGACATATTGGGGTTCAATGCTGGCAGAATATAAAATTCCACTAAAGTTGGCGCCACGCCTCATTTGAATGAGCGGACGATCAGCAAGAGAAACGTTTGAAGTCCATGGTAGCATCTAAATCGGCGGAGCTCGGCATCTGGCTGCAGTATATTTGGTAAAGCCTATTGTCCTATCCCAAGGGACCCGCAGCAGTCAGGCTCACTGCTCATTTGTGTGGGTGCTTATGTATAGGTATTATTTGGATCTACTACCCTGACTGCTCTCTTTGCTTCCTACCCTGACTACTTATAATTAGGCTTCCACAGATACTGGTTCCGGTATGGATTTTGAGAACCGGACCCGCACAGGATCTGGCCCGGGATGAAGTGCTAAGAACCAGATCCAGACCGGAACCAATGACTGGGAACCCATATTTCCCAGTCTTGTCCCAGTAGCTTTGTTGTACTTTGCAAGCTTTGTCTTTACAGCTTCTAAAGCTTTGCGCATGCTTTCTTTTCAGGAGACACTATTCCAGAATCTTTATAGCATCACCAAGATGACTGAAGAGCTTATTGTAGACATTGAATACAGAGTGTACAATAACATCACGAGACGTTGAGAGCATATTGCTAGATCAAAGAAATGCTTTGTGATAAGCAGTAGGACACATTGGCTCAATTAGCCACTGGTCGAGCTAAAGAATACACTCACCTTTTTCATAGCTGTCCTCAATTCGCCTATTTGGGCACCGATAATTTGGGCCCATCGGCCATATGGCCTCTCGGCGCTTGATCTCTGCATATGCGCCCTTACGGATTGACTTATCAATTTTAGGAAGAGGGAAATTGTAGGGTGGGGGGATGACCTTTTCTGGGCCATTTTCCCCGGTCTTCTGATAAACTGACCTCAAAAACAATACATTTCAATATCTATTTTCCACTAATAGCGCCCACTCTCTGTGCTATCTTAATCGTTTGATCCAGTGTATCCTTTTCCGCGGGGGTGAAGTTGAATACATGATCGGCTGACAGACAGCAGATGTTGTTTCCTTCAAGCTTCCAAGATCTGCCTTCTTCGAAGGTTCTTGGCTCTCTAATAAAAGCTTCAAAATTAGTAGGCCGTCTATTCTGATTGGGAGAGAATTTGTTTGGTAGCAGCCAGCCATTAAACCAAAGTGGACGGCCATCCACTCCAAGGTGTAGTAATTGAGGTGCGCAGATCGTAAAGATTTGTTGTTGGGGTTGCAGGTTCAAGTCTGTTTGCTCATTATACCTGGTTTCGTTCATGATTGGCAAAGATAGTGAGTCTTCAGCTTCTGCTTTCGCCCGAACCATCCCCATAACAGCAGCATCGCCATCATGAAATGCATAGTCGGTGTCTCCAACAAGCTCCCAGCTCAGCCAGAAAGTCTCTTTATCGCCTATTCAAAGTCAGCGGGCGTCAACTGAATCAGGGGAACCTCGGGATCTCCCACCAAACACCATATCGTATACACCGATGCGGCCTTCCTTTTTATTTCCGTCACGATCTGGACCATTCATTCGGGTTACCATGAGAAGTGCACAGAAGTGTCTCCACTTGTCGACAACCACCACTCCAGATTCTTGCATGTGACCGCTTTCACCTGTCCATAATCGGCTTTTTCTGGCTTGTTTGGATATAGGGGTTGGCAAAATCCGTCTCAACCAGGCTTTTTTCGACTGCGGCATGAAAAGCCGATCTTTGAAGAACAATGCCCCTGTCCTTCGATATGATTGATCCAGGAATAATTGCGTTGGGTCTTCTACAAAGAGTGAGTCCGCATCAATGAAGATTGCTTCTCGGAAGCTTGATAAGAGGATTGCAAAAGGCTTCGCCGCCCAACCACGCAGTTTCCACCCATTGTCATTGACCATTAAGCTTAAATCACGAGTGATCACTCCCGGAATAGATTCAAGTTCTTCTCTGTAATCCTCGCCTAAATCGTCATTTCCAAGATACATCACTTCAATCGGCAAATCCGACCCTAGATTCCTAATTGATTGAATGGAGGTCAGCAAGTACGGAGCTTGTTTGTCTCCAGCAGTGAAAACAATCCCGCGACCGGCGTTCCAGAATTGGGTATGGAGAGTTGTGTGGTCCGCAAAATAAGGCGCTGTCCATGGCAAAAGAAGCATCGATAATTGGGCGAGGCAATACCGGTATGCTTCATAGGTATGAGTTAAGTGGATATGATCCATGCCAAGACGGTGGGCGATTTCAGGATGGCGTCTCAAAGTCTGCAGAACATCGTCGCGGACTAAGAGTTGGTCTTTCGCCTGAACAAGGTGCAGAGATTCCCAGGCATCCAACAGTGTTTTGTAGGCTCGAAACCGGATACCTACTTCGCGGATTTTTCTTTCCCCCGTCCCTTCAATAGGGCTAATCAAGTCGTGCACATGTGCTTCATCGGGTAACAGTGTAAGGACCTTTTCAAGGCTTCGCGTGAATCTATCCAAAATGCTGTTCTCTCTATCATCGGCGATAGAAAAAAGTGATTCATCGTGCAAAGGGTATTGGAAATCAACGGTTCCAATGGACTTATCTCGATGCTCAAGCTTTTGCAGCGGAGCCTTGAGGGGCATGTGCACTTCATGGTCGTATGCGGCCAACCCATGGCCTCTCAACGTAGAGACAGTCTTTTTGTAACAATATCCCACAAATAGAATGACTGTAATAGTTCTCCATAAAGCCATCCGGCGCCGGTATGGAGTAGGCAAAGATGATAAATAACTCATTTGAGACATTCATGAGGTAGAAAGTAGCCTAGCAAGTTGATTGAATTGAGAAGGATCAGTAGATTCCAAGTTGGAACAGACTATGATTACTCTTATCTGCGGTAATGTGACAGTCGTTTTCCGTATAAGTGCAATTTAGAGACTTATAACGCAGTGATAATAAATGCGTAGACGGAATTAGGGTTTCAATCCAGGGTTGTATGTGATCCCATTATGTTCGACAGTTTTGGCGACTGTGGTTTCATTTTATCCGGAGAAAATCAGAAGTAGCGACACAGATTCTCCGAAATCCGGTCAAAGTACAGTCTAAGGATCATAAACCCAATAATCATGATTATCAGTAGGACGGAACGCAACTAAAAGAAACTTCAACGCGGCCTCTCGGAAAGTTTAAACTTTGTTTTTGCTTTTAATGAATTTTTGTCTGGGGGCCAGTCGGATGGAGCGGAGTTCAACTCCATACTCAAAAGAAATGTTAATAATTCGGAACTCTAGATCCACCCCACAATCCACAGAAATTAAGGTTCAATTCAAAGAATGTCGAGATCAATCTATAATCCTACTTGCTATCTGAATCTAAAGCTTGCTGGGTTGCCACAGATCACTTTTCCAACACGCCCAAAGAGGATTTAGACGCTCTGCAAATGAAGATAATTTTTCTAAACGTGGAACTTTCTGCTTGTGATGTAGTGTAGCTACATGGAGGAGGTCGGCCGGCGGGCATGTTTGCTTGGTTTGACCCACTATCGGATACAGACCAATCACCTGATTGGTCTGAGAGTGGGATCCCTATATGTACGTCGCATAGCTCTCTCTCTCTTCTTCCCTTTTCCTCAACATTGTTATTCGTTGTTCTTCGCACCTTTCTCCATCTTGGTAGATCGTAGGCACCTCATCACATGTGACATCAGACTTGGAGCAGTCTAAATGCTCTCATTAGACCGTGTCAAACCGAGGGGTGGTATTTTCAACTTTGGAGGATAAAGCATAATCTGGTAGTTCCCTTTAATTACCGAAAAATTTGAATGAGTTCTTATTGCTATTAATAGATGTGACTATTTGACCAGGTTAGGTAGGGGATTGCATCGTTGGTTGAAATAATGGTTTGAGCAAGGATGATGTGAAACCAACTTTCTGGTCAGTGTAGGTGACATCATGACTAAAGAGACTCCTACTTTAGACGAATGGCATCCATTTTCATATATATGTGGTCGAATATTCTAGCTAGATGAGTTCAAAATCGAATCAACACCAGCTAATATGCACTATTTCCCGCTTGCGAAACTGCGGTCAAAATGAAGGTTCATTTGAAACTTGTGATGAGCTGGCCCTGCACGCTTTTGTCGCTCGAGGGAAAGCGAATATATTACCTTGGATCAGGAGAGTCTACTACCAACGTAACGTTTTGTTTGAAAGGCAGGCCATTATGCCAAGTGGGAAAGTTCCCACGTGTGCTGAACAGCGGATTGGAAATGTCGACTATGGGACGTCATTGTGTCTTGACGTGTCTGGCTTCAATTTGATTATTGATTATTGCAAAAATACAGGCTTCGAATACATAGACGTTGATATTTGGATTGGAACCGGCTCGCCGCCCGCGAGTCATAATTTTCCTGTCCCCCACACGTATCCTTATGGTATCACACAGGGACACTGTATTTTGGCTACTGACGGGCTTACGGCGATATGACCATCCCTATCAATATTTTGGCAGATCCTGTTACAGCATGTGGGGCAACATTCAGCATTTTCACCTACAGCAGCAATTTCAATCTAGGGGGAAATTATGAGACTGTTGGGACAGCCGGGAATAAGTTTCTTCTGCCGGCCCGCTGGTTCCGATATTTCGCTTTCACATCACTATGTTCACAACTACTACCACTGAGGAACATACAACCACTGAACAACCTACCTACTACCACTGGAGGTGAATTCTACGAATGCGGAAATCAATTCAACTAGTGAAGAGGGGAAATAGGCCTATATTGGAATACTAGTCAGAAAAATCCACAACAAAACATCAATATCTTTCCCTGGTCAACGCGAGAAATCAGAATTTCAGAACACGAGCAAAAGAGTGTAAGAATTATGTTGTGTGTATTATTCTGGAACTAATCGTAACGCGATGCTATATAACTAGGAGGAATAAAAAAAGGGAGATAATAACTCTATGACTTTAAGGGTTATTCCTAATGGGATAGAGGTTTTCCCTACTACACTAGTTAGTTAGTTAACGTAATTCCCGGGCGGGTCGTACACCCAACTGAGCCATACACCCTATCAAAAATCATGTCTTCCTACCGATATACCAACTTTAACTAGTAATACTATACGGAATCCTCTATATAATGTTGGCTAATCGCGTCAATAGTATATAATTATATATTGATATACGCCCAAATAGCTATAAATTGACAAAATTGGAAGAGGATTTACTTATTGAATAGATATCTTCTATAGATATATATAGAGTAGTATCTAGATTAGTTACTATACAAAAGATAGCTAATATATTACTAGCTATATATAGTAGCTACTCTCTACCTACAATTAATAAAAATTAGCTATTAAATTTTATAAATCAATATAAAGAGATTTACTTATACTTCTTTAGGTGCTATAACTATTAATATATATTAAATAAAGATCCTAAATTACTATAAGAGTAGTTTGTGACTATATAATATATTATTAATAATAATAGTATATAGATAGAGGATATCTATAACTTTAATAAGATAGGATTTATAATAGATCTTATTTTAGTATAGAAAATAGTTATATGGGCTAGATACTATAGTTAGAGAGCTATATTATAACTAGAAAACTATAAATAGGTTACTATTATTAAAACTATTTACGTAGATAGTTATTTATTACTATTATATATAATTTTTAAAAGCAAAGTTATTATTGCTAATTAGTTTAATAGTCTACTAAAAGACTATTAATTTAAGGTCTTAAATAATAGCTAGACTACTAATAAAATTATTCTATATTAGCTATAGAATCTATTTATCCTATATTTAAATTTATATATATATAACTAGTTTTAGCTATTAATTCTTAATAGCTATAGTAGTTATCTTATAACTAAATTTAACTAGATCTATATAGAAAATAATATTATACTACTTTATATACCTATATATTCTTTATATTTATTATAATTATTTAATATTAGATATTTTATAGTACTTAAATATATATATAGTTATTTTATAAATAATCTTATATATATAGGCTATAACTGTCACGGGATTCCTGAATCCCTTCGGGTACGATTCGGGTACGATTCATAGCTGCTCCGCGGGTGAATCTACTACGATACACCCGCTAATGTATGACTGCCCTAAGCCCTAGCAAGCTCTAGCAATATTAAAACGCACGAACAATAGCTACGATTCTTGTCCTGCAAGAATCAGTTCTGTATATCAACTGTTCTATTTGATCTCTACCATCCGATATCCTTGCCTAGTCACAGGTCTCTAGCCTGACAACTTAGTAACTATTACAATAACTATATTAATAAGTTTAATTTTTTAGATAACTACTAATATATAAGACTAGAAGTGTTCAGAAAGCTAATTATTATTTAATATAGCTTTATAGTTACTGGTCTAGTACCTATTAATCTAGAAAGAGTACTTTTAAAGCTTAGTATCTCTTTATAAACGCTAATACCCCTAGGAAGTCAACTAAGCAGTAGATCTAGCTAATTTATACCAAAAACACTAAGAACTATTATTTAACTACAAAAATAAGCTTCTATAATAAAAGATCTATTAAAATAATAATCAAATAGTTTACTAAGCCTATCGAAGACTATATTAGATCAAATTATTAAAGGCTACTATATATCGCTACACAATATAGCTGTTACGAGCTGGTCCTGCTGTACAGTGAGTAGATATAGTCCTTTGGTCTATACGTACCTTAAGTGTATTCTACAGTCGTACCGTTGCCTTAAAGCCTTACACGGGCTCAGACCTGTAAGAGTACTTGAAAAGGGGCGTGCAGAAGGAGGGCTCTCAATAGTTTGTCAGAGATAAACTATTAATTGGATTTAAGTCGCGTTTGAGGAAGTCAGATCGAAATATGACTAGGACAATAATAAGGGTAAATTGAGTTACAAACTATATTGCAGAAAGTAGTAATCCAAGTATAATAATGAAATTAAATACAAAGAACTAAATATATAATGGTAATGACTGTCTCTTATATATCCTAATCCTTTGTATACTTCTATAGTGACTCCTAGGGGGTAGATCACAGAGTTACTGTAACTCCCTGTATACTCCTGGGGTAGATTAGGAGTAGATAGTTATATAACTATGGAATGCACAATTGTCTTGAGGGATAATTGTTATTTATACTAAGGAGGCCGTTTCTGGTAGTCTCCGTACCGTCCTGTACTTATAATGAGTATAGGTTATAGTGGTTAGTAGGAGACTATTTATAGCTCCTTTTCTGAAGTATTTTCTAGTCCCGGTGCCTAGGGATCCTTGGGTACCGGATCCTGCACGTGACTTCATAGCTCCGTGTTGAACGTAGAACTGATTGGCTCTCGTTAGTCCAAAGTTGGACTTAGCCCCGGTGGGTCTGTAACAATAGCGTTACTAGCATAAGAAAACACAAATTTATATATAGCCAATAAGAAAAAATACTAAAAACGTAATCGATTAAATAGGTAGATACCCTATAATACTAGTTTAACAGTCGAAGAGGGCCTATAGCTAGCTATATAGCTAAATTTACTAGATAATGTCGAACTCCGCAGGAGAAGATTACCACCTTTCCTATTACAGATTGATGATTCAGCGCGTGCTTAGATCCTATATTACTGTTTTTGTATATAAAGCGCACGTAAGCGTACGTAAGGGCTATACAACTAGCCTATACGAATCAGGCAAGATCGCTCAACTCGATCGAGCACCTAGATAGAACAACCCTCTCTGAATGGTATCCAGTTGTACTAGTTTATACGCGTTCGCCCCTATCCGACAGATAAAGCCACCCTAGTAGATTCAAATACATAGGGTAAAACGCCTATTTAGCTAGGTCAGCCAGCCAAAAGAGCTCTGCCTCGGTGTAGTGGATGTGGGAATATTGGCCATAAGATCAATCGATGTATAAATCGCGTTATTTAGCTAAATTGATATGTGTTGGCTAATATATATTGATTTAAATTCTTCTAATGGGTTGGGTGTACGACCCGCCCGGGAATTACGTTATACAGTACCGCTTATTAATCTGAATCTTATGATGCAATATGTCACCCCTTCCGAATGCTCCAACAGAAACAAGTCTCTTTGCAACTGAAGGTAGTTTAGTTTCTTTAATTCGAGAACTAAGTGCTTGTAATGCTAGCATTTGGTAACTAAAAGCTTTTCTCAGAATGTTGGGCCCATCATTGCTTGTAGGGAAACGTGATAAACAATAAATGAGAATGAAGTATCAGCAAGTAATGCTTGAACAGGAAAATGGAACCGTTGGGGTCATAGACCTCGAATAACGTTTAGCTTGAACTACACATCAGGATCTAAGGATACATCATATCGATGTAGTTCTCTATACCCCGAAGTTTAATGGGACAGCTACTAATGGGTATTACTGTTTGGCCAGCTTAGAATAGCTGATTATATTGTGTGATGTAACGAAACCTTGAATGGAAATGATGTGAAAAACTTCATATCTTGTCATTGCAAGCGACATCAAAATTGAACCTAATTATGTTCTGGACACACTGCCACAATAAGTCCATCACAATCCATCCCTAATGGCAAGCAGCGGATTTGATCGTTCCAAATCATTTTCACCCAAATGAATGATCTTTTTAAACTGTGTATGTAGCTCCGTTCTTATTTTATGGCTTTGTCAACAAAAAAATTATAGCACGTTACCAAGAAGGAGACAGGTTAGAAAACCTAAACGTGAATAACTGCGGTACATGGTGCTTGTAAACCGCATTTCCGCATTCATTGCTGAGAGAACCAAGCCCGTGTCAGCTGATACCCGCCCAAGATCCGTGCATTCCCGAGCTGGGACCCACCTAAGCAAGTGCGCATCCGCTGGATTGGAGCAGGCGGGCCCGGCTTTTACGCGCCAAGGCCGCCTCGGTAAGATTTATTGGTAAATTTCGTGCAGTGTTGTTCATGTAAAAAGCTTGTGATGTTAGATTGGATTCCCAAAGAGCCTGTAGCGTGATTATCAATTTTGTCCCTGATGCACTGGAGACGCGGCAGCTTCGAAAATTGATCACCATACGAACGCAGGCGGATCCCATGGTGTAAATCCGTTTAAATTTTCATTTGAGCTAACTTCTCTGGTTTTCAGCTACTCAATAACACACCATATCTGTTTTTGCTGGAGGAATTGTGAAAGATAATTCAAGGGGTAGATTTATTGCCTGGAAGAACTCTGCTTTATCCCAATTGCTTGAAATGTAAGGAGGTTGAGCGTTGATTCTGAATTTAGTGATGTCAACTCTAGCCAAAATCTAATCAATTAGTCTGTGGTCAGGACAATCTAGACCTCACTTTAAAGTTTAGGAAGGTGAAATTCAAGTTTCAAGGGTTCGGAAATGGCAGGCGACGCCTCCCATGGCCTAACCATGGCCCAAAGCCCAGTCCTGTCAATCATGACTCTTAGTGAGCATGACTTTCATTTCATACCCACGAGTGAGTCAATTCAAAGATATATCTAACGTACACCCTTAGGAATATTATCCGCAACTCCCTTCTATGATAATAAATTGGCGTTTTCAGTTAATTTGGGCTTTTTTTACAGCCAAATCAAGTTAAGTCCCCTAGTAATTGACAATACAAATTATCAAACATGCGCCTTGTCATTGGTATTGGTGTGTTTGCAGTAATCAAATTAGCTGCTGCAGTGGGGCCATGCTTTTGTTGTGATATCGAAACCATTCAGTCTGGTGGGGGTATCACTTATGTAGATGGATATGGGAATTGCGAAGATATTACAGGCAAGTGAAGCGGAAGTTTTAGAAACACAAAGAGCTAACATCGTTTATACTAGACTGCAATCCTTCTTCCTGTGATGGGAGGAGTTATATAATTTGTTCCGACCCAAACATCGTAAGGTCTCAATTTATTTCTTGGATTTCACGTTCATTTAGGCTAACAAATGGAGTAGTTTTTTGCATTTCACCCCCCTGAATATGTCAACTGTTGGTTTCTAACTCCTGCGACCACCACCACTGAGGAACCTACCACTACCGAGGAACCGACTACTACCACTGAAGAGTCTACCACTACCGAAGAACCTACTACTACTGAGGAACCGACCACTACCACTGAGGAACCTACTACCACTGAGGAGCCAACTACTACTGAGGAACCGACTACTACCACCACCGAGGAACCAACTACTACCACCGAAGAACCTACTACTACTGAGGGACCGACCACTACTACCGAAGAACCTACTACTACTGAGGAACCGACCACTACCACTGAGGAACCTACTACCACTGAGGAGCCAACTACTACTGAGGAACCAACTACTACTGAAGAATCTACTACCACTGAGGAGCCAACTACTACTACCACTGAGGAACCAACTACCACCACCGAAGAACCTACTACTACTGAGGAACCGACCACTACCACCGAAGAACCTACTACTACTGAGGAACCGACCACTACCACTGAGGAACCTACTACCACTGAGGAGCCAACTACCACTGAGGAACCAACTACTACTGAAGAATCTACTACCACTGAGGAGCCAACTACTACTACCACTGAGGAACCAACTACCACCACCGAAGAACCTACTACTACTGAGGAACCGACCACTACCACCGAAGAACCTACTACTACTGAGGAACCGACCACTACCACTGAGGAACCTACTACCACTGAGGAGCCAACTACCACTGAGGAACCTACCACTACCGAGGAGCCAACTACCACTGAGGAACCTACTACTACTGAAGAACCTACTACCACTGAGGAGCCAACTACCACTGAGGAGCCGACTACCACTGAGGAGCCGACTACTACTACCACCGAGGAACCAACTACCACTGAGGAACCTACTACTACTGAAGAACCTACTACCACTGAGGAGCCAACTACCACTGAGGAGCCGACTACTACTACCACTAAGGAACCTACTACTACTGAAGAACCTACTACCACCGAGGGGCCAACTACCACTGAGGAGCCAACTACCACTGAGGAGCCGACTACTACTACCACCGAGGAACCAACCACCACTGAGGAACCTACTACTACTGAAGAACCTACTACCACCGAGGGGCCAACTACCACTGAGGAGCCAACTACCACTGAGGAGCCGACTACTACTACCACCGAGGAACCAACCACCACTGAGGAACCTACTACTACTGAAGAACCTACTACCACTGAGGAGCCAACTACCACTGAGGAGCCGACTACTACTACCACCGAGGAACCAACTACCACTGAGGAACCTACTACCACCGAGGGGCCAACTACCACTGAGGAGCCGACTACTACTAAGGAGCCGACAACTACTGTAGAACCTACTAGCACTGAGGAGCCAACTACTACCACCGCCGAGGAACCTACCACCACGACATCTGAGTGTACAACCTATACACTTAGCAGAGTCTCTAACGGTCCTTGTGAAACAATCACCCAATGTGGCCCACTTCGGCAATGGCAAACGAAGCCCTGGACAACAAGTCTGACCTACTCTTGGAAGCGTTGGAACCAGGGCTAAATCCACGATATGTTCGTGCCCGAGCAGTAGTGTGTGTAAAATGCGTTTATGGATAGCACGATACTATTTGTTTCGTCAATAATGACCCTTTCAATAGGCTAGTCCAAAAGTTATTGAATCAACCTTTTCTCGTTTTTTTCCCTCCTCAGTACACCGAGTATGAGGACTTTAACCCCATATTTCTTTCCCTTGCACCAATTCTTTCGATACGAATATTGATTCGATGGCCTACTATTGTTCTGCTCATCATATTCCAATTGTACTTGTTTCCTCTTTGTGCGTATGAGACTTTGCAATGCAAGGTCCAAAGGGTTTCCTTCGATCTGAAGGAAAAAGAGATGCGGATGGATTGAACATCAATAACGAAATAAATATCAAACTTGGAAATTGGAGCTAGGGTGAGAAAGATGTAGAGATGAGATAGGAAGTTACGTGTACTGGTTGTGTGTGTGAAGTTCATAGACTATGTAAATCGGACCTGCTGATCCACCAATCTGCCGACTTCAAAAATCAGATACAGGACCGCAAGCCGGCCAGCTTCTACAAGTAGGAGCAGTCGAGGCGGTTGGCATTGGTAAAGAAGATGATTTAAACCAAATAACTCAACGCATTCAACGAGAGTAACGAAGCTGGGGAAAGAAGAAGAGAAGGAGAGAAGCCGTGAGATGGCGAGAGCATATCACCATGGCTGCTTCGGCTATCTAATCTACACAGATAATAGATATCGTACATCACGTCCATAACATAGAGTGTTTTTAACTTGCATACCAAACAAAGATTGGTTAGGTCCCTTCGGATTTATCCGAAAGATACAAATTCCTTGAAACCTCCCGAGGACCTGTAACCTTCGTTGAGTATGTACGCGTATGTGAGTTCAAATTACACTCTAATTTAATCTTTAATAAGACTTAATCTCGAAGCACGTTATGCGCTATCTGAATCGCACAATAAAACCTTCCAGGGCTTGGAGACTCGATATTGCCACTGGTGGTGAAAGATTGTCCAGCCTCATGTCAGAATATTTGAACAATAATTACATCTTATTTAACGGAAGCACGCCATTCAAATGAAATCTCATGCAAAACAATATAGGAATCATGGATTTAGAGGAACTTTGACTCTTGTTTCCAGGAGAGCGTCTCGCTTGTAATTGTGCTTGGGCAAGAACCAAGTCTAAAATTTCAATCTGAATGTTTCAGCCATTGTTCAATACCTACCTGCAAAAGGATGATGGAAGCCAGGTCAAATTTCAGTCAAGTATTTTGTTTTTACCCGTACTAAGTAGTATCAGTGGAATACAGTCGTTGTTGCCATGGCCCTCCCTTTGAACCCCGCAAGTTGACCCGGTTGTGGCGTGCTTTGATTCTATATTGCATCATATCTTTTCCGAAAAGTCGGGATGGAGCAATAATATACTATATGTGTATAATGTTGGTAAGCGCACAAATTCAAGGATTATTATTTAAGAGGACGAAAGGCCATTTATCGTTGTCTGGTTTTAGTTTGACATACGCACACTCGCCGTTCTTGTGACTATGTCTGCCACCATCACCATCGCGCAGCCTGGACCGACACTGTATATCAGGTCAGACACTGAAACTTTTCCAACACCCTTGGAACTCTCTGGCGCTCTAGATTCTTTTAGACATGTTGAGTCGACACCTGTCATCGGTCGTGAATACCCCGAGGTGAACCTTGTGGACGACATCCTCAACGCCAGGAACGCAGACGAGCTCATCCGAGACCTAGCAATTACCAGTCAGTCAATTTGCTCATAGAAACTATGTTCATTATATACTGATTCCTTTTCAACAGTCAGTCAAAGGGGCGTGGTCTTCTTCCGGGCACAAGACAACTTGACCGACGACTTGCATAAACTCCTGACTCAGCGACTTGGAGAGCTTGTTAACAAGCCTCGAGACTCGACTCTTCATATTCACCCACTGCTAAATGGAACAACCGAGTTTGGCGTTCCTGACAACGAGATCAGCATCATCTCTTCAGAAGGGTTTAAAAAGTATGCGCCACAGCAGCAGGAGCCCGACCGCGATAACCGCAAGGCTGGCGCAGCATCTTGGCACAGCGATATCCAATTCGAGCCTTTCCCAGCCGACTACACAAGCTTAAGATTGACTGAGTTGCCTCCAACAGGCGGGGATACGTTATGGGCATCGGGTTATGAGCTATACGACCGGTTCAGTGACGCATATCGTCGGTTTTTGGAGGGTCTGACCGCAACATTCAGCGGGGATGGCTTCCTTAAGGCGGTTGCAGATCGTCCTGATAAGTTCCAAGTCTATAAAGAGTCGCGAGGAAACCCCGCAAACATTGGTGACGAATTGAAGGCCGTGCACCCCGTTGTACGTACCAATCCAGTGACGGGCTGGAAGTCTATTTATGCTGTAGGGAACTTTCCGCGACGTATTAACCAGCTGAGCAAGCGTGAGAGTGATGACCTGTTGAGGCTATTTTATCAGAGAATTGAAGAGAATCATGATCTTCAGGTTAGATTTAAATGGGTGAATAAGAACGATATTGGTAGGTTTTGGTCTCATGAGAAACCGAGCGACAGGCTGACAGTCACATCTAGCATTCTGGGATAACCGCAGCGTTTTTCACAGCGCAACAAACGACTATGACAACTTGGGCGCTCGGGTTGGTCATCGTGCTGTTGGAATTGGAGAGAAGCCATACTTCGATTCACGAAGCAAATCAAGAACCTCGGACCTGTTAAGCAAGTAATTGGGCGTTGCTCAGTATGGTTGGATTAGAAGGGGACTTGTGTCTCTCTATCTAAAATGGTCAACGATAAGCGCACCTGGACATTTCCCCACTACTAGTAGTATCAGATTTTGTTGGTCTTCCGTACATTAAGCAATGTCATAAAGTTGAATTACTGTTTCATGAAGTGATAAGTACATGGTATTTTGCGTTGTCTTTCTGCGCCAGCCAATAGCTTTATGAGACAAAAGCCTGCTCTGTAGCTCAAAGCCATCTATTCGGTTTATGGATAGTATCCTATTAATTTCCATTCTCGAGCACCACGTAATGCACGACATATTGCTCTGCTCTATGCTCATCTTTGGACTCGGAGTTACGCCATAGGAAGAGCCAGCCGCTTGCAAAAGGCCCATCTGATATGCAATTCGCGTCAGGGCATTCATTGCCGGCTGCTTTGCGTCCCTTCCAACTGCAGGTGATGTGATTATCATTCTCAGAGGCCACATGATTCTCAAAGAATCTGCCCAACAAGGGGACGCTGCTGCTTCATCTGGCAGTAGAGCGGGAAGGGTATTCAAGATGCGGTCAGCTCGTTCCTGTGACTGCCTGAAAAGCTCAGCTTGTAGTAGCTTAATACGCTTGACTGCAACAGCAGGCAGCTCAGATGGGCCTGGAAATTTAAATACGAGCTCTAACGTGATGGAATGAACCAGCAATAGGCATGTATCAATGTGATTTTTTATCCGCAATCCTCCACGCTTGCCTCTCATAATCTGAACCGCCGTAGGTGGTTGAGAAGACTCCGATGAAATGCGAGGGGCTCCTCGACGGACGCGTCTGGATGACCTGCAAGGTGATCTCGAGCCGCTGACTAGTTGCTCAATAGCTGCCAGTTTCTCAGGTATTGATATGACTTTGCAGAAGCAAGAATTTGCCTCTCGGCAAGCCCGCTCAACTTCGTCTCCATAAAAGAAAGACGGTAAATAGCGAAGACCGTCGGTTCCCATCTTTGATTTGATATTTTCAAACGATTGCCTTGCTTCTGGAGCAGGATCACTGAGGGAAGTTAAGGATTGAATTTGCTTCATTGCAATTAGTAAATTGATTCGCATGTTGGGAGATAGCCCCTTGTTCAAAATGAAGAAGTATACGAAGACAAAGAAGAGTCGACCGGCTTGGATAGGAAATGCGACTCACGATATACTGATAGCCTAGTTGAAATAACTGGCGGCCAGTACTTGTTTTGAATTGCTCGGCGCCTCTTAATCGTAGTAATTGCTCAAGTGCTGAGCAATGAAAGCCCCAATTGCGCGCACCTCCCCCGGAATCATCTGGGGGGTCCGCTCCCATGAGCTAGAAAATAGTCAGAATAGATTATAGCAATAAAACTTGAGAATAGATGATTGCCTCGTATAAAGATGAAAGCCAAACCGCTAGTACAACTCCATCTTCATTTTGCCGTATAGGATCATACAAAACTGATCGAAGTTCCTGAAGAGCGCTGCCATATAGTTTGCGATGTGTCGTCATCGGCTCTCACGATCCTATTTGATTTGCAAGATAAGCATATCCTACAGCGCGGGAGACTAGCCACAATGTAGATTCTGGCTTAGCGGCAAATAGAAGATTGGGGAATCATTCTAGCGATGCATGTATGCGACCACCAAGCGGAGATGGGAAAGAAAAATTATATACCATTAGTGGCATTATGTGAAGATCCCATGATTCGGACATTTTCACAAGAGGACCTTGAGCAGATAAATCGATTCAAGTTCTGGAAAGGAAGTCTCACCCGAACTATGATTCGCCGGGTTGTTGCTCGGATCAGATGTTTGGGATGTCACAACGTGTCGATCTTGCGTCTTGGGCGCCTCGGTTGATTTCTGTGTACGCTTTCCTCGTCCAGTGAACGGTTCAGCGTTTGAACTTTGAATGTGAGCTGAGGATTGGCCAAATCGCGATATCCCAAATAGAGCCGACCAATCTTTTCGCATCGTCGACAATATGGACGTCCAAGGTCACACTGCCCTTAGTCAGTTAACTGCTTCACTTTATTTACGCAACCTGCGGCGCCTTTCTCGTACGTACCTTGACTCGACGTTGCCGGCAAGTCTCACAATCTTTGCTGGGTGAGCCAGTGTTTACCATCCTGACTGTGTACTATGCTAAATGAGTTTTTCAAGGCTGAGATTTCACAATGCCTTTGGCTTTTTGAAATACCCACCGCGATATCATGGCAAGAGAACCAATCTGTGGAAGGTCCTTCGTCATCCAGGGTCAAAACAATTTTGTGGGCTGAAGGAGGTGAGTGGTGCTGCGCGCGGCCCCCACTAAACCTTGAAAAATTACAATTACTTCTTGATCCAATCATTCATAGATACGGACTCTGGAAGAAGTGATATGTAAATAGCACACCGCCCCTTTTCAGCTTTTCAGGGTCTATCTATGTTTCACATCACGTGCTGCAGTTTCATTAACGCCACATTACAGGCACCACGATCATCATGCTCTATCTTTATCAAGGCATTCATGCCATATAGTATACGAAACGGAAATGATAAAGAAAATCACACCATTCGTGGTTGCTGGAGCTGAGTTACTACCCCTGGGCTCGGGAATATCCAGACAGATTAATCCGCGCAGGATTTCAACGGATTCCATTATTGAAAGCCACCGAAAAAAATATCATGGTTTGGAGTCATTTCAACTAAGAAGAAGACTGCTGCCACTGTCCTCAATATCAAAATCGAACTGGGTAAATTATTCATTAAAGCAAAGATTGATCCTCCAACAGATCATGCCCCGCCCAATGAAAGTAAATCGAATGCAAATTACCCCTCTCTGCTGTGTACTCATTCAGTGTTTGCACGAATGGCAATTTCGGGACAGAGGCTTGACGGATATCAGATGGATCACCACAGGAGTGGTAATGCATGGCATTTGATGAACCTGCATTGGGCATTAAGTTCTGGTTGAGATCCGAATCAAGATCTAGGAAATCCAGATTTACGAGACGGCTAGCTATTTGATTGGCTGGAACGATGGTCTCTGTTTTTTTTGTCGCTTGAACCCATCTGTTAACTGGATGCCTTCTATTCTGGATTTGATGGTTCAAATCCGATTGCGATTCTTCCGACGTTCCGTCGGTCTCGATAAATTCATTCCGTGGAATTTCTTCGAGCAGTGGTGGACTTGCATCCAATCGACGAGTATATTCTAAACAATTCGATTGAATTGTCCATGGTAGCTGCGCCATTGAACACATGGCAGGGATCTCATGAACCAAAGCAGGCAATGAACTTATATATGGCAGACGCCCCACAGAGAGGCTATGATCCACGCATGTCGAAATCAGAAGGTACGCACGTGGGCACCGGCCAAAGGCTTCAAGCCAATTCGATGCCCGGGTAACGGTTGTAGATCTTGAGCTGTTGGGCAGTCGACTGGGAGATAGGCTACCACAGTTTGATCTGGTCCCAGTCTCTTGTATTCCAAATTTTCCGGGGGCTGGTTCATTAGAAAGAAAGACATTCTTAGTTGTTGCGTACGCTAATTGCAAAATGTGGTTGGTTCCAACGGCCACAAAATCTGTCACATCATAAAGTGTCTCTGAGTGTCGAATTATCTTGCTCAGGGAAGCCAAAATCTTCCGCCTGGATTCGGTTTCGTCGCGTGAAGGAGAAAGCTTCAAGTTTATCGCGGCCAGAACAAGCGGCATTCCCACATAGCCCAGTCTAAAAAAGAATATCAATAAAGATATATTACTTCAATTGGAGAATTCCCGTTGACTTACACGCTTAACGGCAGGTTGTCAACATGCCCGTGTGTACTGAAATATTCCATGACAATGTTCAACCCATCAATTCCGCTCTTCAAGTCTTTTCCAATCGAAGCCATAATCTCTCGATAGACATGGCTAGGAAGATCCGAGTATTCTTCTATCAGCAGAGTCAAGTAATGCGCTAGGTCAACACCCGCTGTGCTTTTGAGTCAGCTAGTTAGTAGCTCTTTCTATCTCTCTAGGATAGAATAATGAGAGATAAGCTTACTGGTAGTACATGAATGTCAGATTTCTCAACGGGCCAGATGGGTCGTTGCGTAAATCATCCAAAGGCCCTGAAGATGGCTGAGATTGAGACTCCCATTGAAGTAAGGAATGCTTTATACTCTGAAGTTTATTCATTAAATTTCCAAATTCTTCTTTGTTGTATCTTGAGGCGGGCGTCACACGAGGAGAAAATATCATTATGGCGAGCTCTGTGAGCAGAATTGCCAATTGGCACTGTTCTTGCAACGCAGATAGTAAGGTTTTCTTGCTTTGATAATCATGAAACCTTGAGTTGTGCATCTCGTTGACAAAGTCGTCCTCTGTTAGCCAGTCAAGACACTCATGGAGGTTAATTGATGTGACCTGGGGACAACGACGCAGCCCAATACACAGGCTTCTATCCCGAAGCAAGATTGACCACCACAATCTTTTTTTCATTATACTGTCGAAGTCCTGAAAAGGCAAATAAGGCTGCGCATCCATCATAATAGCATTTTTAATAGCACAGGTAAGCCACAAACTCCCTGATAACGGAGACTCGGCCGAGGTGTGATGGGTTAGAATGATCGCCCCCTGTGCTTTTGCAAATGGCATCATTTCCGCCTTGAGATCAAACAGAAGCTAAAGGTATCAAATAAGCCATCAGATCTAGGCACATCGTATGGTGGTAGCTAATTGGAAGATTCGTACCTTCGCCTTTGTGTATAATCGTGTTCTTGCATCCCGTCGATCGGCAAAGCCACTTTTCCGCAAAGTGTCAGGGTTTACAAACTGTAAATACTTGAATTTAGCCTAGAAAATAGAATTATAATCGCACCTGAAATTAGATAACGCTTACCGAGCAGCTTACAAACAGCACAGCTTGAAAAACAAATAGAGATAACTTCTCTGACGATTATTCGCAGATTGCTCGCCAAAACAAGGCCTCGTCAATTACAGGTAGCATCGGGTGAACTTGTTTGAAGTAGTGACCAACAAACTCTTTCATCAAGTAATTTTCTAGTACGTCGAGAGCTCCCTTCGAACAGAGAAATGCAATGTCTTCTGATGGCAAATTTTTCAAGTTGCCGATATCCAAAAATGGATGTCTCTCAATGTCAGCTAGAGAGTCATGATTTTCCGATGACTTCTCTCCCATCGATACCCCTGAGAGTTTCAGAGATTGGGGACGATATTTCAATTCAAGGCATTTTTCTGCGCTTGGAGACGTGTTTAATGAAGTGATTGGGCTAGTCAAATTCCTCTCACATAGCTGCTCCCTCTGAGAAAACCGCTCTGGACCACTGCCAGCTTTTTGACTATACTCATATTAGTAATCTCTTAAAATTGGGGAAATAAAACGCCAAAGACGTACATCTTAGGAAGCTTTCGGCGGAGAGTACAATCGTCTCGACCATCTTGACGGCAGCGCGTACATGGACAGCCTAATATCGATGCGTCGCATCTGACTTTTCGGTGGTGACACCATGAACATGCGGTGGGGGCTCTCCGCGTTCGGCGAAGCATACTTTCAATTATACAAATTCTGATAGCGTGATTCGTTTCGTGGGTCCTTTATGTGCTCAGGTGTGTTGAAGTGGACTGGCAGTTTTTATCTACGTGATAGGAAGGTTGGGGCCGAAGAGATGCAGGCCGTACGCCAAGCGAGCCCCAGATCACCTGATATCAACTTGAATTATGAATCTCACATTATCCGGGCATAAATCAAATGGACTTAGTTGCTTCAAGACGCAGAGAATTTGGCGACCGTATTCAACGATTCGTTATGTTTAGTTACTCTCCTTTCATAACCACCCCACTTCAAGTTCAAATAGGGCCCCACAGGCACTTATCAATTAGTTTTATATGCTTGCCCGATCATTAATACTTCAAGTTTCTTATTTTCCAACCTCGATTTCCAACCTACTGAAATTTGGACTCTTATAATATCCATGGATTCGATAGACTCGGAGGCGATGATTGAATCACAATTACTACGAGTAATAGTACTAGGCGCCATTTATGTACTACTATGAGATGCATAAACATGCTAGTATGTGCATATACATTTTGGAACTGTTTTGACTATCAAGATGAGAAACACAAATACAACCGATCCTTCAATTCGATTGCGTCTCTCTTTTTCCTACCCATGATGATTGTCTTGCTTGGAATAGGTGCTGGAGAACTGTGGAAGCCCCACATGGATGACGAACTTCCCCGCAGTAGATGCCGCGGAACTCGGTTCGCGTCTTTGCCGTTCCCCACATCGGTTTGGGCTCTCGCTTGCAAACGTTTATGCAGTATCCAACAACTAGACTCAGGCTTGAGAATCAGCACAACAAGTCATCTGCAACTACATCATCAACGCCAACCTGCCGATGAGCGCATTTATTTTCAATAAAGACCTTCCCAGGTTGATACAGTTGAAATTAGATAACTAAGCAATTGAATTTGGGTTTCAAAACTCCCTCTTTGAATGTTCCAGACTTTACATTATGATTCATTTAGTTCTTAAATGGCCAGGCTTAAATTTTCTCTGATTCCACGAGGAAACAACCCCCCCCCGGTCTCATTCAAATGGCATCACGGAGACGTCGTCGCATGTCTTTCAAATAATACCTCATAGGGTAGGTACGCAACCTCTCTGGGAGATGGGGGTATGTGGTCCTTGTAATAGCCATTAGAAAGCGGTGAGTTCGATTTCGAGTTTTACTCGATCTCAGCTCGTAGGCATCGCGGAGCCTGATCGGTAGCATCTCAGTTGAAGTGAGGCGGATCATCGGAAGCAATGCTCGAATGAATAGAGGTACTTTTCTATTACGAAGAAGATCTTGAGCAACATTTTTGGCATGTTGAGTGATCTCCATAGTCGCAATTTGGTGGTCCCAGTATTTCCAAAATTCTTGACGACTTGTAGGCCAGAGGTCTGGTGGAACTCGCAGCGATTCTGCAAGTACTGAATATTCTCTGTAAATTTGCTCTGATTGATCCTCGTTTATGGGGCCAAAGGTGCGCTCATATATGTCGATTGCGACAGCATAGAGTGTTGCAGCAACCCAGAGTTGGAGCTTGGGGTCATCTGCAGAGTAGTCTGGTCCACTAACAGAATTGTGCGCCCGATGTACCATGTCTATCACGATCATTTTCTCTTTCTCCGTACCGTATACCATACAGTAAACATATGTCATTGTTGTACGAAGACGGTCCATTGGCCGGTATGCGAAGTTGCTGTGCTCATCAACCCCCTTGGCGACTCCCGGTTCAGCCACCTGTAAGAGGATGGCAACAGCACCCCCAGCAAGGATTATTCCTTCTTGTACAATCTTCTCCATTTTTCGCGGTGAATGGATCTTTTGTGGGTCATTTGATGTAGTGGAAAGAGCATTCTTGTCCTTTTCAGATACTGCTGGACTCTCTGTATGATTCATGTTGCCGATGGAGGAGCTTGAAAATGTACTAAATTTCTCAGTTACTTTTCGGGACTGTGATATGCCTTTTTAAATCTTGCAGACTTCAAGTCAAAGACCAAATCGATCCCAGGGCGTGTAATGGATAGTCAGCCGCCTTTGAGCTGCGCAGGATCTTATGAATGAATTTAATACAGATAATCGAACTCATTTCTTTTGGTCACCTTTTTCCCAGTCGGCTTAACTTGCGAATTTCTATTCCTCGTATGAGATTTTCCAGGTGATCCTCTCCGCGCTCCGTGGTCCGCGGACCGGGCAGCCGTCACGGTTGTCATTCAAGTAGCTGGTGGCGTGAGAACCCAAATACACTCATGTTACGTGCAAAATGTTCTCTTCAGGCACATATACTCCATAAAGATTTACGGCACACTCTACCGCGGACCGTATACTTCAGCATACATTGCACATGTCATGCGAATATTCCTTTGTTTTAATAACAACGTACCGTGAGGTAAGGCACGATCGACATCCTTTCTTGATAGCTATATGCAGCTCCCGCTTTGATAATGTGGGGTAGCTCTGAAGATAGGATGCCACTTCTACGTAGACGTTCGGTACCCCGATATTTTCGAGAGCTCATGTCAGTTAACAGGGTTCATAGCGTTCCAGTCAAGCAAAAGGCGGGGATCACTATAATGCTAAATAAATAGGTTACGAGGATTATGACTATATATGGAACTAGAATGATAACTCCGATCGGATCCTGAACTTCATTATCCACTTGCGCTAAAACCTCGATCCTGAAAAGCCAGCTGCTTTTACAAAAATGACACAGAAGGAGAACCAGAACTATATCATTGGGTCCAATAGAAACCCACCATACAGACAAAGCTACGCAGATGATTATAGCGAGAAAATCACTGATGCTGCAGGTATTAAAGGAGGGCATGATGAGTCTCACGCGACTTCGATAATACCGAACTCTCACAGGAAGAATCATTTTCAAAAGCATTTGCGTCGATTCTGGTGCTGCTATCTTGTGGCTAGCATAGTCTTTCTGGCCATATTTCTGCCAATATTGTAAGTGCCGCGAGCCTACTCATTTTGTACAAATTATGGCAAAGTTTGCTTATTTCTTATCGTTGAAAGCTTCCTTATCATAATACCTGCAATCGCGCAGCGAATAATCGACAACACAGCCCTTCCTGTTTACTCAGCGGAGATTTTTGACCCGAAAGAAGGTAGTGTTTCGTTTAGCCTACAAACTTCCTTGAAAATCCCCGCTGGATTTCGAGTGCGCACAGATTCTTTCAAGCTGAGTCTTGTTTATCGCGACGTTAAACCAACTCAATCGTACCTAAGCGCAAACTTGCCATCGTATAATCTGCATGGTACCACACAAATGAATATCTCTCAAAACAACACAAGCATTTTGAATGAAGCAGACTTTGTGCAAACTCTCTCTGAAGCAGTGTATAATGAAAAATTCACGTTGTCGGCTAAAGGGTCTACATTGGGTCACCTGGGGGCTCTGAAGGCGCACATCAACCTGGATAAGAATATCGAATTGGATGGTAAGCCGTATCCCTCGTCTCCGGTAGCACGTACTAATCACTCGCCTTTAAGGGTTGGATAAATTAAGAGGTTTTTCTATCGACTCAGCACAATTGGTGATTCCCAAAGAGGAGGACGGAACCAACTTCGTAGGCACAGCAACATTGCCTAATCACTCTGTTTTCACATTTGCACTTGTATGTTTGTCTCTTTGTCAAACCTTTTTTGATAGCTCTCTAACTATGTGAGCATACTACAGGGAAACGTGACCTTGAATCTTCAAAGCTTCAATCTAGACATTGGACAAGCTACGATACTCAACGCCGTACTACAGCCAGGAAACAATACAGTTTCCCTTCGCGGCAAGCTCTATATAGATACATTCGTAGATAATATCTCAGAAATTGTCTCTTCACAAAGGGAATCGCTATTAAATGGTACGGTGCGGCTTTCGGCGTCCGGAAATTCAACGATATACAATGGTGTTCATATTCCATACTATGAGAAAGTTCTGAATAATCTCACAATCACAACACAAGTCCCGATACTTGAAGTTCTGAGCGGTACTTTGGAGGGACTACTGAATCAGAGCAACAACTCTACACTTGCGAGCATTGTTCAGAATATCACCGAAATCTTGGGTGATGTTGACAAGTCAACTGATTTTACGAAACTTGCTGGATCTATTGCGTTGCTACATGAAACTGAAGATGTATGAAATCGTTGCTTTCTTCTATCATGATTTTCCTTGTTAGAGCTCTCCACTGCGAGATTCAAGTTCTTCCCGTTAGGTAGGTTGCTTGCAAAGTTGCTTTGGCATTATTTTGGATGGGTTTGGGATTCATTTTATTTTCGTGTTCGTGTCGTCGGATTTCCACGAAAGTGCGTTTCAACATCAATATAGGACACTCAAACTGTATGAGAAAATAATACCCAGCTTATAACTTCGTAATATGACACACGCGAAGTCTGCTAAGTAAATCCGAGCAGTTGGAATGCGCAAAGATGAAATTATCAATATTCTCGAGGTGTGAAGTACATAAAATTTCCGAAGATAGTATATTGACATGTTTGTTAATTCTTCTTCTTAAGTCATGCCCATTGAACAGTTTTATGGTTGATAATATCATATCATTAAGCCATTCAGAGATGAGGCCGAAGAGTCCCATTGGCAACCTCTTTCTTTGCGTCTTCCCTGAGTACCCTTTTCAAAATCTTCCCACTTGGATTCCTAGGAATTGAACCAACAAATTTGACACCCCCAGTCAACGCTTTGTATCGAGATAAACGCTCCAACCCCCATTTCTGTACATCTGACTCCACGAGAATCTTGCCCTCTTCACCCGGCCGTCGAACAACGTAGGCACGAGGATATTCAGTGTCCGCTCCGGGAACAGTAATCCCAATTACAGCCGCATCAATAATCTGAGGGTGTGATAGAAGGACCGCTTCAAGTTCAGGTGGAGCCACTTGAAAGCCTCGAACTTTGATAAGTTCTTTTCTTCGGTCCACGATGTACCATTTACGGCTCGATTCATCGCAGTATCCGATGTCGCCTGTCTTGAACCAACCATCCGCGTCGAACGATTCTGCATTGGCCTCCGAGTTTTTATAATAACCGGGCGTCACGGTCGGGCCCCGAACGCATAATTCTCCGCGCACCCCGAAGGCAGAAATATTGTTGCCCAATTCATCAATAAGCCTAATTGCAGTCATGAGTTAGTGAACTTTATCAAAGGGTTCGCCAGGAAGCCGCAGCTTATGGGTCATACTTCGCTTCTAAATTTGGAATTAATCGTCCAACTGAGCCAGTGTCATCATGTTCAGGATAAGGAAAGTGCGTTGCTATACATGAGGTCTCCGTCATGCCCCAGACTTGTGTGAATGGGCTACTCGCACCCATCATGGCCCGGAATCGAGCCTGGACGTCCTTGTCCAATGGGGCTGCACCGCAGGCCGCGAGTCGAACTTTTTTCAAAAACAGTTTACCCTGAGAGATCGGGGACATCAGGATTGCAATCACGATAGGTGGAACCATTGCTAGATCTGTGATGCTGTATGTTTCAACGGTATCCAAGAACTCTTCCAAGGCAAATCTTCGCATCATATAAGCTGTGTAGCCTCCTTTCAAGGTAGAGATGTGAGCCACGGGAGCAGCTGACGCGTGGAAGACAGGAACGGCAATTACTCGAGATACCTGTCAAAAAGCAAATCAGAATCACAGTATCTATGAGTAAAGCTAGGGGCTCATATAAACTAGAGTCTCACATCATACGGACGGGGCTGGTGACCCAGCACAAGTTCATGCTGGGCGATGAGATTGAAGTGCGTGATAGTGACAGCCTTCGGAAGGCCTGTTGTTCCACTACTAAATAGTCTCGCCGCAGTGGTGGTATGTGCTGCTTCAAGGCTGTCAAACCGTACCCAGTCTTCTTCGCCATGCTTCATCATGTCCCTCCATGATTTCATTCCTTGGGGGATGGGTTGGCATAGGTTGTCGAAGATCCAGATGTTCTCCTTGGTGATGTCTGTTTGTTTTGCTGCAAGAACGAGAGACTCCAATATTTCTGGTTCCGAGACCAAAAACTTGCTTTCAGCAGCTCTGATATGATGTGCGAGCTCGTTTGGTGTATAAGACGGATTAGATCCCGTGAATACACCACCTGCGCCAATGATGGCGAGAACAAGTATGCTATAGTTGATCTACAAGCAAATATTTCGTTAGCCCCTATTCCTAGTACGTGGCGTCATGGTTGTGTAGCCGCACATCATTAAAAGAGTGAATTAGAACACAGTCGCCCTTTTGGAGACCCGCTGCTCGCAAACCAGCAATTAATTGACGAATCAGCTTGCGGGCCTGGTTACATGAAATCTGCCGTTTTGGGTTCTTAACATCGATATAAATCTTGAGAATCCATTTTGTCAGTCACTGCCACTTCTAGCCAAATTGAAACAGCATTAGGAGTTGAGCTTACCGGTTTATCTTGGTCGTAAGGCGGATCGTCGAAGATGAAAGAGAGTAAGTCCTTAGTTGGAAGAAGAACCCGTTCGGCGGGTTCGAAAATCATAATTACCTTAGTTCTTCACGTTTTCCTTCAAAGAGTAAAGTTGATCGGGCGTTGTGCACTTGAATGTCTTGGACGCACATTCCAATTTAATCAAAGTCCGTGCCGTCAGCGCCATGGGCTTTTCCCCTCATCCAAAGGGAGCTCGGAACTCGGTAACGCACTGTGCAACTCCCTGAAACGGCTTAAGCTGGTGGCGATCATCCTCGGACTATGATTTCACTATTTAATTAATGCATTCTCGAGAGTCTAATATTATTATGCATCTTCTCTCTGTGATCATCAATTTTCCCGGCCCTTGGAAGCATTGGAAATAAGCATCACAAAATTAACATGGTCACGGTCTAAGCTTCTAGTGGCCGTTTGTCTCACATCGTATGTTCAGGCTCTCGACGTTCCCCAGTACCAAACCTATCACCATTTGACCGATATCGCATTCTTCTATTAACTCATATCTTTACTACTGATGTTTTATAATAGCTTTAATAAAATATACAATCTTCAACAAATGTGTACGGACCATTCGAGGTACCTACCCAGATCGTGACGTCATCCGGATTTCCCCTTGTATGAACTGTAGCGTATACAATACTTCGCCTATCGCCTATATGATCTAGCTAGGGATAGGAAAGAGATGCTAAAATCTCTACACGATCTACAGGGATACATTTCCGATGTGCTGAGAATTTATTTGCACCCTTCAGTTCACCCTTTCCACCAGTGGGCGCCGATTCCATATAATCACGATGCTCATAGTAGCCTGCGGCTTGTATTTGAATCATCCATCATTCTATGCTACTACGCCTAGTATGTAGTAAGTCCCTAACCTCCCACGCAGTTCATTTAATACTTCTCCGGGTTATGGGGCTATTCTTGAATCCTTGAAACAGGAGGCAAAATAATTTTGAGAACGACCATCGTATTGGTTATACTTATGATATATGTACTATATCTTTCTAGAACGGAACCACTGGCACTGGGTACATATCTTACGGAGGTTACAAGCCGTTCTTTTACCGACTAGGTACTGGTATATCTTCCTGTGGAAACGTAAACCCGGATGGGTCGCGGTGTATGTGAGACTGGCATTCACCACTTGGCTTGAATATTGGCCGTGTGACAGAACAACGTTGAGAAAGAAGTTGTGTCGCATAGACAAAATGATACTTTTTGCAAATTTTAAATTTAAGAACATGGAGAATAGAAGAACTAGATAGAAAGTAGGGAATCATGTGATACTGTAATTAAGAGAATTTCGATCTCGACCAACTGGCACACTATTTTCTACAACATGAGCCAAAGCACATATCGGCTGCTATTTTACAGTCAGTATAGGGTCTGAAAAGGATATACCAGTCTTGGAAGGGGATTAGGCTCTCACGATTGTATGTTTCGATCCTGCGGGGCTGTTTGGGCGTCGAATCACTGCTCGGAGTATTTTGTAAGCAAGGCGATTCGATAAAGCGCATCCCACAAATGTATTTATAGTGATAACTTGAACTGGAGGTTAAGAACGTACCATGGCACTAACGTAACCTCTGAGGCCGCATCATCTTTTTGCTGTTCTTCTGTTGTCTCCCTGCGTGAGAAGACGCCAATCGATTTAAAATGCCACCAGAGACTATGTGTCTTGGTATTTGCTTCCATTGTGGACACTGGCAGGTTGGTTGTGAAAGAGGACCTGGTATATGGATATATGGCTACTCAGGAAAGATGAGAAACCCTAGGGAAGTAACAAGTTAAACAAACTGGAGAAATCGAGGAACTCCGCAATGCCGTAGTAACCAAAAGATGGAGAACGACCAGCAAATTGTACTAATTATTTTGAAAAGAAATTTCTTCATCGACTTCATACCTGCTGACAACAAACTATATAGATATATGCCTCCAAGAATGTTGTATTTCGCCCGAACGGCGATGTTCGTCATTCATCACTAACCCATACAAACAATTTGCGTTATTTTCCTGCTTTTGTGATTTCTTTGCGTTTGAAGGCCTCATCTTACTGCCCAACGCTGAAAGTCGAGTTCGGCTACAGTGCGAACGTTAGTAAAAGAGACTATCAAATTCCAACTTCAAACTCTTTGTTAGCCGACCGTGGCCGAAATTATTTCCAACATCGCCGAAATCCACGCGTTCGTTCCCAAAACAAAATTACAAGTAGGGGAGGCATGCCGCACCAATGAAACACGTGAAATTCCACACTGTGGAGCCCTTGGATCCACAATCATGTTCTCGATGACATCGTTTCTCATTACCTTGGTCCACCGAATCTGTCTAATGGCCCAATCGGCAGAAGTGGATGCGGACTTCGCCGCAGCATCACCTCGCCCGTTTTCGACTGTACATGTTCGCCGAAAACCCAAGCTTACTCTTTGACTCCCAAGATATCCTAATAAACGGCCGGGTCTGCCTGGTGTACAATCTGCACCCCTTGCGTTCGCCGGCTACGACAAAGGTGATCCGTTATCCGTCATGTCGTCGCCTTGTTCCTCTCGTCCGTACCGGTCAAAGCGGCATCGGCCGTGTGACCAATGCCGGGCTCGGAAACTAGGATGCCAAACCGATGGCGGAATTCCATGCCAGCGTTGTCGAGATGCCAAGTTAGCCTGCACATTTGACAATCCACCGCCGAAACGCCCACGCCTCTCGGACTCTTTGTCTTTTGCCGATCCGAGCGTCAACGGCCTGTTTATCACGAACGACCGGGATACCTCCGCCGAGCAAAGCCCGTTTGAGAGAGTAGACTCGCGGTTTCCATCGCTAGAATTTGATGGGGTGAATATTACCTCACCGGGCTCTGGAATACTGTTGCCCGGTAGACCGCCAACTCAATTCGTACAGAGCATCGACAAACTTGACCAAGGATATGCCCAGTTATTTGGTGCTTCATCCGAGTCAGACCCATGGCTTCTTCGGCATTGCCGATTTGATGATTCTGGTATGAAACATTTCTATAAAGTTCACTATCGCAACGCTGGTGGAGTCCCCACGGCCCAACGAATTCCAATTCATTTCATGATCTCCTCTCAGGAGCTTTCCGCATCGACACAGCAGGAAACTAGAGCAGGAAATTACGACGTGAGTCGTGAACAATTAGACATTTTAGTACCCCCTGAATATGGGAGAAGATTGGTTGCACTGTCAGTTTTCCCTCTCCCTTCATGACACTGCAACTTATCAATCATGAGTGTACTAACGTTTCATTTTGTTTTACCGTTTAGATTCGTCAAGTATGTGTTTCCTGCTTTACCAGTCATCTCACGCTCTCAGTTAGGATTGACGACAACTCAAACCCAGTTTCCGGAGCTAGCAGTACTCGAAACCTTACCCGTCTATCTTTTGGCGGCTATATATGCCTCCTCGTTTCCTTTCATTGCGCATGATGACTACCTGTGCATTCTGGGTACTTATCATTCATCACCTGTCCAAAAGCTATGGCGAATCGTTTATGAAAGCATAACAATTGAGATACATAGGCCTCGCCTCGCAGTTTTACAAGCCGCTTTGCTATACATACAGAAAAAGCCCACCAACGATGCCCAGTACACTACTGCCGATACCCCATTTGTGTGGTCATTTGTCGGCCAGATAGTTGGTCTTGCATGTAGTCTCGGGGTACACATTGAATGTCGTATGTGGGGAATTCCTGCATGGGAAAAACGGTTGCGCCGCAGATTGTGGTGGGCTGTTTATGCCGAAGATAAATGGCGCAGCTTGTTAATTGGACGTCCTCCTTACATCCACCCTGCCGAATGGGATGTTAGCGACCTCGATGAAGGGGATTTTCTCGTTGGACCTCGACAAGGATTCTCCACTCTTTCTTGCGATACTGAGATCCCATTTCGCTTTCTAGTTGGTCTCGCTCGCGTTGCCGAGGAAATACAAGCTACTTTCTAGTGAGTTCATCGCAAGCATAGGATCTTTCCACGAGCTCCATTGATCTGTTGGACTAACATTCGTCGCTTAGCACCCTCCGAGCATCCCAGATTCTAAACGTTGATCTAGATTCCTCCGCCGATCTAGGAAAAGAACTCTTGGAAAAACTTAATTCGTGGTATTCTTCTTTGCCGGAGACATTTCGTTTACCGAATTGGAGCAAGTCTGTGGATGGGCTTGCTCCATGGCCAACTTCCATACACTTTGCATACCTCTTGCTTGTTTTATATGTCTACCGTGCTATGCTTCGACCTATGGCTCAGTCATCCTGTCCGCCGATGATATTCGACCTGGAAGAAATGTCAGCTACGCCCCCAATACCAGTGGATGAGTCGTCGCTGGACTTCACTGATCTATCTGAGATCAATTATATTCCCGACATAACCATTCCAGAAGTTTCCGGTCCCAGTGAAACTACCTTATACGCGGCAGAGAAGTGTGCAACTATTCTGGTCAATTTTAACAAGCGGCTGACACCTAGTGATTTTAATGGGTTTTGGTATTCATGTAGGTGCCATCAAACCCATTATTGTTTTATATCGCGCTAATTTCCTCATCTGCAAGGGTCCCGAGTCGGATTTGCGACTGTGTCGAACTTCCTAATGCTGCTTTTAGTGCAGGCCCCTAACACTGCACATGCAGTACGTGGGAAATACCTCGTTGATTCTTGGTCGCAGGTCCTGCGATGCCAAAGCCAAAGCTTCCCGCTCGTAAAACTAGGCCTAGCTCGTCTGGATGCGTTGCAGTGGGCGGGCTTAGATGATACATTTGTTCTCCCTCCGCATGTGCAGGATGTCATTGCTACTCATAAAACTGTTGAAATCTAGGATATTAATCGTGTAGAAGTGAGTAATTCTTTTGGTTAAATTTAGGGTGGAATGCATACGTTTTGAGACGACCAAGTGATTCGAGCACATGTAATATTCCCGAGGAATCGGGCCAATCTTACATATGGATGCCATAGGGATACGAAGTTCACAAAATATGGAAAATATAAAGCAATTGCCGCTATCTTTGCCTTTCCACCGCTTTCTCGCAGTGGGCACCTCAGGCTTCCATATCTTCCGAGTCCAAGGTTTCGTGAACACATGTCAGTGGACCCCCACTGACCTCTCAGTGGGGTCACATGACCAAGCTCTTTGTTTACATCTAATATGTTACGTCGCCCATACGCACACACCCAACCTCCCCCTTTTAAAGATATGTGCTCTTTTGATCGCATATCTTTGATCGCATCTCTTTGATCATCTCTTTGATGAAAATTATCAAATATCCCCCCCAAGTCCATATAATGCTCTCCTTCGGTCCCAGCTTCTCTGAATACACCAAAGCCTATGTCTGAACCCTCGAATTACCCCCCGAATCCATCGAATAGTAGCAAATATTATCCGTATTAAGCAATATATAAGTCCAAAGTAAGGTTATACAGTATAATAAATAGACTTATCGTTGAAATTAGGTACTGTTATAAGATTTTTTAAATATTCTTTATTAGTAAAAATACTCTTTTTACTAGTTAAAAAAAGACACTCCCTAACCTGGACGTTTATATCTAGGGGTAAAGAAAGAAAGTTGCAGAAATATATATCTACCTATATAGTATATCGCTTATACAAAGTATATTCTTCAACATCTATATATAGCTCTTTATCTCCCTGTGATCGATACTACTAGTCAACATCACGCAGCACATCCTCAATAAGAGACTAGATCTTCCGATCTCTATACTTCTACTACATCGATTTGTAGTCTAGGATTTACATAGTAAAAATAGTTTTTAACTAGTTAATCCCTTAAACTACTAGTAGGTTTCAGCTACACTTATACACTCTAGCCTAGCATTCTTTGGAGCCCCCCCCTAGATACTACATCTGGAACGTAGTATTCACGTAATAAACAGATGCATTACATACATACCCCTTTATACACTCTAGCCTAGCATTCTTTGGAGCCCCCCCCTAGATACTACATCTGGAACGTAGTATTCACGTAATAAACAGATGCATTACATACATACCCCTATATTTACGGTCATGTGACCCCACTGACCCGGGTTCTGCAAGGTTTCTGCGGTGCAGGCATCTGGGGTTGATGCCTTAGACAACGCTGCCATCCATACATCACCCAGTTAGAACACAGTTCAACTTTTATATTCCATCAATTCATATTTCTATTTCCACGCATGCACTTCCTACTAAAAAGTTCCCCTTCCATCCTTTTCCAAGGTTTTTCTACAGACTGGGTGGAAGGCCCTGTGTGCTGAACAAATACAAAACAATCACAATATATTGCATACAACATTCAAAATTACTCCGAGGCAATTCCATAACTTACGGTGGAATGAAAAAAGAATGAAAAAACCACCGAATTGATTTCATGGTTCTCCTCCTGGTGCGCTCCAGGGCTACCGATGCGCAAATTCCGAGGTATTCCCATCTAGCCGTGGCCCCACAATTTTTGAGCATTAAGAAGTTATGCACTGTTCTTAGATGCGGGGTCCTATTTGAGCATAATACATTCACGGGTCGATTTCTTATCAAAGATGATGATTCCAATAAACAAAAACCCCTGAAAGGTCGAAATAACTGGCAGGCGACATCCTCTTCTTTATTTCGATTCGTAATACGCGAAGTCACGTCAAAATGGCAACTCCACACAAAATCGATATCAAAGATTACGCAGGCCCAACTGAAGTCTTTGGAAGTCAACCATTAAGAGAAACCCTCCAGAAGGCATCCGAGCTTTTACAGATGAACCATGATAATTATCACATCTACATCCACAACCTAGGACTGCACAGTACGTTTTCCATTTCAGGCAGAGTGGATAGCTAACTAGAAGTCTACTTAGATCATATCCTGCACCACATTCTAGCCATCGTGGTATTAGGTGGTAGCACGGCTCAACTGCAGTCGGCGTACAACTTGGCTGTCGACTCCCAGCGTCCAAACCGTCCTCCTGATGCCGTTCGCGTCTCAGATATGTCCAGTCCCGTACATTTTCACAAATATTTGGGAAAAGGAAAATATTATGATGATTACTTTGCTTTCTTCCAGAATGAAATTTCACGAAACGGTGTACCAAACACGGTTAATGAGTTCCTCTTTAAAGGTGATGATAGAGCTGAAGACTTGTTCCAGCGCTTTTTCAGTGGTGAGTATCCCACAGGACTGTTTCATTCACCAAACACCCATTGTAATCAATGGGCCTATAGGATTTCTGCATTCGCCAATTCACCTTGGGTATGCTATCGAGTTTGACCAGCCTCTTGTCGCCGCAGAAGCCCTTGCCTTGACTGCGGTCCATGACGCCTCGTTCGGCTCGATCTTGGCTTTAATCGAAAGCTCGACCGACGAGTCATCCACCGGAGAGAGTCTTATAAGCATACAGGAGAAACTTCATGGGAGCGATTGTCTTAATCGAGCAATGGACTTCACACACGGAGTGTCTCAAATTCGAGATGGATTTCTTGAAAATTCGAAGGAAGAGTTTTTACGGCTGATCGGTTCATGGAAAGTTAACCAAAATGAGATGGATGAAAGGACAGCCGAGACACTCAATTCCGCATGTCAATAATCCTATTATATTCTGTATTGCTTTTATATTTGCCATCTGACAATATCTTGCAGTGTACTGGACATCTGCAGCCCAGCGACCCGCAAAACAGATCCGATTTGACTTTTTCCTCATGCATTCAATCACTGCTGGGTCTCTCTGGCCGGTTTTCAACAAGGTCTCTTGGATTAACGCTGACATAAAGTGTCGGTTATTAGAATGGAAAGGTCGCTCTGATTTGACGTTGTACTGCCAAACAGGTTTGCCTCGCCCAAGGCCACAAGAAATACTCATATACCAGCCTAGATTCCCCTCTGGTTGGCCAGAATTGTTTCGACGTGCTTGCGATTACCAAGACGACGGCCATTTGGCGAAGTTCATTCGCGCAATCGCAACTACTGCACAGATAAGCAAACCTTTCGCATCAAGGTCTCATTTCGTCCTCAAGAGAGAGGACCAGTTCCTCAAAATTGCCCACATGGGTAAGAGTTCCCGAATGTTGTAGCTTGCGGAAACAGCGGGTCTTCTCTTATCTGACTTTACAAACACTCAGTTATGGATTCCGCAGAGCAATTCAATCGTGAATCAGCCAATTTAGAAACGGAAATGATCTGCAACAAATACGAATATCCTCGTATTTTATCCCCGGAAATTCAACGGGTGACTGCACGCTGGCCACGCCATGTGGGGTTTGAAGAAGCCTGGTTTCATGTCCCCGCTCGTAACTTCAAGACTTTATCGCAGCTTTAGAGGGGGTTGATTTAGTCCAGTGTATTTTGTGAGAACTGACAATATCGACGCTAAATTCATTATATGTCTCGTTTGCAATGTTGTTACGATATAATCCGTGGTCATGCAATAAGGGAATTGAACTTTTCTATTCAATCGTTACCAGACCCATTTAGATTGTATTATAAGTGTAGGAGGCTACGGCCCACCACAATCGGATCTAACCGCCCTCTCATCCCACTTTATCCCACGCGTAAAGAAATAAGATACTTTATCGGGAGAGATGTTATGCTGAATGAATCAATGTGTGAAGTCCGAGCACCAGGAATGCAACATCACTATGTAATGTTGTGTTCACCCCTTGTATACAAATATTCCAGTGGCAACCCTTTGTCTCCTTCCACGCATGCTTCACAACGATGATTTGGCACGTCCCCCTCGCCTTTGCCGCGACTGCCTCGGCATTGCAAACTCTGCCGCCGACATCCTTCAAACAGCTTCATTCGGATAAATCCGAACACCTCTTTCTCTCGGCTGTAGAGAAGATCATTTACATACAGTCGGACTCTGCCTCATGGACAGACCAAAATGGCTTGACTCTGATCCCACCATCAGTTGAACAGTTCGCCGAAACGTTTCGCGAAGACATTGAGGAATTAACAAACTGTTCTTGGGCACTTCAGAGCGTACCGCACCCCCCACATGGGGCATCTGGTGTCTTCTTGGGGCTGCTAGAAGACCCAGTGGAACAGTTCACATACGAAGATGGTACGCCAAACGAAGAAGGTTACGAGCTGCTCGTCGAGGGTCATCTCATATCGATTTATGGATCGGGGGCGAGAGGAATGTGGTGGGGAACACGCACATTGCTTCAGAAGATTGTTTTAAATCAACTAGCTTCAGTGCCATTGGGTCACTTGAGGGACGCACCTGCCTACTCTACCAGAGGTTTCATGCTGGATGCTGGACGGAAGTGGTATTCTTTGGATTATCTGAAGGACCTTTGCACTTATGCTTCATTCTTTAAATTGTCCGAGTTTCACTACCATGCAACAGACAATTATCCTCTGAGTCGTGGACGCAACGAAACTTGGGAAGATGTTTATTCTCAATTTTCATTGAGGCCCGAAAATCCGGAATTTCTGCCTCTGATACAACGCATCAACGAAACGCTTACCCGGTCGGACTTCGATGATTTTCAAAATCATTGCGCTCGGCGGGGCATAACCGTTATACCAGAGATTGAAAGTCCAGGTCATTGTTTGTCCGTCACTAAATGGAAACCAGAGCTTGCTTTAGCCGCGAAGGACCTTCTTAACCTTACACACCCGGAAACAATTCCACTTGTCAAGTCCATATGGTCGGAATTTTTACCATGGTTTCACACCAAAGAAGTTCACATTGGAGCTGACGAGTATGATTCAACTCTCGCCGATGACTATATCAAATTTGTGAATGAAATGTCGAGCTTCATATACAACACTCATGGAAAGCGAATTCGCATATGGGGCACATATGAGCCTTCAGAGTCGCTCTCTATCAATCCCAATATCACCATACAACATTGGCAATATGGCCAGTCCGACCCAGTTACGCTTGCCGAGAATGGATACCAGATCATTAACTCCGAGGACTGGTGGGCCTATCTGTCCTTGAAAAATAACCATGTCCCCATTTCGCCAGCACCATATCCGCAGTTCTTCAATAATAGTCGGGTTTTGAACTTCGGCGATGTTGAGGGCTGGCAGTGGACACCAGAGCTTTTCAACTACGCTAATACAACCGATCAACCAGCCCAGGGCGCTGTTCGCGGTGCTATTCTTGCAGCCTGGAATGACAATGGACCCGACGCCACTACACAACTAGAATCTTACTACGCTATACGAAATGGCATTCCCGTTGTTGCATCTCGCGCATGGTCAGGGGATTCGGGTTCGCGCCTTGATGAATCCACTCTAGATGTTTCAATTGCACTTCTTACAGCCAATGTAGTGTCCGAAAACCTAGACCGAAGATTGCCACTTTCACAACCGAATGAAGGGGATACGCTGTTCTCGTGGCATCAAAGTGATTCCAAGATATTCAAATCGCCACTCCGTCTTGGATTCGGCAGCAAAGGCATGAATTATACATTGCAGCTGAATGTCACTGGGCCTTTCTCATTATACTCAAAAGACGCGAGTCTTTCACTAGCTGCTGATGGGCAATTGGTATTTTCTGCAGACGGCTGGCCATACCCACTCCGGTCCGTCGCGGAAACGGATGGCTTTGACCCTCAGGAGCCCGGACGGATTTGGGCGAACTCAACGAGCACGACACATGAGGTCGTATCTGTGCCTCTGATATCGCGCATTACTATTCAGTCAGATCAAGTCTATGGTAGCCGTGTGTGGATTGACAATAAATTTCTTGGTCGTTTCGAGGTCTTCGTATACGGAGGCAAGAACACAGTTTTTTCGTGGAGTCAAATGGCATTTGTGGCACCACTGGAGTACCTCTCAGGAGATGGGCTTCGCGATATACTCTTGAGCTAATATCCATACTCTCATTTCTCCAATCAAAGCTTTCTGTGAAATTGCCTAAGCACTTTCTACGCCCCCCCCCTCGTCTCCTTCCGCTCCCACCGACTTTTACGTGTTATGCTCCCTTTTTGAAAGTCAAGAGAGACAAAAATAACATTCACGATTTGCTTAAGCGAAAAGTGAAAAGTATAAACTTTGGTTTTTGCTGTGCATTGTGATGTGACGGACAAAAACCGTCATCGATGTAGTAGGGAGTCCCGAATAGTGTCGGGGGACCAATGCTGCGGAATACTTCAAGGTTCTGTCACATTTATTTAATTGACTCCTACCTGGCAGACGTTCTTGTCATAAAAACTTGAAGTCTTAAAAAGTTAATAACATGCCCACTTTTCCTGTGAAATTCACTATATTGTTGCAAATCAAAATTACAGCCTCGACAAGCAGGGAGCAGTCTCAGGGAAAGAAACATGTTCTCAATCATAGATCCCTCATCCTTACCCGCGCAGATCTCACCAACTACAACACATGTTGCAAACTTTTTCTACAGATTTGCGACTCAAGAGGATTTGGGCATGATTGAAATGATCCAAAGCCCTGTATCTAGCCCCGGGGGTAAGCGAACAGCCAAGTCATGTACTGCACACCGGTCGCTAATAAATTATAGTCAATAAAACTGAAAGAGATACTATTGCGCAAATTGACAGCGTACAAGATATCTTCGAATGTCTCGAAAGAAAGTTAAATGACTTCGAGTCTATGGCCAAAACTGCGCATGAATGTCAGACCTTTGCTGATCGGGAGCTGTCTCAGCAAACTGAGCTACTTCACCAGGCACTTGAATCTGTGGACACGGCACTGAAGGAAAAAAACAAATCCTTGGCGAAGCTGAATAGCTTAGATCAGTGTCTAGATACTTTGGGCGATGATGAGTTAAAGAGTTTGACCGACAAGCTTTTTCAGGATCTCGAAACTTGGGTTGAAGAAAACTACGGAGCGCTACACACCAATATAGAAATCTCAGAAGATCGTGACATCCGAAGCTCACCTGACTCAGGCATAGATGATTTGCCGGGCCCGATCGGCATATTGGCAGATGTATCACGGTGCATTTTTAATGTCATACTCTGCCGATTCATGGTTGGAACTGGGAATCCTTCCACTTTGGATCAAGCCTTCCGCATGCTTGACACAACCGTACAAGAAATATGTAAGATCAATTTGCAGCTCTTTCAATTTTACTGTCGATTCAATGGCTATGTCGTTGTTTCCTTTGTTACTTGGTTCTATTTCATCGTTCGTTTATATCGCTAGTCGTCTAAATTTGAATAACAGGCCCTACTTCTGTTTTGAAACACTGGCGTTCAGCCACAAGCACTGCATCCTTGTCCTTTGGAAAGTCTGAATTGAAGGGTATTCTTGATCATATGGTTTGTGAGATTGAGTCTCGGTACATTCCTACTGGGCCATCAACTGCGTTTGGTACAAAACGAAGAATCCAAGGTCTCAAGAGCCTGCTATGGCGGTTTATACATCTCAAAGGGAGAATGGAACGCCAAGAGTCTCTTTACTATTTTCTGTGGATTATACCCAGTATGCCGTTTCGTGACGAAAATATGATACGTTTCCCTAGGCCTGGTGATTCAACTGGAATTGTGGAACGAAGTCTGTCACCGGTATTATACAAATTGGCTTCGGGCCACTCGCAACCAACAGTCGTCCGTCGAGGGCTAGTCAAAGTTAGGGAAAACATCACCTGATACAATCGAGAATAGAGCCAGAAGGCCTTTGCGGGATTGAGAAAAAATATACTATATCAATATGAACTATATTCCAGGACAAAAGAGCTATCTAGAGATATCTGCATATGAACATCAGGGGACACGAATCGCATATCTTCACTGTCACACATCCATTCAAACAAAGCTAAAATAGGAGGCAGCTCGTCCTTCTCCCTCAATTAAACACCTTCTGTGAATCCGTCTCCCCCAGCCTCGGTGTCCAACTTCATAGAATCCATAAGCCCGCAAACCTCGAATATTTTACGAGGACCAAGACCTTCAGGTGTTCCAACGACACCTTCGGTCTTGAGACGTAATAGCGTCGATCTTATGCCAAGGTATGCAGGAGCAATTGTGGCAAAGGAAAAGATCATGATTCGGAATCCCATTTCCTCAGCTTCCTGGGTCGTGATGATAGGGGATGCTCCATTCTCAACCATGTTCAGAAGAAGAGGCCATGGGGCTAGATCTTGAACGGCCTGACGTGCTTGCTCCTTTGATGTAAACCCCTCAAGTAGGCCCACGTCGGCACCGATGTCTCGTGCGGCTTTTAAACGGCAAATACATTCATCGTATCCATGCTGTTGCAACGCGTCCGTTCGTGCTATCAGAACAATATCCGAATGCAACCGATCCTTGGTCAACTTTGCCGCACGGATTCGAGTGAGATATTCCTCCAATCCAACAACCTTTTTACCAGCCAGGTGGCCACATCGTTTATTTTGAATCTGGTCTTCAATATGGAATCCAGCCACCCCAGCTTGAATATACTGCTGAACAGCCTTAGATACCATCAGAGGCCCTTTTATATTTAAGTCAGTACATATTGTCTTAAGCGTGCTCGCTATTGCATCGTACCTCCGTAGCCAGTATCCATATCCGCGATCAACGGTGGGCCGAACGGATCAAGGTTTGCAATCATTTCAGCATTAGTCTTCATATCATGGAGCTGAGCCAGTGCTAGATCAGCCATTCCCAACCGCGAGGCAGTTGTTCCAGCACCAGTCTGTATTTATGTTTAGTTGAGTAAGTGCTAACACGAGCTGAAATAGAGATCGTTGAAAATCTTACCATATAAAGGCCTTTAAACCCCACATCTATAGCAATTCGAGCAGAGAGCCCATCATAAACTCCGGGGCATACTATCAAATCTTTTGTGTCTTTCAGCATGCGCCGTAGCTTTGACGCAGCTGGAATTACATAAAGAGAAACGGTAGGTTCTTGCTGGACTCCATTGACCTCATAGTATCCATCCTTCTCCACGGTGATTGTGATTGTCATGATTGATCTTGATAAAAAGTAGTTTCTCTGATGTACTATCTGATAGAGGAATGGGAAAGGACTGATGAACCCAGAAACTGAGGCAAGCCGGCTGCTTTATACTTCTCAAATATTGCCATCCTTGGCTGAACAGTTATCATTACCGGACATCCTTTGGGGGTGACAGTACTCATCTGATTTTCTCAGCATCATTACACAAAGAATTATTGCATCTTGGTGTCTTGGTGTCTTGGGAATGCAACATCTTAGCCTTTGCCAAGCCATGGCATGCTTTATCTTCCGCTTTTGCGTCGTACCGAATCATTATCAATTAAAGTAACATTTGTAATGCAAAAGAACTCGTAGAACATCTACTATCTTGCTTTTTGACATTTTAATAAAATTTCGAGGATTTTTAGCCTTACTACGTACCTTATTTCCAGTAAATTACAAGACATGCCAACGGATATCAAGGTCTAACAGTGTTGATAAGACAACGCGGCATCAGTACCAATCTTTGCAAGATATTGCCAAGATGGTAGCACTATCGACATGCGTACTGTCGGGCTGTGGCCCCCATACGATATCTTACGCTATGCATCTGACCACTCCTCGTTTGTACCGCACACTATACAATCGGCTATATTAATTTCTCTTGGCAGGCCAAACTGTTAATTGCACATGCATATGGGCCATTTTTCTTACATGCATGGATAAAGAGATGCATGCATGTATAATGCATCTATTGACTCAATCACGCAGAGATTTTCTCCATCTGCCTACCCTCGCTTATTTACTCTTCGTCTCGTCATTGCCCCCGGGTCTAGTCAACTAGATTTATTTCATTAATTTGGCAGTTCAAATTTACCTATCAATCTTTATTTGATAATGAAACATCTCCCTTTCCGTTCATTGACAAGCTTTTTGTTCGTTTTACTTTTATATGCTGTCTACTTGCTGTCAGCTTGTTAGTAGAATCAACCCTGAGAAGCAGACCAGCGGTATTGTATTATTGGTCGATCCAAAAATGCAAAGCTATATCACGGGATACTGTAGTATTTTTCTACTTAACACGTAATATGAATAAGTAATGCGGGATTTAATAGCTGATCACAGGACATCACCGTGTCTGAAACAAACAGCCCTGGAGATAAGCCTTTAAAGTGATTGAGATATAAAACACACATACAAGTACCCACACCTAATAGACCTGCATCTGCATCAATGGGGGGTATGCAACATCAAAAACACGAGGATATTAGTTCCGAGTCTAATCCTCCTTTGATTGACGTTTCGGGGATAGTGCCCCCACTGCTCCTCTACCACCCTTGACATCCCTTCTTATATGCCGAAGTGGGCCTTCAAATTGACCAGGGCACATTTTTGCCCCTCCAGGCGTCTGATTATATTCAGGGTATATCATGTAGAGTAAATACTATATATAAAAGTCAGACCTACTTAGTAGTATGTAGGCAATTATCTATTGTATTATCCTTAGGTGGTATGTATTATGAGCGGGTGGCTCCCCGAACAATCAAATCAGGAAAGACATTTTACATGCCCAGGCGACGTTATCTCCTTAAACCCACGAATGGGAATTTAACCGGGTTGAATCGATCAAGGAGAAATCGGTCCGGTCAGTAAGTAGATCGTTTAATTTTTATTTTTTTCCGTGCATATCGGAGCGGGGGTATCCGGCTGCAATCTATATTCCGGGGCTCCGTTTTTTGTCCATCGGCTCGACTCAAAAAAGGGGAGCCCGGAGCTCAGTGGCTCGCCAAGCGTTCCTCTTCTTGGGCGCTCCGGCGGGAGATCAGCACCCCCGCGTTTAGCGCAAACTACGTGTGAAGAATTCCCTCATCATGACCATAGATTTCTGTACAGTCGCCCTTTAGCTTCCAAATCGCACACCATTAGGCATATAAGGTAGTACCCTAACAACACATATCCCGGATAAGAGGCTCACCAGTGAGTATTATTGGGACTATAGTCCCCGATACAGGAATACGTGAATCCGCCGCCCCCACGGAGAAAGCAATCAGCATCACGCCAAGGATGTCGGCATCGGAGTTTCCTTTTCCTCAGCTCGTGGCCCCGAGTAATCCTTCCGAGTCATCCTTGGCACAGCTCTGGGCATTCGTCGGGCTTGCGAATCGTTCTCGGCGAAATTTTAGGCTGGACCCTATGTTACATCCGTGAGACTCGGCAGGTGCCAGTGTCGCTTAAACACAGAATCCCTGGTATATCCTGTCCTCTTGATCTACTCAGAACTGCTGATCCTTTCTTGGCTACATGTGCAATCATCATCTCCTTATTTGCTGCGGAGAAGTAGAAGAGGGGGAAAAGTTCTAGATTCACACACGATCGAGATTCGTCATTTCCTCCCCGGGGACTAGCACTAGGAATTCTTTGATTATGTCAATCTTTAATCTCATATTATAGCCATCACTTTGCCTGGTCTAAAACTTGTGCAATTTGATGGGAACCAACGCTAGCCTGTTCATTTTTCGGCGCTTTTATCCCTTGGTGCCTCTCCGTGCGATTGTCGTCCCAAATCATATTTCCTTCTTCAAATTTTAGAGGGGGATAAAAGATAGATGTCTCAAAGATGGGGACTTCTGGTGAAAAAAGTGCCCTATCTAAGATTGGTCATTTATATCCTCTGGGAGATGACTGTTGGCTATAAGGAACCCGTCCGCGTGGCGTACCCTTTGCTACATATCCACGCATGTAGCGTCGCCCAATCTCATGTTCATCATAATTGAAAAAGTCGAGGTAATACATACTATTCTCTCAATGTATCCCCAAGCTATCTGCGCATCACTGCCATATATTTTCAGCTCAAAATTAATGGGAACTCCCTCCCAAGTACGTTCATGCCATATGAGTCGCTCGACAAAGGTATGCTCATATATGAAAGCTTTATTAGGCCCCCTGCCTGTGATGTTGTTTCTTTGAACTATCCTATTTGAAATTGGCAACTTCCGGGTCTATTAAACCCTATGATGAAAACTGCGTGACTGCTATGGGGTGCATCTTATGAAACAAATTGTTTGGATCATATACAGCCTTTATCTTTTCGAGGCGCTCAAGATTCTGACCGTAAATGTTGGAAACCACAGAATCACCCGCTAGAGACAAGAAGTAAGTACTTTTCAAAAGAAAATTTCATACGTAAAGTAATGGAAAAGACTTACGCTCCGCGTAGTTGATATATTGGGGTACTTCCCCTTCTCGTTTCTGGCCTATTACCCTCGTGTCTAATTTAGTTTTCCACTTGGCTTGAATTTCGCGCGCCCATGTTCGATGCTCCAGATCCTTTGATTCATCGGTCCACCTTAGGTAAATGATACCGTTTTGGGTGAAATTGCGACTTGCAAACGCAGTTGCCGAGACAGGCGTTTCGCAAATTTTACGCATATCAATGAACTCAAGGATAATAGCAGATTGCATCAGGTCTGGCTCATCTTGAATCTTCGCCATGAAGTCCTCAAAGACGGTGCGGGCGAATTTTAAGTCGACAGGCGGTTCATAGAAGATCCCTTTGAAAGATTTGCGAGCACCGTAGGTCGCCTGGGGGTTTTGGAGTGTGTTCACGATCGAATATGGAATCATACCCAGAGTGTTCAGAATGGGGCGAAGATGAATCAATCCAGAGAACCTCTTCTCTCCTTCTTCGGTCGCTCCATTATAAAAGCAAATAACGATTATCATAGGGCCCGAGCCATCTGGGGCCTGGGCGAAGATGCACATGGCGCCCGAGCGGGAATCGGGGATCGCGAGAATCGCATTTAGTTGTTCAAAAACTTGTTCCAGCCTTTCACTCGTAAATGCCAAAATCCCAGAGAATACCAGTTCCGCTTGATCGTAAGCCTGATAGGTGAAGTCTACCACGACACCAAAGTTGTACCCGGCCCCACGTAATCCCCAAAACAACTCAGGATGCTCAGATGCAGATGCCGTCACAAGAGAACCATCGGCTAAGACCACCCGAGCAGACAAGAGATTGTCAATTGTGAGCCCGTATTGACCACTCAGCCATCCATATCCGCCCCCCAGTGTCAGTCCTCCAATTCCTGTGTGATTCACGGTTCCTCCCACAGTCGCCAATCCATAAGCTGCACCAGCTTCATCTACCTCCTTCCATGTTGCACCACCTTGCGCATTAACTGTTTTGGCCATGGGATCGACCTTGACATTCTTCATTCTCGACAAATCAATCACTAGACCTCCATCACTTGAGCTGGTGCCAGCAGTGGAATGGCCACCGCCCTTCACAGCAACATCGAGGCCATGTTTCTGCGCCCATAGCAACGCTGTGCTGATATCAGCAGAGTCAACGGCTTGTACCACAACTCCCTATCCGAAAGCTTAGTTTGAATGTTGTGGATGTGGAATCAAACTCATCCGTGCTCACCGCAGGTTTTATGCCCGTCTCCGACCATCGGACCAGACTCGCCTCATACCCTTCGGAGTCTGGTGTCAAAACCAATGCTGTTTTGAGTTGAGTTTGGAGTGATTCGATCATAATATCACTAATTTTTGACATCGTGACTATGTTGCTTTCTCGGTGGTGTGAATGGAACCGTTGTACTTACATTGTAATCTCCATTGGCGCGGGGTAGTAGCGGGGAAACTTGGCGAGGATGTGAGACAGACGTGGATCGCATATTCCCCAACACCACGAGTCCTGATGCTCAAACTACGCGCAGGATAATGCAGCCCTCAAGAGCGCAATGTGGGCAAGTATATTCGAATAAGAAAATTTATTTAACGAAACTCGTGCTAATAAATTATACGAAACGCTATTCCAGGTCTCAACTTGAAAGCCCACCCACCCTATGTTTTGGTGAACACACATATCTCGGTCCTAATCCCCCTATTGCTGAGGTATTACCGGCGCTTTTACTCCAAAACCTGACGCGAGTATTTGTAATAAAGCTCTGGATACCATCGCTGTCCAACATCTGGGTGGCTCAGAATGCGATTCCTTAAGTGTGCTTCGCCAAACTAGAATTAATCAGAACCAGGAGACGAGCCAGACAACCCCGTAAAGTGGAAACTTACACAGGAATATAAAGGGGAAAGAAATTCACTGGGGACATCAATCGCCCGTTTCTTCCGATCATCCGATATAGGAATCTGACGAACGATATGGGCTGCGAATTCTTTAAGTTGACTTGGATTCAAATCTAAACGCACTCCCAGAAAGAATGGAATGCTATATCGGGTCTTTGTTGTCGGGGCCTGCGGAAATTATCAATGAATGTTTTAACCTCAAAAGTCATGAGAACGTAGAGTCCTTACAATGACCCGGTGGGTAGTAGCAGCGCATGTGCCGCCTGTGATAGCCTCGAAGCCCTGCTGAATATTGATCACTAAGCTTCCCTGGACTGGCGGAACATCGATCCAATTCCCATTTTTGTTTAAAACCTGTAGTCCGCCCGTGTCATCCTGTGAAAGGAACGTGAATAACCCTGTTGAATCCTTATGGGGGCCCACCCCTTGTGAGCCTGCCGCTGTTGGTGGGTATTTGACAAATTTCAATCGGCTCATATTTCCCTTGAAGTTGTCAAATGTATTTGGTGGCAAAGATAGGGACTCAGCAACCAAATGAACAAAGTGTTGTGCTAATTCGTTCATTTGAACAATGTAATCCTCCACGATGCTTTGGATACCCAGGCCTTTCGGAAACTTGACAATGTTAGCTGTCAAGGTGACGATATGCTGGATTTAGATGCATAATACCTGGTTCCGTCCTTCAAGTCTGTACCATATTGGATCAACTTCATTCCACTCATTCATACCCGGCGTTCCAAAGTCGAATTGCTAAGTTTCTCAGTCACATGGCCAACGATCAAGTATATTGAATGAAACCTTACTTCGCGAAAATCGGTCTTCGATGCCGTGGTCTCTGCACCAAGTTGCGTGTACCCCAGAAATGAAGGTGATTTAATCATGTTGCATTCTTCTTTCAAGTTTGCGGGAAGATCAAAGATCTCTTTTAGACTGTCGTGGGTGAGATGTAGAAGATCCTAGTTATTCAGTCTTCCAGCCTCCCTCAAATATGACAATATCATAAATTTCTCATACCTCAAGGCCTGTATGGGTCAAATACAAAAATCCCACCCCAAATATTGCCTGTTTGAGTTTCTGGAGCTCGCTCGACTTTAAGCTAGGGTCGTTCAAGCGAGAGTAATCAACTGCGGGGATTGAGGAGAAAGATTCAGCCATGATGGTTGACGAAATGCAGGTACTAGCACACGGCCCTATGAAAATATCTGGCACTAAAGACTTTCAAGGAAATATGCTGTCAGCTCAGGAGGATTCTAAGCGAAAATTCATATACCGAGGTGACGCGATTCCCCGCATCATTGGTACCATCTTGGACATTCATTACTCAGCAAATATAGCCAAGCCCCAAGCTCCCGAATCAATTGTATCAAATGGAGATGTTTTAAGTAAAATATATTGAGATTGAGCTACTATAGTGGGGTATTATCACAAAAGGTCCCCGTCTAGCCTTTAAGACACCATTCTATGCAAAATATGACCCTTTTTGAACACCATCAATGAAACCCCAAAAAGAATTCAACGCCTATTTTATCATACAGCGCGTTCTTTCAAAAATGAATGCAAGCTCACCAGGTCATCGCTGGGAGCGGGGGTAGGAAGGGTGATCTTGCTTGCATCAAATTCCCACGCCGCCTCGCGTTCATCTCGATGACTTCTTAGACGCAATGGCATCATCCATTCTTTAAGTCTTCCCTCCAAAAATCCCATATCTCGATTTTTGTCCCACATATGGCCAGACTCTTTGAAGGCACGATTAATTGTGTCGCGGCGGAGACGTTCGTAAGCATCAAATACTTCAAACAAAGGCTCTGATCGATAACGAACAAGCAATCGGGAGAACAAAATTGCATCATCCAGAGCATAAGCTGCAGACTCATCGCGTGGGGGCATCTAATATGCAAGTCACATTGTCAGACAAGTAGGTCATCCCCAAAAGGAATATTCGACATATACTTACAGCATGAGCTGCATCTCCCAGCAGTATAACACGATTCATGCACCATCGTCCTCCTGGTGGAACTTGATATACAGGATACAACATCCAGTCTGACTTGCTTTGTGCTATCTCTTTAATGCAAGGAATTGCCGACTTGGAAAATCGATCCTCTATTTCATGACGCAGAGCACATCGAATTCGGTTCTGCGTAGCCCAGTCTTGCCCATACTCAAACTTATGAAGACCTAAATCCTCCTCGTCAAACTGTACAATCGCGGCTGCGAATATCTGCTCCTGGTCTCGGTCACAAAAGCTTGTCAACATTGTGCCATGTCTTGAGATATTCAAGGCGGAAGACTTGAAATGAATGGGCGACGAAATTGTATTTGAAGGAATATTGGCTTGTAGAAACGACATCCCAGTATATTGCGACGGGCTGTCTGGATCGACCCAGCGAGTTCGTACCGCAGAATGAACTCCATCGCATCCGATCACCAAATCGCCGACTGCTTCGGATCCATCGTGAAAATGCACGACTGCTTTTCCATCCATCTCTTCGCCGCCGACCACCTTTTTCCCGAATGTTATATCAATATTGGGATTTCTTTCCACAAGGGTCATCATCGCCATAGAAATCATAATGCGCATAACTCTGCGGCCTTTATAGCCACCGAATCCTTTACCATCATGGTCAACAAAATCAATTGAGCCAATGGAACGTCCGGAGCGCATGGAGTAAAGCTCAATTGCATTTACCTCCGCCCCGCCCTCGGCACCCATACGATTGAGCTCATCTAAAACCCCTAGCTGGGCAAGATGGCGCTGAGCAACGGGCGTCAGGTTAATCGCGCCTCCTGATGTTGACAAAATGTCATGTCTCTCGTAAATGGTGATATTTAAGTCCGGTACGAATGGCGTCAGTTCCCGATATAGTGAGAGTGCACATGCGATGCCCGCAATGCCCGCACCAACGATGATGATGTTGCGTGGCAAACAATCCATGTTGACAATATAGGTGTCACAAAAGATTGTAAATTGTTGAATGCTCTTGTCTATACATGCATATATCGACTCGGTCTCCTCCTATAAACGTCTTGGCGTTTTGATCCAGCTGTGTCGTGTTGCGAATACTATAAGGCGAGTGCGAGGCCCACAAATAAATCAAGTGTTCACACCCAGTTTAGATAGCGACTTAAATGAGGCTTCGGCGCTGTTCAATTGTAAATCGCTCGTGTTATATAGTCGGGTGTCGAGGTTTTCGGCCAATGAAAGACAATCCCCATACACTTCAATCTACCCCGAGTCTCCGTCACTATATAGGAGACTCAAGATCTGTACAAAGCAAAGCCGCCTCGGCCGGGATAGGCGATCTTTCGGCAAATGTCCAACGTGATCCGTGGAACCGTTGTGGATATTTCCAAACGGGGGAGAGGTGACAGCTTTCTCCCCACTATCAAAGTTGATCAATCACAAAAACAATTGAAAGAAAAGATTGAATACGGGGAAAACACGTCCCGCAAATCCAGACCCAGAAACTTTGATTACCTCGGATTTGAGAGCCAATCAGGTGGAGGAACAAATAATATCAGATTGACAGTAGCTTGTAGAAAACAAGGAGAAAAAACCAACGACTTAAAGGAGACAAATAAGCGAAGAAATGAACCCCGAGATCAACAGAGCCAGCCAACAATTTTACCATGTCTCAAGGCATCAAACCCAGAACAGAAAAAATGAGCAAGCCGCACCACCCGATAGGCTCCTCCGAGACACAAGGGGATCCTGCCGTGCTGTTGAGTCCCACTCGGCCCACTATTTTTCGACCAACTAGAGTTGCAACTTCGTGGTGACGAATCGCACAATGAGGACCACGAACTCCTGAACTTGACTTTAACTTGTGTCATCGTACAAATGAGCCTTAATAACGGCTCGTATTTCGCATATGAATCAACCCTTGGAAGTCTACATGAGATTTTTGTGACAGGGTTGAGTGCGAGGTCGGCTGAACAGACCCCTTATTACAGCTCAAGAAATACTTGCTGTCACCAGATCATGCGTTATCCTGTTGAGCTACTGTGTTGGGAGCTCCAATTTTTACTTATTTCCATGTTGGTATGAGTGGAGTTTGCCGCCAACGTCTAACCTAGTGCCTAAATGTTGTTCACAATCCTGTTTAGCTCTCACTAACCCCTTAGTGTCTCCCGATTAATATATTCAATGCCGCGTCCGAGGCCTGATTGCCTCCCGAGGCAAAGGCGATTTCAAGATCCACAACTATCAGTAAAATTCTCTCGATTCGCCTACTAAAATTTCTCGTGACAGAGAATGAATTTGACGTCGCTTGTAGCTTTTCAAGTTGTACCTACCCAATATAAGAAATTGAACGTCTAGGATGTCACATTATTTTAAGATTTACTCCTTCTATCTCGGTCGGGCCTACTTAATTCGCCCTAATCAAGGATAGTGAGTTTGACTCGAATAAAGGAGCCCAGGTTTCAAGGGGAAATTAGAATTATTTTGCAGTCAGCGCCGATCGGATTAAATGAACCATATATTGCATGGCCTATACGTGATTGTCCAGGGACATGGGGTATTGCATGAAAATAGCTTCATGCTCTGGAAGCGCGACCTCCGGCAACCTCCGACGATAAGCAAGAGTCTGTCGATATGGCGATAGGCCGGGACTTTATCTAGAACAATTAAGTGTATCAACAATGACAGATTGAACGCCAATCAGAAGATCAGATCTTTGCAGTTAATCAAATACCGCCTTCGCGAGTTGAAAATCATTTCTACTTTTGGCTTGCTCCTATCCACTTGCTAGTTTATACCCCTGAGGCTAGCGTGGGTTGGTGAGATTTTGCATGATGATTAACCTGCATTTAAACCCCGACCTTGTCCGCGGATGTCGATAAGGATTTGAGTAAATCAAAAACAAAAACATCCTCCTCATCATGCGGCTCCCTAGAGCTAGTTTGATCACGTCCCTAATTCTGGGCAGCGGCACGTTCAGTGCCGCCGTGTCCCCAGTCCCATCACACGGTCGCGATGGAAAGTTTACTCCCAAAGTCTTCATTGTCTCAATGGTATGTCCAATCTCCATCTTTACTTCAGGAAATCATACTCACAGATGTGTCAGTTCTCGCCTGAGGCTGAAATTTGGTGGGGAATTCCTGAATTCAACCTGCTTGCACACAATATTACTATTCCGGGTCTTTCGCCTCTCTTTCCTGACGTACACTGCACTGAGGATTATGAGATATGCCAGTTGATTACAGGTGAGGCTGAAATAAATGCTGCAACCACCGTCAGCACGGTCGCTTTCTCGTCTCTTTTCGACCTCACCCACACCTATTTTCTCATTGCGGGAATTGCAGGTGTAAATCCAGAGCGAGCAACAACAGGCTCCGTTACATTTGCCCGGTATGCTGTCCAGGTTGCTCTGCAGTATGAAATCGACATTCGAGAACTACCAAACACTTACCAGACTGGATATTTCCCCCAGGGGTCTGATTTCCCCGGGCAGTATCCGGGCAGTATCTATGGCACTGAAGTCTTCGAGGTGAATACTGATCTGCGTGAGATCGCCGCAAAGTTCGCACGTCGTGCCAATCTATCGGATTCGACAGCAGCTCAAACATATCGAGCAAATTATGCGACTTCAAATGGAACATTTAAAGCAGCTACCCTACCTCCCGCAGTTGTGGAGTGCGATGTGGCAACTTCGGACGTTTACTACAGCGGAAACATTCTGGGCAACACATTTGACAACACAACGAAGTTGCTCACAAACGGGACAGGCGAATACTGTGCGACTGCTCAAGAAGATAATGCAACCCTTGAGGTGCTTCTTCGTTCGTCAGCCGCTAAATTGACCGACTTTTCTCGTATCATTGTCATGCGCACTGCCTCAGACTTCGATCGCCCTTATCCAGGATCTTCAGCGACTTACAATTTGCTCTATGCCGATGGAGGTGGATTCGAGACTTCAGTTGAGAACATATATCTTGCCGGTGTCCAAGTCGTACAAGGAATTTTGCACGAATGGAAATCGAAATTTGCTGAGGGTGTACAACCACGCAACTATGTTGGTGATATCTTTGGTACCTTGGGCGGAACACCTGATTTTGGACCAGGGAGCGTTGATACATATACCGAACTTGAAAGCGGAGGCTTGAATCAGCGAAGAAGCCTTAACAAACGATCACGACGCCACAGGTGATTAATTTGTCCTTGCGGCGCAATTCCTATGTGTGCAATGATAAACTCTGAGTTTCCGACACGATCATCGTGTTTCACCCACGATGAGATTACATACTACATCTAGTCATATGGAGACCTCACTGTTACGGTATAAACTATATCATCTCATAAATTCTTCCCATCAATCTAGCAGCCTCATTCAAAACCTGTCCAACTTCATTGATGTCACGGTGTAAATATTGATCACTTGCTTGTGACTTTGAATGGTATAAATGGATGGATCAAATATTGGAATCACCGCCCAAGTAATGTTCTACTCCTTGATATTCTTAACTGTAATTCGAACTTGAGGTCTTATTAAATTTCTAAAATATATACGACTTGAATGCGCCTGGGCATATTGGGCCTGGAGATCGGCGGTCAGCGTCTGCAATAAGTCGCCGGACATATCCAATAAGTCCGGGATGACAGCATCTCTATTACGAAGCGAGCGAGCCCCGCATAAGCTCGAACTTAGATTGAAATTATTTAAAGCCATCATCACCCTCCAGGGCTTGAAATCACTTTCAACCACACAAAAATCACCTTACAACATGACATCGGTAATTCAGCCTCAAAAAACCGCACTCATTACCGGAGCTGCTTCGGGGGTTGGGTTTGCTGTGGCAAAGCTCTGCCGCAATCAGGGTATGCATCTAGCATTGCTAGACATTGACCACGACAACTTAATCAGAGCGAAGGACATCTTGACCGAACTGGATCCGGCTCTCAGAACAGAGACATACGTACTCGATGTCGCCGATACAGCAGCATGGAAGCAGATTTCAAAACAAATCAGCGTGCATTTCCCTTCTATCGACTTGGTGGTATTGAATGCGGGAAAGGGGTACAAGCCTCAAGAAGCCGATGGAAATCGGCTCAACGCTTGGCTAGATGGTGACTACTGGCGCAAGGTGAGAAATTTTAAATTGTCACTCTATATTCCCGATTCTGACATCTCCAGACATTTGACACAAACGTGTACGGTCCTTTGAACGGACTAGAAGTTGTACTCCCTTTGATCCTCTCTTCCGACTCACAATCTCCGAAATCAATCGTCGTCACAGGCTCCAAGCAGGGCATTACCAACCCGCCCGGTGGTAGTAACCCTGCATACAATGCGTCCAAGGCGGCAATCAAGAGCTTGACAGAGCATCTCGCCCACGACTTACGGTCCGATCCTGCCACAGCTCATATATCTGTGCATCTTCTGATCCCTGGCTGGACATGGACGGGTCTTATGGGCAATACCGGCCCAACGAACGAAGACGAAATCAAAAAGCCGGCTGGGGCTTGGTACCCAAGTCAGGTCGCGACAGAGATGTTAAAGGGGCTAGAAGAGAGCTCATTCTATATAATCTGCCCAGACGGTGAGACTGATTATGCTTTGGACCAGGCTCGCATGAAATGGGGAGCAGATGATGTTGTCGAGGGCCGAGCGCCATTATCGCGTTGGGATTCCAATTGGAAAAGTCGCGCCGAGGATGCGATCCAGTCGGACGCAAAAACGCGGAGACAGTAAATATCATGGTTCATGGGCTCATATGCCAGACCACGTTTTATGTTCTATTCAAAATCTGTTTCATCCCCGGCCGTTTATGTGAAACTCTGCTAGAAGTAGAAAATGGCTAGGATTGAAATCTTTGGTGGTTTGTCGAAACTTGCCGGCTGGTTGTTCTGGTGTAGGAGTCTACTGCAGAGGCTGTTACCAGTAGAATTTTAGATTAGAATCTATACGGAACATAGTTTTTAGCATATTTTTCACTCTCCAAAGTCAAAGTTAGCTTCGACTTATTACTAGCAGTAGAACTGTGGGAAAGAAGAAGAAAAGGAATAGCGTGTAGGTAGTCGCTCAACAACGGGGTCGATGGCGTCCTCTTTTTTTATTGCCAATGCTCAACTATTGAAACGGTACAAGTTATTACCCTATAACACGAGAAAAAAAATCCAATCAACTAGAATCTTGGAAATCGTTGATAACTTAGACTCAGAGCTAATGAGGTCAGAGGATGCAACGTTATGTCTCCCCTTCCGCAATAGGAAAAGAGCTGCAAGCCTTCGACAAGAGTCGTAATCGGATTGCGCTCAGGAAATAAAGGTCTTTTTAGCGCACAATTCAGCAGAAATTGATTCCAAGCAGCACAATAATATCGCTGTCTGAGATTGGTCTTATCTCTCACTCCTGTCGTGCAGGGGGTAGGAATGTTCTCCCGCCACTCGTTTCCCTTCGATAACCTCGGCAACAGACACGATCGCGGATTTGATAGCTTTCTCCGCAGATAAGCCGCCGGGTGCTTGGACCCTGAAATTATGGATGCAACCGTCTACGCTTCTCAGTTCTGGTGGATCTCCGCCCACTTAGTCTTTCGTGGGCTATTATGCGGAGAAACGTGGGGGTAACATGTCAGCCAGTGATGCAACATTCTTTTTATCTAATGAACAAGGGATGCCCGCGTTGCAATGTCTACTAAAGACTGCCCGGATCACTTCTCTTCACTCTTGAGCTTTTGCGACGGGTGATTGCGAGTGGTGACACGATTAACCTAAATTTGAAATCAGCACAGCGTTGGACTACCCCAGATTACAGCATGCCTCCAGCATCTCCGCCACCATACCTGGTGGACAATACCACCAAAGTGGCATCCTCGTTGGAGCCCATCGACGAGCCCAATAAATTACAGGGATATGCATCCGCTCCGGGTATAATTGACGAGGTCACACGCGTAACAGACCATAAAGCTGAGCGACGCCTCTGTCGGCGATTCGATATTCGCTTGTTGCCGATTCTAGCAATCATGTGTGAGTATTCTCACCCAGGCGCTTGATCTTTTCAATTAATAATGGTGTTTGCTTTAGATCTTTTCAATGCTCTTGATAAAGGAAACTTGGGTAATGCAAAGACCGATGGGATGACTGATGGTGAGTATTCTAAGAACTATTGATAACCCCCATACTAATTTATTCAAGACCTTCATTTTAAGCCAAACCAGTACAACCTTCTATTATCTATCTTCTTCGTTCCATTTGTGATCTTTGCGCCGCCTTTTTCGATGCTCGGGAAGAAGTATAGCCCCGCTCGAGTCCTACCAATCCTAATGTTTTTCTTTGGCTGCTTTACCTTACTCTCATCGGCGGCTCACAATTTCGGGGGGATATTTGCCTTGCGTTGGTTCTTGGGCATGTCGGAGGCAGCGTTTTTCCCGCTAGTCATATACTATTTGACGACGTTCTATCGCCGTGGAGAATTAGCCCGTCGTCTCGCCATCTTCTACGCAGCCTCCAATATTGCCAATGCCTTCTCAGGTTTGATCGCCTTTGGAGTATTTCAGATCCAAGGGTCCAGTATTCCCAACTGGCGATATTTATTTATCGTTGAAGGTGGAGTGACTGTATTGTTCGCAATTTTCGCTTTTTTCTACCTTCCCAGGAGCGCTGCTGAAGCCAGCTTCCTTTCCGAAGAAGAAAAGGCCCTGGCTTTCCATCGCATTCAGGTTGATTCCAGTGCTATTGTCAACGAGAAGTTCAACCTCCGTGAGGCGCTTGGCATTTTCAAGCATCCTACCACCTATGCTTTTCTATGCATTGAAATTTGCCTGGGAGTCCCGTTACAAGGAGTTGCTCTTTTCATGCCGCAAATTGTGGCACGTTTGGGTTACCCAACTGTCAAGACCAATTTATACACTGTGGCACCCAACGTGACAGGTGCTGCAATGCTCCTTGTGTTGGCATTTCTGTCCGACTATACTCGTTTGCGATCGCCATTCATCGTGCTCGGCTTCTTGTTCACCTTTGCCGGGTTTATGATCTATGCATCAATTGATGACGTCAAGCATGAACTGCAGCTGGCTTACTTTGCTACATTCATGATGACCTGGGGTACATCAGCTCCTTCTGTCATGCTAAGTACCTGGTACAATAACAACATCGCCCATGAAGGACGTCGTGTTCTTCTCACGAGTATCGGTGTGCCATTGGCCAATCTAATGGGCCTAGTCGGGAGCAACGTGTTTCGCGATCAGGATGCCCCCAAGTATATGCCGGCTTTGATTACTGTCTCTGCTTTTGGGGCTACTGGTGCCTGTTTGGCGGGTCTTCTGGCATTGTATATGTGGTTAGACAACAAACGGCGAGACCGGCGCGATGGAGTAACAGTTCACGCAAAGGATATTCCAACTGACCGAATGCGAGATGGACCATCATCGCCGGAGTTCCGCTGGTTTCTGTAAATTTTCTGAACTGAGATGTTCATGTTTTAGTCAAATTTCCAATTGAACCGCATCTGTATATACTAGCACGTTGACTTGAAGTTCGATCGTCGCCCATTGGCGCCGCGACTACAAGCCAACAGAATCAAAATCTTGAAAATCACATTTAAGAGCAACTATTCATTTCTGTCGGTGTAACTCCGAGACCACCAGCCCCCTTCACAAGGAAATCAAGGGGAAATTCAAACTTGCATGACCCTCCCACGTCGAAAAGTGGGCAAACTTGCCAACTTGTTGTGATCCACTAGCATAACACTGCCCGCGTTACAGGTGGAGCCCAACGCGGGATACGCAAATCTGACAAGAATGACAATCTCGGGGCCGTGATGATAAATGAAAACCAAAGGTCTATCAAGATAAGAAGTCACGATAAAGTTCGGCATCTAGATCATGTTATTCACGAGTCTCTAATCACCAACCACTCATCCGCGCTAAATAGCGAGGGAATCATATAGACAAGGGGGATTGACCAAATCCCGCCCCCATCCCTACTGCCCCTCTCCTTGTCCTTCGTTCCTTCATGCATATAAACTCTGCTAAAGCCGAATATTCCTTAAATTTCAAGCAAAAAAGACGGCCAAAACTCACCGCAAATTCAATATCTGCGGGGACATCACCATGTCACCATGCATCGATGCATTGGGGGCGAGAAACGCCGATGTAGGATGTCGGGCCCCCAAAAATGTGACCTGCTGCATTTAAAAGGAGATTCGAGCCCTCACAACGACCTGCGTAACTCTTATTCTGTACTATTTTTTTCCATGCCATCACGCACGACTACTGCTTGAAATTTAATTTGACCGCCATTATGACTTATGAAGATACTACGAATTCCTCCGCGCGTCACCAGGCCACAGGCCTGCCTCCAGTGACCAGACATATTACAGGTCACAACGCAGAGGGCAAAGCTGTACTACACTCCACCGGCGAAGTTCCCTCCAATTTCTTTGGTAAATCAAGTGCGGGTGAACAGCAGCACCCCATGGCTTTCCATGTCGCCTATACCACTTCTGAGTTTCCAGCCAATCTAAACAGCGACGCGGATTTGGCAGCCCACAGTAACGTCACAAAATCCGGCAATCTGGGCTTGGTCAATCCTAATGGAACCGTGTTTCGAATTGTGGATTTCCCCCCAAACAGCCCCGGTGCAGTTCACCGGACACAAAGTCTAGATTACGGGATCGTGTTAGATGGACAAGTGGAAATGATTCTGGAGGAGGGAGAACCAGTCCGAATGGAGCGTGGGCACGTTGCCATTCAACGAGCAACTATGCATGGTTGGAGTAACCCGAGCAAAACCGAATGGGCGCGAATGGCATTCATTTTACAGGACTGTAAACCCTTGACGGTGGGTGAGACGCACCTCATGGAAGACTTGGGCCCCATGAAGTCCGTCATCAAGCCAAGCGGCAATGACCAGGAGACCTCTTAGGATCTAAATGCGAGAAGATGTCTGACTATCTGTTGGATTGGAAGGTTTTATCTATCATCCCGGACAAGCTAGCTTGTTTTCTATTATTGAGAATGAATTTGAATTATCACTTTCCCAAAGTGACTACCGCTCTCTAAAAACTCGAATGCTTTCTTGGCCTCTGCAAAGGAAAAGACCTGATTCACCACTGGGTGGATTTGATGTGCTCCATAAAACTGAAGCATCTCTTTGAATCGATCCTTTGGGCCATTCAAAATACCCTTTAAAGTCACCGTGCGTCGTAAAGCCAGGAGGTTCACGTTTAATCGATCCTCGGTCGCATCTACTTTACCAGACACATAACCAATACAATTGATTAATCCACCCCATGCAATGCAGTCAAAACTCTTTCTCAGTGTCTGCGCCCCGCCAGTTTCGAGGATAATATCGGCCCCATTACCCTGTGTAAATTGCATCACTTCGTCTTCCCAGTTCGGCGTTGTTCGATAATTGATTGTACAATCGGCGCCAAGTTGCTTAGCCTGTATCAGCTTGGCATCAGACGAGGAGGTGATGATTACTAAAACAGTCAATATCTCTAGACTTTTTTGTTTTTTTATCATTCTGTTCTTTCTCTTTAAAAGGAGAAAAAATAACTCACCTTTAGCCCCCGCAGCCTTTGCGATCTGCAACCCCGCAATTGCCACACCCCCAGTACCTTGGACCAAGATGTACTCATGCTTCCCTCCAGCTTGTCCCATAGGCCGCGCCCCATTTATAGACATCCAGGCCGTGAGCGCTGCAATAGGTAACGTGCATGCTTCCTCATCCGACATGTATGCTGGAGCAGCGACCAAGGCGTGTGCTGGAAAAATGCGGTGAGTGGCAAGGACACCATCCACTGGCAACCCAAGACTACCAGCAAGTGCTTTTTCTGTTACCTGTCCAGTGTAGTGTTCGGGCACAAAAGTGGACAAAACTCGGTCTCCTTCAGTCCATTGAGAGACTTCTGGTCCAACGCTCAAGATCGTACCGCACATATCCGAACATGGTACAATCGTAGCATTCTGTTCGGCGGTTTTGTGGTGTTTATATTCACCCTTGACCACTATAATAATCTATGAACTCATACTCTGTGTAATTGGCTGTTAAGGACATATTGAAACACACCTTCAACATCCCGATAATTCAGGGCCACCGCATTGATCTTGACGAACACCTCTCCTCGGCCTGGAGTGGGCAGTGGGCCCGTTACCTGACTAAGACTCTCAAGCCCCCGAAGAGGGGAAATCCATTTTTGAACCCTCATCGTTAAGTTCTCTTATTTGAGTGCGATCTAAAGAGTAACTCGAAAGCTGGAATGTTGTTTGGGGGCGATGCCGCCTTCTTGGATCGAGCAAAAGAAAGCTCGAGAATATAACCGGATGGCGACAAGTGGAGAACTGCCAAGCCCACATCATCGATCCTTCAAAAGCTCGAATGAAGTTACCGATTCGAGAGGGCCGTGTCAGTCTCAGGCTGGACACTGCAGAGAGAACGCTGTAGGCTTGTGCACAGTATAATTAGTCCCAGTTATCCCCATCAACCCGTGGATCCGACGCCTGATTTTCCTTCCTCCATATTCAAGTTGTCCATGTGGCTTCGTTGTGAGTGGGGGAAAACGTTAACTCCGTCCAAACTCCGCCGAAGAAATTCCACGTTTTCTTGGCTTCAACCTTTGTATATTCTACTTAACTCATACTGGTTGTTTCGAGCAAAGACCGGATACTTTTTTTTTATGATGGTAGAAACGCATTCAACATCAACGCTTGAAGGAGAGCATGTCTCCGATACTTCAGGTATGTGACAGATACTGGTTACAGAGAGAAGAATCTCCTCGTCATTATGCGCCAGGCACCAGGAATCTAACTTTGCATTAACAGCACATTTTTTACACTCGCCACTTTCACGCGATGATTCCCAGCTACCTCATGTAATTTCTCACAGAGGTTTCAAAGGGCAATACCCTGAAAATACTATCTGTGCAATCGAGGGGGCAATTCGGGCAGGGACCCATGCGCTTGAGCTCGATCTGCATCTGAGTCGAGATGGAGTGATTGTGTTGTCGCATGTAAGAAACATATGATCCTTGTGTTGGAACAAATGCTGATTAGATGCCAGGACCCTACTTTGCAGCGCTGCTATGGCATTAAGAAGAAAGTAGCTGAATGCGACTGGGAATATCTCAAAACACTTCGCACCTTACAGTCACCACATGTACCGATGCCACGGTTACTTGACGTCTTAGAATATCTTCGACAGCCAGGTCGTGAACATATCTGGGCCTTGCTTGATATTAAAGTAAGTCGCAAGTAAACGAATGGGATCATTCCGAGTTGGGAGCGAGATATTGGAATCATGATGTGACTAACTCTAATGGCCAGCTGAATAATGATCCGGCTACTATTATGAAGGGCATCGCCGAGGCGATTGAATCAGTACCTATTCCAGCTATTGGTCCAGACTGGCATCGTCGCATTGTGCTCGGATGTTGGTCTGCCCGCTACTTGCCGCCACGGGCGCAATATCTCCCTCGGTATTCGATAGCGCTGATCTGTTTTGACTTGAACTATGCTCGCCAATTCCTACAAGTTCCTCGCATATCGTTCAACGTTAACCAACAGGTTTTGATGGGCCCATTGGGTCGAGGATTTCTAGAGGAAGCGCGTGCTGCCCATCGTCGGGTGTATCTGTGGACAGTGAATGCGCCCAATTTAATGCGCTGGGCCATTCGTCACAAAGTTGATGGCATTATTACAGATGAGCCCGGTGAACTTCAAAGCGTTTGTCAAGAGTGGGAGAAGGGCCAGGCAGGTGATTCACTTTCTTCGCACAACTCCAACTTAGATAGACTAACTGTTCGCCAACGTGCGCGAATTTGGTTCGTCACTTTATTTGTCCTGCTCTTTGGGTGGATTATCAAGCGCAAATACCTTACAGCGGTAGACCGTGTGCATTTCAAAGAAGAGAAAGCCACATGACAGAAGCATATAATTGATAGTTTTCATAATATGTTTATACAATATCATTTCCGAGTCCTTGAATAAGACATTAGGCCTGTCACTCCCCAAAATAGATATTAACAAAAAGTCACGCTGTCAACCAAACACCAAGCCCGATGTGACTGAAAAAAGAAACATGCCGACGTGACCTCGAACAAAAGAAATAAAGAATCCCAGTTCAAATGACGGCGCCGGATAATGATGAGGAGAACAAATGTATAGATAAATTTATACAAGCGAAGGGGAAATGAAACCAAAACGAATGATTAACGCCGGGGTCACCAGTGACTGGGTGATGAACATGACATAGGCCCAGAGACATGAAGGGTATAGCGCTGTCTGAAAGATAGTTTCCAATGGTAAAATGGCATAGTACTTAGGGAAGTGGTTGTGGAATAGATGTGAGACGATATTCGAAGCCAAGGTAGCAAAGGCCTCCAAGGCTTCTTCATGAATGACGCAGTGTCGCGTGAGACAGCTTAAGAAGTGAGATTAGAAAGGCGGAGCCGTGATTTAAATCATCATAAGCTTGGTAGTTCGGCGCTCGGGGAAGCGTCGAGAACCACCTGGAGGGAAACGTGGGCCTGGTCGGAGGCCTTGTCCAGGACCGGGGGAAGGCGGTGGCAGCTGTGTTCCTGGAGAAGGATATCCACGGGATTGGGCCAAGGGAGAAGATCCAATCGTGGGCCGTCGGCGGCCGGGTGGTGGTGGGTAGTAGGAGGCGGCGGCTGCACGTCGCGCATCTCTTTCACAATAGACCTCTCCATTCCACTCAAAGTAATCGCCTTTCAACATTATGTGACAAGTACGACACTGTAAGCAATTTGGGTGAAATCGGCGTCGGTCAGGCCTGTTGGGATTTGGTTCCACCGTTTCCAGATATTGACCTTCAATTCCGGTGTGACAGGTGGAACACAAGGACCCATTTCGTTCGTGGTAGTGTTGGGCACAGTAAGGTCGATTATTCAAAACATAAAAGTCTGCCGTTTGGAATGGAGAATGGCACTCAAAACAGACAAAGCAGCCGCGGTGGTACCGGCCTGTCAAACGGCCATCCGATGAAGAAATGGACTTTCCAGTTATAGCTTCGCCACAGCCTTTGCACTCACCCTTGGATCGAGTCTCCGACCGAGTTGGGGGTCGAGGAATCGGTGCGGTTGCTGATCGTTGGACTGGTTTCGGGGATGGGGGCTCCTGGGGTGGCATCTCATGCAGTGGTTCCTCACGCTTCTCAGCAATCAGAGACAAGCTGCCTTGTCCAATAGCTGGATCGGTAGGAGAATCCGGACTGAAAAAGACAGCCGGCATGGGTGGCACTTCATCAAATGTGCTTCTCTCACGGCCAGGCAGTTCGAGTATTGTCTGTCGCGTTCGAGCGGGCAACTCTTCGACCAAGGGCCCGAGGTTAAGCGGATCACCGGGCTTGTGTCGGTTCAGACTCACATCGGATGGGAGACTGGACATAGAGCTCCCGCTACGCGTCTCTGAAGGTGAAGAATCCGACGATATAGAGCTGTCATATTCGGGGAGATCGTTCTCTAGTCCGAGTGCCCGTGCAAAGCTCGTAATTGACAAAGCACTTTCGCTAGTAGCATCCGAGTTCTTCCTTAGGGGCTGAGGTCCAGAATCAGCGGTGGCGGGATGCAGATGGTTCTGCGATAATTGATCTAAGCCGCGTTCTAAATTTTTTGTGGACTCGTCCACGGGAGATTGTTCTTCAGGTAGGTCGTGCAATGTTGCGGAGTTGTCTGTCGTAATACCGAAATCAAACCCACTATATGTCTCACCTCGAACGCTCCCATAAGACGAGCTTACTGAGAGATTTGAGTCTCGAGGGAAAGAAATTTTGTTTGGCGTACGAAGAGGTGCTGGCGGCAGCGGTGGTGTTTCGTCAATGAATGTACGAAGTCCTCGGGAGAAACTATTCGTTGAAGATCTTGCGGTAGAGCTGCCATACCGCGTACTTGCCAGTGAAGTTCGATAGCTGCTCTGGCTAACCAAGGAATCCCCGCGCTCATGGCCTGTGTTGTTGTGCTCCGCTGGTGGGGGAAGCGGACTTGGTGGTAGCTGGACATTCTCTGGTACAAGATCCAATCCTAGGCCCAGGCGTGGAGATGGTGAGGGCGCCGGAGATCGGGAGGCTGCATGAACTGACAATCCTGGAGTCGACACTCGAGCTGGCGATCGATTGCCCGGCATTGGAAACGTAAATACGTTGTCCAGGTTAATAACAGATTCATCGTCTGGTGATATTCGTTCACTGGGTGAGGGTTGCAGTGGGGAACGGGGTGCTGATATTGAAAGAGGGGATGGCGCATGAGATCCCACGCTGCTTGCCGGAGTTAGGATGTTCGTGTTCGGTTGAAGGAATGCGCTGTCTAGCCTGTCTGTTAGTCATTTAATATGAAAGCACAATCCACATCATATACATACTTGCAATTGAGGGATCAATTCGTGGTGGGGCTCCAGAGCGACCGGATTTCGAGGCCATCGCCGCTGTCAATCGGTCTGGAGAGTAGAGCCCCGCAGATGGTGGTGGTGATGGGGGTGTGATAGGGGCTAGAGCCATGTCAGTATTCCGTATGGATTGATCTTTTGCCTCCTATTCCCGTTGAGGGTCTTGCTGCTTTCTTGAGATAACGTTGCTCCTGCAACTAGCAAGCAAAACAAACTTGGGGCAAATATCTTTCTTACCATGAACAATCGGGGCGCACACATGGTCACCCATTGACGAGATATCAACATTGTTACCGCAATTGGAACATTTAATTTGGGGCAAGAGGCCCATATTCATCGTAGCCATATTTTATTCCAGACCACCAGGGTCATAAGAGTTCAGTGGGCCAACGAGCCCCAGCTTCATCCCTCCGCAACAGTTATTTGTGGGGGGGGAAAGAATCCCAAATCGATGTGAAGAATAATATAGACAGGAAGGTGGGTTTCTGGAAGGGGGTTGAAATGGATGGAATGACTTTGGGGTTGGTTAAAAGTGGAGAACGTTCAGTACACTGTAAAGTGGGAAATTGGATCGATCGCCTATAGCGAGTGGTAAGCCAGAAAGCGGGATCCAGTCAGTGTCCCCATGCACCACGCTAGTGCAGTAGCGTCTCCAGTGCGGAAAGGGGAGTCGTAAGTCCTCACGTTCAGGGGTAAAAAAGAAATCCGTAAACACAGTAAAAGACTGCTAGATCATCGGAGTACAAGAGTTCCACAAGCTGATGCAATCAATCCTTTTGCATCATTGTACTCCGTATGGGTTAAAGCCACTCCACATCCCCCGTACATATGTACTGTCCACGAGTACATTAGTAAATGGATTCATGTATCTGATGTACATAATTTGCCCTGACTCATGTTTGACCCCGGATAGTTTGAATGCTCTGAATATTCATCGGGTGAAGCGGCGTAAGAGTTCTTGAAACAAGATAGTGTCCGTCGGTGTATTCCGACCCTCCATCCACATTCCCTCAGGTTATACTTCTTGCATAGAGAACAGAGCAAGAGCCGTACACCTTGCACAAGGGTCCTCGGATCGTCATGTTCCACTGGTGCCTGGCCACGCCGTGCCCATGCCACCAAACCCATTCTCAAACCAATCACGACATCCAAACAAACGCCAATGCATAATCGAGTGGGGTCCGAATGAACTCTATATCGCGCCGAAGACACGAAAAGAGGAAAAACCCCTCGATCTGAATCGTCCCTCATAATGCTGACGTATGAATATACTCGCTCGCCCCCAATCATCGAAACACTCCTCTAAAATATGGATTCCTCTGTCATCAGGCCTGCTTAATTTCATTGGTAGTTGCACGGGGCTGCAGACCTTAACACAAGGGGATCATTTGAATCCTCCGGGTCATCACTCTCCTCTAATCTCTCTAAAAAAAGAAGCGATGAGATGATGTGGCCCCAAAACTTGAGGGAATCTGATCGATTCGGCTCTGTATTTGTCGACGCCGGGTTGTTTAAATTGCATTCGCTCATCTCACGTTGCACTGAGGTCAGTGAGGGTGTGTCCTAGTTCTTGATTTTGTTACGACTATTCTCCTTCCTCCTGGTTTGTTGCTTTTTTGTTTTGTCGGATATGACGCAGCTTACTCCCCCGGCAATGCTATATTGAGGACGGGCGGGAGAAAAGGGGGAACTGTATGTGGAACTGACAAAATAGGAAACAGGCTGGCCATGCAATGAAAATAACGGGCAGCCAATGATGTTTCAGGGAGACTATGCAATGAGAGGGCATCGCGAGCATCTTCTCACATCCCCTTCACTCGACTTCAGATTTCTTAGGTATGGAGGACGTGTTCATGACATTCCCCACGTATCGTGAAGCTGTCGTTGAAGAGCATGCGTTGGCCAACCATGCAAATGATCAGTGCGAGTCAACACTGAAATCAACTGATGTTGTTCCTGTCGATCGGTGAATCGATCGCCACCTGCCGCCGTTTAACTTTCTTTCTCGTCAATCACGGGGAGGGGGATAATCTTACAAAGATGAATAGCCATACACCCAACCACCATCACAGGAGGCACAGAGTCATTAGACAAAGCCACACCGCATACAGTCAATACCCCCTTGCGGATTTGGTCCTATATGCATGTATTAGGAATTAAGGTTTGCCCTCCTAACATCTTGCCAGTAATTTCGGGAGATAACTTACATCCGCCTCTTGTACCAAACGCCGCCTTGATGGTCCAACGGTCGGGATGCTGGGGTCGTGCACCGAAAGCAAAATCCCGGCGAGTGTGATGTATTGATTTCCGATCGCTAAAACAACAAAAATTGACCTTGTCAGTGCAGGGTTCTCAATATAGAGATTGGAAACGGGTTTGTAAAATCAAGGGGGATTACCGTGCCAGGGTGAGCCAAATCGAATATCTGGAAATGCAGCACCAACGTCGTTGCCTACAAAGTATGGTTCAAAGGATGCCGGGCGACTATGTCTCCATTGTTCATTCTGCTTTCGTAAATCTTCATGCACAGCCGCAGAACGCGGGCCCGTGCCAAAAGAAAAAAGAAGAACATCCGCACAGTGCGCAATGGCTTGGTTGGCCCACGCACAATCTCCAGCGTCGGGTCCCAGTGCGGTAAATATAGAGTGCAGAGAACTCAGATCAACATCCGGGGCCTGTTGAAGACTCAGGGCGTTATAGATCTCCTGTCGGAGGCCACTCCAGTAAACTGCTTGTCGTAAGCTGGGGGTTGTTGTCGCCGATGGAGGAGGCCCTTGGATGAAAGCTTTGGTTCCGAAGGAGTGACCCCGAAGATCCGATCCTGCCAGTGGGACTGTAGTCGCCGTCAGCATTGTTGGCTTCTAAAAGGCTGGTACGGAATCCACTGCTCACCGTCAAATTCTTCCAACAATCTCAGAATCACGGTTGCTGCAAGCAGATCGTCGTCCATGGTGACTTCAAGGTCATTTAATGATGGTATTAACGTTTCAAGACATGCTTGGTAATAGTGGTCTGACACGAAAGTATCAAAATTGCTCGTACAACTGAGATGGCGAGCGGATAACGCCATGATTGCATTGAATAGTGTGTCGCAATAACGCGCACGGTATGGTATATGAACAGCAAAATGCTGCTGTCGATCTGTACAGTCGAACTAGAAGATATACCATAGTTAGGCTCGCTGTAAGCCTTGATATAAGAGAATTTACTGACAAATATTGAAATTCGATCGGCAAAATGTTTCAAGAGATATGCCTCCTCCGGATCTCGTAAGGGCCAGGAGCGCGTCCTAGGACGCGATGCGCCTGTATCCCTACCAACCGACCGACAGCTTGTCTGTTCACGGAAATCAGGGTATATTCGGGAACTCGATAGTGTGTTCGCTCCTCGCGCTACGCGATGCTCTATTGTGGGAAAAGACGGGCGCTCTGGAGTGCGGCTTTGGTTGCAGTCGACAGAATAATCGTCTTCTTCGCTAAATTGACCATCAGCTGTCAACGGATTCATTGTGCCATCTAGCTCTCCGCTTCCTGATTCTAGCACAAAGTCCACTAGAGCGTATACAATATCAGAATGTGTATATTTGTGGCGACGGTATATGTTGAGACCAACCTCGAGGTGGCGGCTTGACCCAAACCTGATTGAGTGGGAATCGACTTCGTAGCCCGCGTTCCTTCGCCTGACGAAAGCGTGTCTGTTTCTCGCCTCGAATGCAAGTTCGCCCTGTCCGTGTGCATCGGCCACATCGTGGGAGAGTCCCATCGCCTAGTCGGGGTTAGAGAGATCAACCGTACGGAGGGGAAGGGCGTTCACATTTATGATGGAGTAGGCGGCATGGATCACTACCGAATGATTCAATGTCAGAATCCAGGAGCTTCTGAGCACATGATTTACTTACCAGCATTTCACATTTCGTGTGGTCGTCGTCATCATGGTTGGGGGAAGTTGAACGAGGTCGAGGCTGAGTGGGGCGGGAAAAGTGAAGTGTTTGTCTCGCGCTCCTGGCCCGAGCTACAATATGCGGGGAGGCTAAAGTGGGGAAAGCAAGCATTTCATATATAACAATATGTATATCTACCTCCAAGAATAGCTGTTTATTGCAAGAGGCTTTGATTTTTAACTCCGGTTACAAGGTTATTTTTATTCTCTTCATATATGGATATTCCCAGGGGCTTTCAAGCTTAACTCATATGAATACCTGGCTGACCACCATCTAGTGACTGCTATGCCATTGCCACCGTTGCATAGTTGAGGATTTCTCAGTTCAATCTTTAGCTGATCTGCCCAGGTATTTGATTCTCTTTGACTTCTCCCTATTCTATCGCGTTGACTTCTTCTTCTTCTCCCTTTTTTCTTGTTTTCTTGTCACAGTTCAATCCATGAGCATACGTACAAGTAGAGCATGGAAGAACTCCACTCAATACATTTATACCTGTAAAGTTTCTCCTTGTTTCCCTTGCAATTCTCTCAAAGTCTCCAATGAACGTGGCAATTTCTTAGCTACCTGCACACACTCCCAAATATTGTTCGAAGAAACAAATATCTGGTCTATCTCCTCCAGCGTTCGGCCAGAAGTCTCGGGAAACAAGAGATAGACCACTCCTATTATGACCACATTCATAATGGCAAAAACAAGAAAATAACGCCATCCAATGGCTTCAAAGGCGAGCGGAGTGCTCTCTGTGATTAAGAAGAACAATGCCCAAAAGGTGCTCAGGCTGATGCCACTGATCGCTCCACGCATTGCCAACGGGGCAATCTCTGTTGCGTACAGAAAAGGAACGCCCGCGAACCCAAATATGAATGTGAAATGGTACAAGAAGATGAACACAATCGCACCATATACAGCTGCTTGGTTATCAGGTCGAGATCCCAGTGCAGCCACGACCGTCATGCAAATAGCATTGCCTGCGGCACCGATCATCATCAGTTTTCGTCGACCAAACTTTTCAACTGTGGATGTGCACAAAATACCGCTCACAATGGCGACTATTTGATACCCGACTGCTAGAACACGGGATACCACCGAGTTCAAGTCTAGGTAAGTCTCGAATATTGTGTTGGCTGAGCAGCAAATTAGCCTCTTTCCTCTTCTCAGAAGTCCTGCTACGCTGGGGAAACAATTCTTCACATACTATAAGGCCCAATAACATTAATTCCCGTCAACTGCAAAAACGCCATCACTACCACAGCTAACATCGCGCGATGGAAAGTTCGCTGTTGGCCCATCCGAAATAATACACGTAGTGACCCTTCACCAGCTGACTTCAAGGAGAACTGCACAGCTTGAATCTCGGCTTCAATTTGAGGGTGGGTGACTTCGACCGCTTCTAGAAGGGCAAGTATCTCGCGTGCCTTCTCAATTTGATTTACCTTGATGAGCCACCGAGGGGATTCAGGCAAAAACGAGATGAATCCAATCACCGTCATGGGTAATAAAGCTTGAAATGCACAAGGAAAGCGCCAGCCGATACTACCTGGAGCAAACGACACAGCAAGCTCTAAGAGAAGAGCCAGTCCAGCACCCAAGCCCCCGAATATTCCAATAGTCGCCAGGTGAGCACCGCGTTTTGACGTTGATGATATCTCAGACTGCCAAACAGGAGCAGTCGCCATCAGTCCACCGACTCCAAGACCGAGAAAAATGCGAGATACAATCAAATGTGCAAGAGAGTATGCACTTGTACTCAAGATTGCTCCAAGCAACTGAAGACCGGAAGCAATGATAATCACCCGGCGACGACCCAAGATATCGCCCCATCCGATACATGATAATGCGCCGAATAATCCTCCAACAGAAAATAAAGCTACCACTGTGCCTTGAATAATAGACTTGCTCTTTTTAGCACTAGGAACGGCATTGACTACATCGATCTCGGGGAATTGTTTTTCAAAGCTCTGTAGTGTCAAGATACCACCTAACAGGACTTGGTTATACGCAAACGACATTGTCGCTGGCATAGTTATACCAAACAAGGACACGAGGTTGAGGCTATTGCCTCGCAGGCCAAAGAAACGCGTCATCTGGGAGTTGCAATATCGTCACGAGTAGGAATACCCGCGTGAGTCGCTTGACTCGTAATATAGCACACATGGAAATGTCAAATAGCGATAGAGGGTTCTTCGAGTAAAAGCTATGTTTTGTGTTCCTTTCAGAGACATTCCAAAGCTGCGATCAGTTGCTTCTCAAGTTATTACATATTGTTGTGTATCCACATTCCGTTCACTCTCCTGTGTCGCGCGGTTCCATCGGGTTTACCTAGATCAAACAGCGCATTCCAAGTACACGATTTTAGCATGTTATCTTTTATTTTAATTTAAAAATAAAACTATATTGAATAAAACATACTTCCTTGCATGAAGGCGTATTCCATCACTGTGGAGCAATTCAAATGCTGTGGTACATAAGCCATTTTCAAAATTTTATAGTCCCAGCAGTGAACGCTAAAACTGTGGCGTGATGCACGCATGCTAGATAGTAGTACATAAATGCTAAGGTAACTTGTATTATCTTTTTCTTAGACACTCGGAACCTTTGAAAGCCAATTATGACATACTAAGGTATCTTCGATCGCATGTGGAGTTTACCGATGAGATGACACCTGTGCAGTATTTCTACTCCCTACGTTCAGCTAGAGGCTTATCCGGAGTTATGTTCTGGATTATTAAAGGTGTGTATACAATCGTGCCAGTGGTATTTTTCATATACATAAGTGAACAAGCACCTATTTTTGCCACAGGCAAATTGCACATGGAGACTTGAAGACAAGTTGGGTCATCACAGCAAAGTCCGGTTACGCATTAGATATGTTGTCTTGCCCTGACTGGAGCGCTAGGCATGCTATCACCCGCCATTCCATCATTCCTTCTTTCCTCGTAAGAGACGGTGACCTCTTTGACCTGGTATATATTATGTGTGTCAAAACCATGGCTAGGTAAGATACGTCGGGTGTCGATGTCTTCTCCGTCGTCAAGTTCAATATTCTTTCCACTATTGATATCCATACCATCCCCTTTCCCTTGAATCGTGGTAGTCACGAGCGTATCCATGCCATAGCTTGGCTGTCTGCTTCTGTTGTTGTTGCTGCTCTTGCCATAAGAGTTTCCAAGGTTGTTGTAGTTCGACGCATCGTTGGACGAGTTTTGGCCCCGGAGGGAACGGTAGAGGGGACGCAGGGCAGGAACGCTGACGCAAATGATGGTTGTTGTAAGTTCGGAGTTTGTCCAGATGACAGATTCGGTTGTCGCGTCTTGATAGGATGTCAGTTACTGTTGGGTATATGAAGAAAATTCGAGGCTCACATAAGTAGTCGGTGGACACGGTCAACGCGTTGAGGCCAGATGTTCGAATGACACCACAAACACCAGCACTTGTTTTGGTCAGTTAAATCATGCTAAGCATATTGGTGCCATCCATATGGCAGCAGGTGTAGGACTTACAAGATACCCAGACTCAATGATATGCAGATTGTGATCTTTTCCTTTTGCTTCATGTTCAAGTTCCACAGTGCGTACCAAGGAAAGATGGCAAGCACAAAGTCCAACACGGCGGCCCATGCTTTATGCGCTGTCAGCATGCTGCATTTTCAAAGATTGATTTCGACGGTCATTTGTACTTACCACACATAACGGTCGCAACCATGGGCATATTTATGGGGCAGCTCGTAGCTTTCACACGCCCGTCCCAAATTGATTTGGCTGGTGTACACTGTGCAAAAACACTTATTGCCAGTAGAATACTCAAAAACATAATGGTGATGTTCCAAAACCATAGAAATGCCTTGTGCCTGTTTTTTCTGTAAGTGACTATTTTGGGACCAGGAATAGTATTGTTCATACCATTTGCTGACAACAATACGCATCAAGAAAGCTGCGACGGCACATTTACTAATACCCATTGAAATGGATATCACGCTCTGGCCAGCCAAGAGTAGCAGCATGCCTTTCACTTGTTCATCGGTCGAGAGATCCGTCGCATGAACCCCCATTCCATACTCTGCAGACGCAGTGCAGAGACCAGCAAATGCAACCATCAAAACCTTTAAGCAATTAGTTAGCTAGGCAAGGAGATGAAGGTAAAGAAAATATGCCAAAGATAGAAAAACTCACAAACGATATAAGAAGCAAGAGGTCATCCCAGCCAATGTTCCGGCGAATCATGGTCCTAGTGTACAGTCGCAGCCCCAGTACCACCATGCATATGAAAACCTCAAACCAGAGGACTCCAACCAGCATAGGACCCTTCTCACGTAGAACCATATTGGCTGTTTGTGGGGTTAACCTGCAGAAACACAATTCTCAGGCTGCAGAAGAGTAAAGATAAAGCCACTGTTTGCCCTTGGTGAGTTAATATATTCTAGGGTTTCGACCCACAGAGGCTGCGGCTGCAGCTCTTCTTAATAAGTGGGAAAAGGCTTTCCAAAGTTGGAAGGAAAGTTGCGAAACTGTCAGGGGTGTGAGTCCAGAACACTCATTTGACAGCGCCGATCAAATCCAAAAAGTTGTAGTTAGTTTCCCATGCTTAGCACGAGAGAATCATCCATTTCTCTAAACTTTGAACCGATGATCCCAACATGTTTCTGCTCGTCACCCATTCATCCCTTTATTTAGTGTTTCTCTGTTGGAGTGACTCTATCCAATGGGAGATTATCCGACCATGTGTAACGGTGGAGATTTATTTAGTGTCAAATTACGAACGGATGTTGTTCAAAGATTCCAAATAGGGAATGAAAGCTACGGCTTAAAGGGTTCCCTAGACAATTTCGCGGACTGAAAAACAAGACGCCCCTGTAATGATTTCGTGAACGATGAAAGAAACCGCCATTCTGGTCATCCTTTCGGCTTCTGAAACTAGTCCATGTGTTGTCGACGAAAACGTTCTTATTTCGCACTCCACAGCCTTGAGATCTTCATCTGTATAATAGAAACTTTCGCTGGATAAGGCTATTGTAGTCTCCACCTGTGGATCATTTATTCGCGGCTAGATCCTTCGCATACTTTTCATGTGGAGTGGTCCACGCATTTAATTAGCGAGTTATCGCACACAACTGTGCAAAATCTGCGCGGCCATTAATTTCCGAGCTAAAGGGACATGTATACATTTAGCTTAGTTCGTGTGAATAGTGAGACCTTACAATGATATCGCTTGACAGATGCCTGTTGAAATAACAGAATAATCCATTAATCGATATGATTGAGAAGTAATTAGAAATATCCGCTACTCGAAGTTTTTTTTATTCTCGTATTTCTGAATCGCGCAATCCGAGCAGAACAGGATGGACTATTAAGAAAGATTCAAGTCCGAGCTTTCGGGGATACGTACGAGCTTCCCCGTCGTGATCGACAGCGCCACATGTTGCGGCCAAGCCGCCGTCCGCAAGTAGCGTGCCAGGGGATAAAGACGGGATCAAAGGAGCTAAGCATCACTCCACATCTCGGGCAATATCCATGCAAATCTTGTTAGGCCGTACACAACTAGGTTCCACAACACACTGTCAGGTTAGCCTTGCGTGTACTGCGTACGGAGTGCTCAAATCTAGGATTTTACTTAATATTTTGCCAATACGGGGCATACAATATGATATGTATGAAAAAATGTATTAAATTGCGCTTTTAGCAGCTGAACATTGAAAACGATAGTATTTCAGGTTGACAGGCAGAAGGAAAAGTTGTACAGTTTTTAAACATAGATTGAAATACAAAATGAAAATGCACAGATAAACCTTGTGTATCCCACTGGCAGCTGTGGAGGGTCCCAATCGCTACAAGGTATAGAGTACTCATTTTTGATAGTATGAGTAGTAATATTAGACGGCTGTACCGTCAGAGCTAGTGTCTTCGGCAGCAAGAGCATCTTGAAGCTCCATTTCAACTTTGTCGCCAAATTTGGAGTTTATTTCCTCGAGACTCAATCCCATAGTCTAGCAAGGCCACGTTAGCAAGAAATTACGATATGATGAATAATAAGAAACTTACCTCTGGGAAGTAAAAGATAATTATCACAGTCGATGCAATTGTGACAGCAACGAATACCATATAGTACTTCCATCCAATACTTGCAAGTGCCATCGTAACAGGGGCACTGTACGCGACTGCATTACCGAAGAAGCTGCCAAATGTGATGGTGGATCCCTCGCTACGAAGATGCGTGGGCCAGATTTCTGATCCATACACATAGGCGGTGCACTCGATCGTGGATGTGAAAAAAGCACCGAAGATGAAGTACAAAGCCACTGCAGCGTTGATGCCGGGACGGTATGTTGTAGTCAGGTAGTATTCTTCCAGGGCAGCCATGGTACCAATGATCAGAGCACTGCCAAAACCACCCACCACTAAAAATGATTATTAGTTTCCCTCTGAACGGATGAATAAAACCGAAAGGTTGAGTTTAAACCTACCGAGAAGCTTCACGCGTCCTACACGGTCTAGGAGAAGAACATTGATTCCGCATCCAATGACCGCACAGACAGTCCAAACAACACCCAGGCCCAACTGCATTGTCGTTCCAAATCCAAGTGTACCCATAAGTGTGGGGATTAAGTTAGCTATAACAGTAATACCTGTTCCCTGGCCCATCACCCAAAGGAGAATAGAGCAAAGTGCACGCTTGCGATGAGACACGGTACGTAGGATATGAAGGTAGCCACGCGGAGTATCTTTTTCGACCTGAACTTGGGCTTTGATCTGCTGGGCTTCGGCGTGAGCAAATGTAGCTCTGGGATCACGCTTAGTGCGGTGCAGGTATTCAAGCACAGCCTTAGCTTCCTCGTCACGGCCTTTCTCTGTGAGCCAGCGAGGCGACTCCGGGATAAAGGACAAGGAGATGAGATGTAAAATACCCAATCCGGTGAGAACAATGAAGATAAGTCGCCATTGAATCGACGACTCGACAAAGCTGAATGCAAGGGCACAGACTGCACACAAAATATAGGCTGTGACAGTTCCTACACCATGGAGACCGACCAACATACCACGGGTGTGTGGAGGTGATACCTCACTCATGTAGACTGGAGTGTTGGCAAAAACCATTCCGGACCCGATACCGCAAATGACTCGAGCGACGATGAACATCTTCACATCGACTGATCCTGCTTGCAGGGCTCCAGATATAATGACAATAACTGCTGCAGCTTGGTTTGCAAGACGCCGGCCAAACTTGTTTGCCAGTGGTGCCTGGATAATTGCACCTACCAGTGCACCTCCAAGGAATCTGATGACATTGTTAGTATATGAATATAGTCGCTAATGTGATCCTACGTACCCACTAAGCATTCCATCTTCAATGGATGTAGCATCCTCTGTAGACAAAAACTTTGCGATGAATGTGGTCTGGGAGAGAGATCCTGAGAGCGCGTTGGCAGCAAATCCATACAAAAATCCACCTAGGCACGCGGTCGCGACAACCTTTTGAAATTAGCAACATCCTTTGAAGAGAAAGATGGAAAGATAAATACCAAGATGTTGATTAAACTAGTCTCTTGTGCATGTTCCTTGATGCTGCGGACATCAACAGCCGCCTCATCCTTCTCTGGCTCATTTGACACGCTACCCATATTGATACGTAATGCTCAATTAAGAATGTAGAGTGGACCAAAATGAAATAGAGAGAGTAAAGAATAAAACTTTGTATGTCGGAATTAAAGTATCATATTAGGTTTTCTACTTCGGCATCTAGCCCCCGTTACTTCCCCTATTTCCACAATAATATTGTTTTGCAGTTCTCAATACCGAGTCAAGAGTACAGGGATGCGCCTTGCTAATTTCCCGCTACTGACTCTTCAATTCTTATCTGGATTGCGTGCGAAGTACTTCCTAAGGGACACATGAAAAACTTGATTCGCAGCCAAATGCAGCCAAATGCATATCAGATGGAGACCTCGTTGGTGCTCAAACGTTGCAGGAAGACGCTAGGTGCAATTCATGGCAAGATCTTCATGGCCACGGGCTCATTATGGAAAAGATCCCGTATAGTCATTCGTATAATTGGAAGGAATGCGGGCTGTACTCCCTACAGCGCAGGATCATCCCCGGATTATCTTCGGCGCTTGATGCGTGGCCCCTGTTTCACCCGTCGAACAGCCACGAGCCAGCCGTTGCCAAGCAAAGCACGAAGAACAATCAAATCCCGATATCAGGATCTTCTTTTTGGGTGGATGGGCCAGATTCACTTCCGAAGCTAGCTCAGCCTAGCTGCATTGTCGCGTGCCTCGTAGTGGCACTTTTAGGCCCGCGCTAGCGAGCCGTGGCTGGCTCCACAATGGTAAGCTTCTGAAGAGTTGCGCGGCAGGGATTCAAAAGTACCGAGGAAGGGTGCGTTGCCGAAATGGATGAAGATCGCTCTAACGATCGGATCCACAACAGAGAGTCAATTGTTGGTATAGTTCAATCCTGTCAAGCCACCGGATCCAAGCCAAACCGGTAGTTTATTCCACGTGTGGTTTAACCTCCGGCAAGATAAACCGTGCGACTGTTGATCTATAGTCCAGAACACCATTGAACATAAAACCCGGTGAAGCTGCATTTGACCCGTGGGCCAATCCTTGTGCTCCTTCAGGTTCTTCTTTTCTTTATCCTCCTTTTCTCTTACATCAAAAAAGTACCTTTCCCAATTGCTTTCTAAGCGAACATCTACAACAATGAACTTTCCAGAAGCGACCATTTTCCCTGTCCTTAAGGACAAGGTAGCAATTGTGACTGGCGGTGCCCAAGGCATGGGCAAGGCTACGGCCTCCGTATTTCTCAGAGCGGGTGCCAAAGTTGTTATTGCAGATCTGAAGGAAGAGCAAGGTGCTCAGGTTGCAGAAGAGCTCTCTTCTCTCGGAGAGGTCCGATTCGTCCGTACTGATATCTCAAAATCCGAGGATGTTCAGGCCCTCATTGCAGAGACTGTTCGTGCGTTTGGAAAGTTAGACGTAGCGATCAACAATGCCGCTATGACCCCTGACCAAACGTCTCTAGTTGAGGCTGACGAGGATTACTGGCGTCGTTTAATCGATGTGAATTTGACAGGAACTGCCCTTTGTTGCAAGTATGAGATGCAGCAGATGAGAAAGCAAGGCACTCCTGGTTCCATCGTGAATATCGCTTCCATCAATGCTTATATGCCTCAGCCAAATATGCCGGCATATACGGCAGCAAAGCATGCCCTGCTTGGGTTGACCAAACATGCAGCAACCGAGGGTGGGCCCACAGGCATTAGAGTCAACGCTATTGCTCCAGGTGCAATTTTTGTAAGTCATTCAATCGTGGAACCAAAGAACATCATACAGTACTAATGATAATAGAGCGAAATGTCTGCCAAGGCCTTGGAGATTATGGGTACTACTCATGACGAATTCGCTCCCAAGGTCAGCAGCTTGAACAGATTTGGTCAGCCACATGAAGTAGCTCAAGGGTCTCTGTGGCTCGCTTCAGACAGCTCATCGTATGTCACCGGTATTAGTCTGCCTGTCGATGGAGGTTTCTTGTCAAAATGGTAAATCTTTGGAACGGAAATTTTTTGCACAACGTCTTATTGTCATGTACTCCATATTTTATCCGCTTTGTTTGTATCATAAGTGAGAATCAAATATGTAATATTCATCTACTGTACGCACCGGAGAGAAGCCCGAAGTTTTCCGCACAAGCTGGCCACTCATGTGGATACATATGAAATCTCTCCATTCTTGTGCATGGGGAGTACGGAGCACGTATGTATCTGGTAGTGATAAACCAGGCGAAAGTGGATTCGGAACAGTTCCTGTTAGCCTTCACCTAATTAAACTAACTCGGGGTTTTAGTTCATTTTTCCGCGCTATTTTTTTCTTTTCTTTTTCACTAGCGGGATGTACACTCTTTTAGTGTTGCTCCATCCTTTGGGCCAAGAGTGGAGCTTCAGGAGTCTTTACTTCCCCGATGGCTTCCAAGTACTACTAACTTCGGACTTGATGCGGTGTAGAGCAATTCAACGTCAGCAACTGCGTATACAAAGTAGTTCCATCTCTCTTTTTTTGACACATACACACAGCAAATATACTCTTCCACTTCCATCATGGGTAGTATCTCGAATGGGCCTTGTCCCACTCGGATTTATGAAAACAAGATTGCTCTTGTTACTGGATCAGCTCGTAGTATGTAGACCCAATCAAAAGAGAAATACCCTGCGCTAACAAGCTTCATAGGCATTGGCGCTGCGATCGTTCGCAATCTAGCCAGCAAAGGTTGCCACGTTATTATCAACTATGCAACCCCGGCGTCGGACAAACCAGCTCAGGACCTTGCCTCCGAGCTTGAGGCGACTCACTCAATTCGAGCTCTGCCCATTCGGGCAGATATAACCACAAAAAGCGAATGCGAACGAATTGTGTCAACGGCAAAAGAGTATTTCACAGATCGCAACACGGGGAAGTTCCAGATCGATATCATCGTCCACAATGCTGCTGTTCTCTTCCTTGGTCCTCTTGAATTTGTTGATCCCGATGAATTCCACAGAATTTACGAAGTCAATGTTCTAGGCCCTATTCTCTTGACAGGGGCGTGCAAAGAATATCTCCCTCGTGACCGTTCGGGTCGCATTGTGATGATTTCAAGTATCAATTCGAAGGTCGGAACGGAGAATACCACACTATACGCAGGCACCAAGGGTGCTATAGAAGCCATGACAAGAGTTTGGTGTCGGGAACTGGCTGAGCGAGCGACTGTCAACTCTATCAACCCGGGCCCTGTGATGACCGATATGTATCTCACAGCGCCAGACGAGGTCAAGGAGGGACTCGCACTTTGGAATCCGCTTACCCCGTTAGTTGCCGTCCGTGAATCGGACAATGACGAAGTAAAGAAGTTGGGTGAAAAGTTTGGCGGCAGGGCAGCTTATGCTGAAGAGATCGCTGGCTTGATTGCTACCATCTGCAACCCAGAGTTTGGATGGTGCACTGGAAGCATTATCTCTGCGAATGGTGGTCTGTCTTTCAGTATCTAAGACTCACTTTAGTTCCAAACTTGGTACTTAGACTGCATTTTGCTTTGCTTTTCTTTTTAGAAAAAAATTAAACATTTAAGAGATGGGCATCCATCATTATCGAACAGACATTTATCTACGAGAGGCTCTTCCACCACAGATCAGATGTCATCAGATACGAGCTTGCTTTAATCAGGATTTGTGGTAATAAAAATATACGATGTTCAACTAAATCGTCCCAGAGTCAATGCATCTTCAAACATAAATGAAATCCTACAGTTCATCATGCTCGGCCTCCTCCTTCTGCGACTCATGCTTGCTTTGAAGGCCATCGACTAGGTTCTCGGGCAATTTTCCCTTGGAGCCTTCACCAAGGCGAATGGCATCAATCCATGATTCAACGGCAGAGACGCCGAAGTCCCCTTCCCCAGCGTATCGTCGCCACCAGCCACGGCGGGCATTGACAGCGATGATCTCCACCTCTTGCTTGTCAGCGAGGCTCAATTCGCTGCGCAAAGTCTCTGTGGCAGTATTGAGTTGAGGAATAGAGTAGATAGGGAAAAGCTTAGCGCCACGCAGTGAGTGCTTGTGTGCGATCTCAGCGAGACTCGAAAGCGCATCAGTAGCCACCGAAGGGAGTTCTGCATCGGCGTCCCCTGTTCCGGGGAGAAGGACAAGAACACAGGTATTGGACTTGGATGCTAGACAGGCGGACTCGAGGGTTTCGGGGGTGGCTAGAACGGACACAGCGGGCACAACAGGGGCGGTCTGTGTAGACTTGGCCTCTGTGGTATCGGAAGATGCACCATTTTCAACGTCATCCCCCTCCGCAGGTTCTTGAGAGGCCGGTTTGGTCTTAGGCTTCGACTTGGGTTTGGGCTTGGAGTTGACGGCCGCAGCCTTGCCATTGGCGTCTGGGTTCGGCTCGGCGAATTGGCTCAGGAATTCGATGATGGGCTGTTTCTTCAGTTCGCCCTCATACACCTTGTATTCAGCATCACCGCCGGGGACGACGACTAGTGTTGGGAATTCTTCGACACCGAACTTCTCCACGGAGCTAGACTCCTTATTGCGAACTTGGGCAACATCAATCGCGCCCAAGAAGTCGACAGCTAGCGCACGAATTAGTGCACTTGTGGTTCCCTTCTCGGTGAAGAGGATGGCCTTTGGTCGTTCTTCGTTCTGTCCCAGCCATTTATCCAAGTCTTTGTCTGTTGCGCGCTTCACATGGTTGGGGATGCGATCCACCACAGCGTCAACAATACCCTTCGCAGTCCGTGGGCCTTGGTAATCTTCGACGCGTGGATGTCCTGCTTTTTTCGAAGGAGTCACAATTTTCAGAGTTGGGAAGCCTTGGACACCCATTTGCCCACAGAAGGGCTTGTTTTCGTCCTCATCGCAGTTGACCGCCGCGACCTTTGCCAGGCCATTCAGATTTTGTGCGGCTTTCTCGTAGGCGGGTTTCAAGCTCTGGCAGTGACCACACCAGGGGGCGTAGAATCTGAGGGAGTGAGAAAGGGAAATTTCAGATGCGTGGTTCGGGGGAGGTGTGTTGATTGGTGCGGGGGATTACCTACTCGACGATCTACAAGAAGCTTAGTTAGTACTTGACAAAATCTCAGTAAAGGCAAGAAAAATAACAAAAATAACAAAAATAAAAAGACGAGAGCTTACCGATGTGTGATTGGAGTTTGCGACCAGTGAACCATAGGTCTTTTGGTTCAACTGAAGCACCGGCGACTTTTTCGTGTAGATCCCATCCGCGTTTACAGCGGCCAATAGTGAAGCCACGAGTAGAATGGAGCTCTGGGGCAACATCATGAATGGGGAATAGTAAAATCAAATAGATGTGAAAGATGTGAAAGAAGATAATTTACTCTTCAAAGTAGAAAGAAGAGCGTTGTTGAGCTGAAGGAAGTTATGAAGTAGATTACGCAAGGTGTCCTGAAGCTCTTGGCATGCGGAGAGGGTACGGGGGAGTATAGTGGCCAGCAGGCAAAAAACTCTCTTAGCACAATATTAAAAGTTACCGCCTAGTACACCGCTGTATCATACTTTTCTGCCGGTCTAAACCATGCCAAAATGGGGTTTCTTCCCCATGGCAGCTATAGTCCCCCGTAGTATGCGGAGAGAGAAAGAGCCTCTCTCTCTCCACTGGAGAAGCTTCATCCCCCCTTGATGTCTGCGTCTCTCGCCCGCAGTAATGACCACGTCGCCTGGTACCGGTGTCCAGAGTAGCTGTGATCTGGCCTTTTTACCTCGGGATATTTTCTGGCTGATTGCTTGTTATTTGGCCCCCAGAGATCTGGTCTGTTGTCGTCGTGTCTCACAGCCATGGCGTGAAGCGTTCGGTAACCCGGCCATCCTGGTCCCACTTATGAAGAAGCATTTCCCGTGGACACAAGAAGTCAAGGATCTACGCGCTAGCTCTACAGAATTAGATGATCATCATATCCGCCATCTTTTTGATCAAGTCACCGCGCGATACTTTTATCTAGAACGCGGGAAGCCCCGCTCAATTCAGAAACACCGTCTGTGCGACGACTTTGGCGGCGCAGGAGACCGAGAGTGGTTCCAGGTACAACCGTGGGAGTCGCATGCTAGTCACGTCAGGCAATTCGTGGATCGCCAGTTCTCAGAAGCGTTATGGACGCACGATGAGGGACTCCTGGTTTACCCTAGTGCCGACCACCAATGTCTAGTTCTTATGGATATGAGCAATGACCGGCATTTCATGGTTCCATTAATCATTCGTGGCAAAGTCATTCGAAGGGTACGGCTGCAAATGCGCCTTCTAGTGGTCGAATGGGCCGAAACCAAAGCCTTTCATTGGCTTAATGATAGTGATGGCGTGCATCGTCATTTTGCTTCATCCTTCGATGTGACCCCAAATTCTGATGCTGGCTGGACGGTTGCCCCGCGTAACGAATGGAAGATAATGTTCCTTGGACACCCACTCAGTGAACGAGACCGGTTTTTTTCTGCACACACTGATACGTATTATGTGATCTATATCTGGCAACCCAATCGAAGTCTGTATACCGCGGATGACGACGCACCCATCGAGTCATTATTCGTATGGGATATCTCTAAGTCTTCTTCATATCGACCGTCCCTAGATCCCATGGGCCGCCAAACGGGTCCTGACGTTGACGAATCGCCCTCTATCGTGACTAGGTTCGGTTTTCGAGATCTTGAGTTCTTTGGAGTCCGCCAACGCGGTTGCCCAAGCATTCAACAGCTTGAAGTCACAGATGATGGCCAAGCAGTCGTAATAACAGAAAATCTGAACACTTGGCTGACAACTTCGGACCCTCTTGGTTTACCTATGACCATAAGGACTACTATTCCATTGCAGGGCCATGGCCCTCACTGGCGCGAAGAGAGTAATTTGATCCTAGCGCCTTACCGCGGCAATTGCAACTTACAGGCATCACCCTTGAGCGCCATGGCCTTGTTTGTTGAATGCTGGTACGGCATAATTGCCCAGGTGACTGATCCGAAAGCCGGCCTTAGCTTCTGTCTGCATTTTGATCCAGTGCAATGGGCCGAAAACGGGAGAGACAGTGAACATAAGCAGCCTATAAAATTTTCTATCCAGACTATGGACTCGCAAACCACCACGGATAACTTGGATTTTACAGGACGTGGCAAAATTAACGGTTGCGAACATTACGTAGTCGGTGAAAATCGCAACCGTGAACTGGTTATATATAGATTTGATCGGTGACAGCAACGTTGGAATGTTAGAATAAATACTACTAGTATGTAATGACTCTTTTTTCTTCATGATACTGACTAGTAGTCTTCGATATTTCCCGATAAGATCATCTATTGAGATGCCCAGGAGTAGTACCAGTACTCACGTACATAGTATCTAATAGGTATATTCTACTAGTTGTAATTCCAGAGCTTCCGAGTCGCATGTTGAGAAATTGAACGTGAACCTCGTCTTCGAAATCGACTCTTGAATGCCCTTGTTCCCCTAGGTCACATGGAAATCCCCAATAGAGCCTCAAAACTGACTGAAATACAAAGGAAGTTTTGTAGTACCACCATGCCCAATTTTCATCACAAAATGACTGAGAACGACGAATAAGAATCATAGATGATAGAGGGCGGCCCTGAGGAAAAACAGAAAGAAACCTAGAGATGACAGGCTTTGAAAGCGACCGCGTGGAGAAAAACGAGACCATGCTCTCCAAACTTGCCTCAAATTTGCAAGAGGAAAAAACAGGAACGAGAAAACGCAGAGAGAATCAGTCATCGCGAGAAAACTTGCACCGAACGCACGCCTTGATACCACAACCTGAGCAAGTCAAGACAAAAACGGGCATCCATAAGTGGCACTTGGGGCAGACAGGTATCCCAGAAAGCTGATACCAGACACCCAAATGCGAGCACGGTTGTTTCTCGTTCTTTGTTTGTTGCAACGATTTGCTATCGTTCAAAGAATCCCGAACGCCCCCAAGCCAGGAGCCGTAGATCTCGAGCACAAGGCCCTGTATTTCAGCATACATATCATCTTCTGAGTATCGAGTACGGGGGCTACTTAGCTTCATCTTGAAAAATGGTATGAATGGTTGCAGGAGTTCTGTGACTCTATCTTTGGTAGGAGATTTAGGCTCGTTGTGAGGAGTGGAAGGGGTAGATTTGATAGGCTCAGCGGGTTCAATGGGTCCATAGCGTTCGTTTGCTTTGGGGGTAACAGGAGTATTTGGTTTAGGTGTAGGTGGCTCAGGGTCGCTCAGGTCAATGAGACAGCCGCCATTAGCCACATTGTCAGGTTGGGCTAGCATGGTAGTGCTATCAGTATTTGAATCAACCTGCACGTTCAGCCCAACCTCAACGACATTTCGGTGACTATCACTTTCTTCCTTTTCAAGCCCATAATAATGCCAATCCTCCTCGCTCACGATGCTCTCCTCTGTACTTTCCATGTACTCATCAGCTCGCTTCTCCTCTTCAGTTGGTCCACCCTCGTCGTTATGCATCTTATTCTCTGCTTCCTCCTTCTCTCGTGCTATCCCAGCCTCCATGAGCTCCCTTTGGTATTTTTCCTTCGCCTTCTCCACCTCTGGATCAATTCTGGCCCATCTATCTGCCCACTCTTCTTGGTCATGCTCATGACGTGCCATCTCTTGTCGGGATGCTTCTGAGTCAGGATCCATGTGTACGCAGGTACCGTATGTGAAGCGATAGCGATCTGCAGGATCATCGAAGTTCCACTTTTCAGGGCCTGTTGACCAGAATGGGACCTCCTTGTACCAATTACGCCGGTCATCTGAGTTATGGTAACGCCTACCGCGTTTGTTGGAAGAAGGCGTGGACGGCAATTGTAGCTTTTCGTCATGGAGACGCCGTAGAGCAGGCTCTCGGAGGACCTCTATTGCTTGCTGGATCTGTAAAGTTTCAATTCATTTAGCCTTGTGCAAATCAGAAGGTTGAACATGGGTATTAAAGTAAATCAGATATCATCGCTGGGACCCAGATGTATACTCTTACCAGGCGGAATTTATCCGCAGAAGCTTGATCGCCGCTTGTCTTGTCAGGGTGATGAATCAAAGCCAGCCTCTTATAGGCTGCGCTGATTTGCTGCTGCGTTGCATCGTGAGAACTTTCCAATGCGGTGTAGTAGTTGGTAGTAGTAAGAGAAGAGTCCATTGTGTTTAAAACGGTGAAGTTTCGTTGATCAACCCTGTCAATGCGGGGATTTACCAAAAGTCTTCTAGTAGTCGTTCAGATACCAGTTTCCAGGGAAGTTTGTCGGGTATAGCGTGGATAGATTGTAGGCTTTGGTGGTCAAATGAAGACTTCTGCTGATGAATCGTGAGCTTTGACCGAGGATTATCTGAGTGTGACTAAAGTTATCAATAAGCCAATTGAGGATTGAAGTAAAAGAAGACTGAACGTCGCAGAGAAGATATGGTAAGAGACAAGGCAGCTTTGAAACACTCCAAGGGTGTGCACATGTGGCTATCGCCAGAGGAAGGCAAAATAATAAGAGCTGAAGATGGAAGTGATGAGAGGAAATGTAAGACGGGCTCGATATTCGAACTTGTGTGGGCCAAGCCAATCAGTATCGACTACATGATTAGCCAAGGCGATTCGAGTTGAAATAAGTTATGGTTTAGGCAGAACAATCAAGCACTAAGGGAGGGGAGGAAATAATGTGAGAAATACGTAGAAAGTGAGCCTGTTCATGCCAGGAGCACATATGAAATTGGAATGGATTGACACTGATTTTACAAAAACGGAGGGTCGATCTAAATATCAACAAAGTCTACGCCGAAGGCGACTTTATCTTGTATAAGACTTCTAAGAAGGCTTTTACATATCGGCGGAGGCGGTGGCACCGGTAATAATCTCAACCAGCTCACCGGTAATGGCGGCTTGACGCTGTCGGTTGTACAGAATCTGGAACCTGTTTAAGGCGTTAGAATTTGATGGTTGAGGGGAAATGATTGAAATTGGAGGGACACTGACTTGTTGATCATCTCACCAGCGTTCTTGGAGGCGTTCTCCATGGCGTTGCGACGAGCCTGCAAAATAGTTTAGTAAATGGGACAAGCTAGCTTGGGTGGAACGTATTCATACAGAGATCTCACAGGCGTGGCCCTCAGCCATAGCCCAGAAGAGGTTGTTAGCAAGAGCATACTCGCGGAGGCTGGCCAGAGCCTCGTCGTCAATCTCGAAAGCGGAGATGTTGGCTATAAGAAAAAGATAAAGGGTCAGTAATGCCGACACGGAATAGCTTCGGTAGGGACGAATGATGTCTTACCGGACTGGGTGATAGCCTCCTCGGAGTAGGCCTCAACGGTGGAAGGCTCGTAGCTCTGAGCGTTAAGGAACTTGTTGTAAACAATCTTGATGCTGCTGTAGTCGGTAGGCAGCAGGGCGATCTGGTCGGCAATAGCCTGGGCATCGGCGAAGGTGGGGATGTCCTTGCAGACGTTGGCGAAGCTGAGCTGGATCTTCTCGGGAGCGAAACGCGACAGCTGAGCCTTGGCCTTCTCACCGAGGATGACGATATCGGCATCGGGGTTCTTAGCCAGAAGGCGACGAGTGGCCTTGCTCAGACCGGAGTGGATACCACCACAGAGACCCTTGTCGGAGCTAGCCACGACGTAAAGAGTCTTCTTGTCCTCCAGAGGCTTGGTCTCGGCCTTCTCGAAAACAGTGTTGGAGGTCTCACCGTAGGCGCGGGACTCATCCATGGCCTTCTGGGCACGAGTAAGACGGGTGGAGGCAACGATCTTCATGGTGTTGGTGATCTTCTCGATGTTCTTGATGGACTTGAGACGGCCCTCAATTTCACGGAGAGTCGCGAAGTTGGCGGCATTGGGCGGGGCAGTGCTTGGATGGGAGTTAGCATTGTATGTCGTGTCGATTGATTGGTGAAGCGATTGAGCTTAGAGGTGGTTTTTTGTCTTTGTGAGGAGGGGGGGGGAGTAAAGGGTGGTGAACTGCTATGTGGTGATGTCGAATTCGGCAAGTGAAGGACCGGAACACCTGAGCGGGCATCGGACGAAGACTTACCGGGTAACAGCAGCACCGCCAGCCCGGAGGGCTGGGCGAACAGCACGGGAGAACATTGTGAGGAGGATTCAAGGAGAACGAACTGGGCAGTTCGATATAGGGGAGAGGGGAGGGGGAAGAGAGCAGGAGTATGCAAGAAGACCTCGCTGGTTGCTGAGTAGTTGCGATGGTCGGGAAGTGCGAAGTTGAACTCCTGGCCGTCCCAGCTGCGCTAAACCCGAACGGGGAAGAATTTACGGCGTGCGATTCCGGCTTCCGGCGCAGTTTGGAGCCTTGGTGCCTTAACAGCTTAATGGGGTAAGACGGAGACTAGTTAACTAAGCTATCATGTTAGTCAGCATGTCTTGGTATTACATAATCTCCATGACAACATTTAAACCTTGATGATAAGGCACCAAGGCACTCAGGCATCAAGACTTCACTATGTAAATTCCGCCTAATGGCCTCAGGCAGCATGAGGTAACTAAAGTGCTAACTCATTTTCCCATTCCATTCCCTCCATTCCCTCCCATTCCCCCAAACTTCCTTTCACTCGTGGAAGTGAGTCTCTTATTTTTCTTTTGCCCCCATTATTCTTTTCCTCCCAACCCACCCCTTTCTTCACCGGAACTTTTTCCCTTCTGCATCTTTTTAATGCATCGTTTTTTCTAGTTCCTTGTTTCCCCTCGGTTCATTGGCCAGAATTCCCTTGACCTCATCCTCACTCTATCAAGCGGCTCGTTTGGCCCGACCCGGCGCACGAGGACTCTCGGCTTTGGTCATCTCTCGTTTCTTCAATTCTCGCCTCCGGTTCCCACTTCCACTGCTTCAATCCATCATGAGCTCCTCGGAGGATGACGTGCCTCTAGCGCGCGCGAATGGTCGCGCGAAAGGTAAGCCTCTGCTCTCCCCCGGGTGATTCGGTTCGATGTACCACTCCTTCGGCTCTTATTCTCTCAGCCAAGGATTCTTTCTCTTGAACTGCCTTTTACTCCCGATTCTTCTATCTTCCCCTGCCTACAATCCCATACACGTTCTGTCATTGACCTGCCACCTTACTATCGTCGTATTCGTTCCCTGGTCTGTTTCGCGCTTAACTAACATACGATCATCCGCACTTCTAGCTACCCCAATGACCAAATCCCCGGCGACAAACGGGGATCTCGACCCGGGTGTTTCAGTTCGATTTGGTCCCGTGGAGGACAAGGACGTGAAGATGGAGGACGTGGACTCGGCGCGCAGTGCCGGTAAGCGCAAATCTCGGGGAAGCATTGACCAGAAAAAGTCATACGCCGAACCGGAGAGTAGCGATGAAGAGGACAAGCCATTGGTACGCCATACCCTGCTCTGACGAGCACGTCCGAATTGCGATATTACAGTCGCATTTGGTTTCAGCGACTGACCACTCGACAGAGCAAACGCCGACGAACATTCGTGAAGCATGAAGACCCCGAATCCGATGACGATGTTCCCCTGGCTTTAAATGGACGAAAGCTCCCCAAGGCCTCGGAAACCGCCATTGGCGATGAGTCTGACTCCGATGTTCCGATTGAGAGGAAACTCTCCGCACAGAAAAAGAAGATTGAGCAGAAGGCCGCCAAAGATGCCCGCACTGCCCGCAAGCCCGCTCCAAAGAAGGATGCCAAACCAGCTGCAGCTACAAAGAAGCAGACCAACGGTGTTAAGAAAGAAGCCGCCGATGACAAGTCTGCTATTAAGAAGGTGAAGTCTCAGTCGGCCACCCCCAAGAAGGGTAAGGCCGCCGTGAAGGCGGAGAGCGAGGATGCAGAGGAAAAGGACGAAGATGAGGAGGAAGAATACAAGTGGTGGGAGGATCCGACGAATGGTGACGGCACAAAGAAATGGACCACATTGGAGCACAGTGGTGTTGTTTTCCCGCCTCCTTACGAGCCCCTGCCGAAGAATGTCAAGTTGAAGTACAACGGAATTCCTGTAACTCTGCATCCCGATGCTGAAGAGATTGCTGGATTTTTCGGAGGCATGCTCAATTCCACCCACAACGTTGATAACCCAGTTTTTCAGAAGAACTTCTTCGGCGATTTCAAGGATATCATCAAGAAAACCGGCGGCGCCAAGGACGCTCAAGGCAATAAGGTAGATATCAAAGATTTCACAAAGTGTGACTTCAAGCCTATCTTTGAGTTCTATGATGCCCAGCGCGCGGAAAAACGGAATCAACCTGCCGCTGAAAAGAAGCGACTAAAGGCTGAGAAGGACGAGCAAGAAGCCAAATATCAATTTTGTATCTGGGATGGCCGGAAGCAGAAGGTTGGCAATTTCCGTGTCGAACCTCCATCTCTGTTCCGTGGACGAGGTGAACATCCTAAGACTGGCCATGTCAAGACTCGTGTTTTGCCGGAACAAATTACCATCAACATTGGCAAGGAAGCAACCGTTCCACCTCCTCCGGCTGGTCATAGCTGGAAAGAGGTGAAACATGACCAGGAGGGCACATGGCTTGCTATGTGGCAGGAGAACATCAACGGCAATTACAAATACGTGATGTTGGCCGCCAACTCTGATGTCAAGGGCCAAAGTGATTACAAGAAGTTCGAGAAGGCCAGGGAGCTCAAGAAGTATATCGACAAGATCCGTAAGGATTATCAGAAATCTCTGAAGCACGATCTGATGGTGGAGCGTCAGAAGGCTACCGCTGTCTACCTCATTGATCAGTTTGCCCTTCGTGCTGGAAATGAGAAAGGCGAGGATGAGGCCGAAACTGTCGGCTGTTGCTCGCTCAAATACGAGAACATCAGTTTGAAGCCTCCAAATACAGTCGTCTTTGACTTCCTGGGTAAGGACAGTATTCGCTTCTATGACGAAGTGCAAGTCGATGCACAGGTCTTCAAAAACTTGAAAATCTTTAAAAAGGCCCCCAAGAAGAATGGCGATGAAGTGTTTGATCGGTTGACTGTATGACATCATTTCTTTCTCCCAGATTATTTTCTCAGCTAATTTATGTTCAGACTTCGGCTCTCAACAAACACTTGCAAAACTACATGACCGGCCTTACTGCCAAGGTATTCCGAACTTACAATGCGTCCTTCACGATGAGCACTCTTCTCAAGGAGATGAAGGCTACTGGTACAATCGCAGAGAAGGTCAAGGCATATAACGATGCAAACCGCAAAGTAGCCATTCTTTGTAATCACAAGCGAACAGTGACTGCCGGCCACGCCAATCAAATGGAAAAGCTGGGCGAACGGGTATGTTTCGCAGATTTCGATATACCTGCTATAAAAAGCTAACAAAGCTTGTGATCACAGATTAAGGGAATGCGCTACCAGAAGTGGCGTTTTAAGCAGCAGATGCTTGACCTGGAACCTACTTTGAAGAAAAAGAAAGGCGCTTTGTTTTTTGAACGAGACGAGGACCTCACCTTGGACTGGATCAAAGAGCATCAGAACTTCCTGTTGGAGGAACAAACTCAAAAAATCAAAAAGAAGTTTGAGAAAGACAACGAGAAGCGTGTTGCTGATGGCGAAAAGGAAATGAAGACATCTGAATTGAACGAACGCCTTGATACTGTCAAAGACATGGAGAAAAAATTCAACAAGGAAAACAAGTCCGGCAAGGTTGAGGCAGAGGGCAAAGGCCCAACTGTGGAGAAGCTCGAAGCGGCCATCATAAAGCTTGATCAGCGTGTTGAGACCATGTCGGTTCAAGCCCAGGACAAGGAGGATAACAAGGAAGTTGCCCTTGGAACTTCAAAGATCGTAAGTATCATTTCTCGAGATTGACTGGCTATCACCGCTGACCCTCTTTTTTTTTCTAGAATTATATCGATCCTCGTCTTACTGTCGTATTCAGCAAGAAGTTCAATGTTCCTATTGAAAAGTTCTTCTCAAAGGCACTGCGTGAGAAGTTTGAGTGGGCTATTAAGTCTGTCGAACAGGACTGGGAGTTCTAAAAATGATCATCTATATCAAGGTGATTTAAGAGCATTACAATCTCTGGACGTTTATCTACGATCTGGTTCTTCATCCCCCCCTTTCTCCCCTTTCAGTCTAGCTTTTTTGAACCCGGGTGGTGCAAGTTCTTGTTTTGTTTTGTTTTTGACTTTCTTTTGGTTTTGGTGGTTTTATTTCCCTCTTTCATACAAGTATGCGTTTCCGGGATCGTCCAAGGCACAGAAGTTCTTTTCTCATGGGCATTGAACGTTTCAAGGTCTATCAACCCTAACACAGTATCGGAGGATTATACACAGCGCAAAACAGATCCAAGAAAGATGCATTGCATCCCTTCTTCTGCATAAAGCGGTTTCATCAGTTTCAAGCATCCAGGATGGACATCGTCGATGCATAAGACATAACCAGGAAGTTCCCCTGTATTCTATTCAGCCCGCAACCTGTTTCCATAGTTTCTTAGAAGAAAAAAAACAATTTACAGCTTGATCAGTTTAACAAAATATTCGTACATCAGCATCCAACACATTCATTAGCAAACAGCCATGCTTTATGATCCGCTACGAGTAAATGACTGGCCAATTCCAAGGTTTGAAGCAGGCCTACAAAGCTTGAACTATACAGAATTTCCGAAATATTCATGATCATTAAACAACATTCATATACAGTTGGTAAACGGTTGTTTCATAATTTGCCATCCTCGACAGCTCAGGGCTGATTGATATATTCAACACCTCCAAAAGGGTGTATCTCATACTTAAAAAAATAACTTCTGGCCAGCAGAAGTATCAGGATATTGATCCATCATGATTCAAGCACCAATCAACTACATGGTCATGGGTATTGTTGATGGTATGTTCTGCGCAAATTCGGCCTCAAGCTTCACCAAAATATCTCGGGCCATTCTGTTAACATCACCTAGGGATCTCAAAGCAAATAACAGACATCTGATACTTTCATGAGTAGGTCTGTCAGGAAAAACAAGCTGTGTAGTTGGAGCACCAAGAAACCTAGCAACTATGCATATAGCACTTGAAAGAAATATATGCATCTTGAAGAAAGCAACATGAGGCAACGTTTGCATAAGACCAATCACTTCACCTGCAGATTGATATGCGGTCTGCTTGTATGTTAAAGATATCATTTGATCATCGACTGTTTGCCAAGGTCTCTCCTCAGCCGTGTTACTAAGAAAAACACACATGCTATAGGCTAGGACCTGATTGAAAACACTCATGATATCATGTTTCAGATTCGGACCGGTTATTGCAGACTGATTCGACAGCTGCTCCTGTGGCTGTGCCTGTGTCTTGATAGCAGATTCAACAACCGCAGCTAACCATTGATGTCTAGCCCAAAAGCTCTGTGATTCTATCTCAGACCCTGGAGGTGACACGGATTGTGAAAGCCGACGGTGGGTTATGCAGCGCTCAAAAAGGCTCGCCAGCGATACACATTGAGCGAAAGGAGGCAGTGCAGCATACCGATTGGCATTGCCAGCGGTTTCAGAAAGAAATCCCATAGTAACTGGTTGTTGGCCATTTTGAAAGTCTTCTTCGGGCATTGGAAGCCGGGCATAAATCTATAACGTCTCATCAGCCGATATGTTCAATATAATTTCTAGGGAAAGGTAACCAACAATTTCTTCGTGTAGTATTGGGGGTCGGTGATTGAGCATGCTAGATAGTCGGTCAAGAACAAATGCTGTCCAAATTGTCCGCCGCATTTCCTCAGTTTCCACCCAGGCTCTTTTGGACATAACATTGGTAGTCATTGACGAAGGCCCAAAGGAACGCGTGGCCCGAAAATCATTTTTATTTGAGTCCAGCGAATTTTGCATATCGACATTGAATATGGTAGAAAGTTGCAGGAGTGTAAAAGCGCGCCCCGATGTGAGAAGAGCCTCTTGCTCCGACTTGCGTAAAAACTCACAGTGAGCTAGCAGAAGCCATGCCTGAATTAATTCATGATCTATTCGGCTATGTGGGCTTCTGGGCCTTGTTGCCCATGGAAATTCTGCAGGCTCTTGCACGTCTAATGTCTCAAGCATGATGCGAGTTCGTGCATAGAGGACATCAGCAATCTCATCAAATCCAGCTGACATGGCAGCAGCAATAGCTCGGACAGCTAAACGTAGACAAGCACGAGTGGGAGAGGTCTCTCCATTCCGAGCCCAAGAAAAATAGTGATCCTTGTGAATCATGGGAATAATAGGGTGGACACGCTCAAAGTATAATAAATCCCTGTTCAAACGCTAGGAGATTAGTTCTCGGTATATCCTTTGCTGTGTCATGAATAAAACCTGGGCCTTCTTCATACAAATCATTCAGAGTAAATTCAGATACCTCGAAGCCCTCCCTAAGAGTCATGCGGCTCAAAGATTGTTTGACTGGGGAAGTGGGCATTGAAGAAGCGGGTCGGTGACTGTACAGAGTAGTTGAACCTGATGCAAAGCTCTTATTATCCGACCACGCTCGAGGTGGATGGCCCGGTGGCATCTCCCCAAGAATCCGATCCTCTAAGTTGGACATATTCGCGGTCGAGGTGCTCGTCGAGCCATAGCTAGATCGTCGCGTGGCATCATCGTCCGTTTCCGTATAGGCTTTGTGTCCAGGCAGACCACCTGGCTGGTCTTGTTCTGGGCTCATTTCAACAGACTCGAGTACCTTAGAAGTTTCTTCGTTTCCGGATCCCTGACTAGCTAGCTGCTGTTCAATTACCGCTGCCATAAAGTATCCCAGTTAATGGATACTACGTAAATCCAAGACAAGGTCTAACTCACCCATACGAGATCTTAGTTCTTTCAACTGACCCTTCTTGGGTCCTCTAGGCGACCTCTTGTCTACATACACACATTGTCGACCTGAATCTGTGCATATACCACATTGTGGACGCACGCGATCACATCGTGCTTTGCGTCTGCGACATTCCTCGCAGGCCAGTCCTGGTTGTTGCCTGGCCATTGTGATGCTCAAACGAAAAGAGAAAGAAAAAAGAAAGGGGAATTGGGAAAAAAAAAGGGAGGGGGCTTAGCCGTTGATACTATTATTAAAGAATCATGGATTTTGCTTGTTTTATACATCGACAGCCAACCGGGAAGCACAGAACATTTGAATGATTTATAGTGTATATCCACCTGGTCATGGCTTTGGGCCAAGACGAAACTAGGGGCAGGAACCAACAGAGATCGGCAATGTCCGGGATCTCAAAATACAAGGCTTAAGGACTTGGGCCGAGGTCTCAACCCGTGTAAGTGCTTTGCCACGTTGTTGACGGCCAGATGACTACTTTTTATGACAGGTGGAACTAGAGTCAGGGGTAGGACTTGCAGATAAACCTCGAGATGAGCAGCTTGTAGCTCTAATCATTGGTTGCATGAGCAGGTAACAATGGGGATTATCAAGGCCCCCGGGGCTTTTCCGGGGCCAGGGTCAGGGCCAACACCAGAGGTGGGCTTGGGTTAAAAGGTACGGAGTACAGTGAGTGGGGAAGGCCTGATCAGTGGTGCGTTTGTGGTTTATTTAGTGCATGGGAGAATGGCGATCAGACCCAATCTTATTGATCAACGCTTCAATGCTCCGTAAAGCTTATACTGAAATCCACCGCACAAGCCACCCATAGCTCAGTTTACGATATGAAACTAGCTACTGACACGATAAAATCCTGAAACTCCCCGCATTCCACCATTCAGGTATGCAAGTTGCTGTCGTATATAACTATTTTCGGAAAGCGAGATGAAAATCGCCACCGGCCCCAACACAACAGCTGGGACCACTATCCATGAATGGCATTCAATACGGATAACACCTGCTTCTCTCTAATTTTTGAAAACCCATGTTTTCTATGGCTTTCTATCAAGAGGCTTGGAATGAGGTGAGCTATATCAAGTTTTCCATAAAAGTTGCTTCGATATTCAATGTCGAGCCCGTTTCGGGGATACCGTACTACTTGACACAAAAGAGATCTCTATACGGATAGCCACGCATTGTCCACGTTTATTCCATGCAGATCCCAGCCGCTAGGTAGCTATTCCGTCACTTTTCTAGCCCCAAAATGGGTCTACAGAGTGCCCTGCCAAGAAATCTCGTCAACAGCTCTCTATCGGGGATTTAGTGGAGTAGGTCTTGGTCAGATACCCAATACCTTGCAACACCCAAAGCACGATGATTCTCACAAATATCTTGTATAATCGCCATTGGGGCCGGGTTTTTTATTTTGCCCGTCTTCTAATAGCATGATATCATTTTCAATGGTCACAAGAGCTGCTCAAGAGAGCTCCACATGATTATTGAGCACAGTCAGAGGGACGAAACGCAAGCGAGGAGAAGGCCTGATACACAACACGTTTCATCCTGATTCTCAAGAGGCGAAACCTGGATTATCTTTTTAAGTAATTAGTAACCAACAGCGGGGTCACCTTTTTTCTCTCTGCTGCCTGAAAGCCATGTGGTCCAATCTGAGGGGAAAGAACCCCTTCCATAGTATTCAGATAAAGGCCTCCAAGGGGGCCATGCTGGATACGAGGTAAAGAAACTATAATATCTCAGCTGATTATAGTATCTGGGTGGCTATGTATTCGTATAGGGGTACAACTTGAAGGAGTCAATTGTCAATTCAGACTCGGAGCAGGCACTCCAGTTACTAATGGGAACATTGAATATTCAAAATAATCCAGAAACTTCTTGAAGGTTCCTTTTCAGCAGTATAGTTCGTTTAATAAGTAGACAGATAACTTCAGTTAGTTAATAATAGTATGTGGACGTTTGAGGTCCCTTCATCTCCAAACAATCAGTATAATACTAGTAATAGCACCTACATGATAGCATTTGATACAAAAGAACAGAAATCTTCAAACACTCTGTATAAACAATGAGTAATATCTGAGTTTCCAATCAATTAAATGTGTTCATTCTTCGATTCGGACAGCTTGCTGCTTCAACATTCTGTTCATGACGTCCATTCACCAGGAGCCACACTCACTTGGCAGGTGCTAACCATCAACAACACCCTCCATTCACCACTCAACTGAAACATCTCTCTCCACAAAACTCGCCCATGACTCCTTTGTTCATTAATCACAAAGGCATTCAATTCGAATTGACCTGAAATGGACTACACAAACCTTCTCCTCCCTGCCGGGGGTGCCTTCCCAGTCGAACAGTACTTAATTGTAAGTCTCATCTCACCCATTGCCTTCCTCACTTTACTGACCATTGAACAGCGCCATTGGGATTACTCGTTGATGATGACTGTGGGTGCTCAGCGCCTCGCGCTGATAGACGAGTTCTGTTCACTCGAAATAATCCCCAGGTACTATTATGAGGATCCGATAGAACCAACCGGTTTTCGTGTTCCAACACAACTTGAGATCGAGCTTATTCTCCGTCCCTTGCGTTCTGATGACATGCGGAAACTGGCCTGGATTATCCAACAGCGGCATGATCTCTTTCCTATCCTCATCCGAGATTACTACGATACGTCCAATAGTGATCATGAAAGATTGATGGCGTACTGGATGCGAGCTGCTGACGAAGGCAACCAGATCCTTTTGGCTGTTATCAATGATGAAAGGCCTTTCTCCTTTGCTCCACCCTACGACGATGACCCTTACCGTTGGACATCAATCGTTTACGTTCTACCTGAGGTTATCGGACCAATTCTTGTCCGTTTGCCGGACGAGGATACTATTCGCTGGACGGATCTTCCACCGTGGTGTTTGTATCAACGACAGGTTTTCAGACGGCGTCTTTATCTGCAAAAAAAACTCAAGCCGGAAGAATGGATGCAGGACCCGGACCGCATGATTGAATCTTGCGGCTCTTGTCTTCACTGCTGCATATGTGCAGTCATCGTGATTCTCGTGGATAGGATCGCATTCGAAACAGGACTTCCGCTATTGATCTTCGTCGACTATAATGCGAATACCATTCGCAGTATACGGTTCAACTTGAACAGGGACACAATTAGGGATATTATCAATGACCGGACTAACGCTTCCGAGACTCCTTGGATGTGGCAGCAGAGCGAAGTTGGGGACAACTATAGGGCTACGGGAAACCTAGCTCAGCGCCTGTATCAATTGACGGATGCGGATTTCGCAGATCCTTAATGACGACTTAACGCATGCCAAGGCTCTTGGTCCAAGCCGGTGTTTTCAGATTCGAGTTTTATTTCACTTGGCACCAGTTTACTATTCTGATACCCCAAATTCACAACCGAGAAAAGCGAAGCAAAGAAATATCAATACTTCTTACTGCAAGTCCCGAACGACGAAGCCTTCCCAAAATGCCGTAGTCGAGCTTCCCGCGGTCTGCGCGTTCACGCATATTAGTGGAGCTGCTCCATGTACAAGCATTTTAAGGGTCATATATTCCAAGGTTCAAGGTCTGAGCATAAGTAAGTAGGTTCTAAATCCATTGAACGGCTATACACTCTTAAATCTTTTATTTTTTATTGATCTTAATAAACAGATCTATAGGCTTTAGAATCAGGAATCAACCAAAACAATCTGATTCCAAGAAACTTTCAGCTGGATGACTGTGTTGTCGATCATCGGCTCAAAATTGTATCAAAACCATCACCGTCAGCAAACTGGAGAGAACGGGGATCTCCATGTTAGTTTATTCTACAAGAATAATTTCTGAATGAAGATATTCTGTATTCTTATGAAAAGTCATGCATACTGACGTCATATCAACACACCGTGGATCTGCTAGCATCAACTGATTCGGTAATGAAGCATCCGAAAGACAGCATACTCATACATAGCAATAATAATATACAATAACACTTCTATGGGTTTTTAGTGAGCCTGTTTTAAACGACTCATTATACATGGGCAATCACCTGGGCATTGATGCTCCCAGTGACTTTCCACAAATCGTAGGCTTCTATACACAGAGTGGATCTAATATGACCACATTGAATAAATCTTCCACAGCCTTTGCTGCAACACAAGCTTGAGTACCGTCAGATCATCGATTGAAAACAAGGTTCCGACCAATAGCACTCCTCCTGCTCAAATTATTGGCTAGTTAATTCAATGCGAGTCGGCAAAATCGGCAAAGTCGGTAGTAGATTGTATTCCAGTTTACGACCCCAGTCGAGTGCTTTGTACCTGGATTCCCTACCCTAAAATCTGCAAACTTGATCTTCTTGTGGATCTACTGACTTCATAGCTCGTTCAAGTGAATTATTCTGTGCCGTACTACTGTACATTATTGTCTCCGTATATCGGAATTTCTGACATGCAGAACGTAGCTGCATTCAACCACATCTATAAATACAAGCTTTTCCCATTCCAGAGAAAACCTTGGAAGGTGTATTTCATATTCTAGATCATTTGCTCTTGCGAACTTTGAAGATTCCCAGATCCGAGGCCCATACTTAACAATGCTCAACTTCATGTTATGGCTAGCAGCAATGGGCTATATCCCCATTGCCTCAGCGTCACCGCTAAGCGCATCTATCCCCCCAGCACCACCAACAGAAACCCATCCAAACTCTCAACCACATACTCCCTTCACAGGAACTCCCACAACAACCGGAGCTCTAACAGAATCATCAATCGGTACCGGAATAGCCGAAGCATCCAGCATTTCCCCAGCTGAAACAACCTACGCAAGCAACGGAAAACTCCAAAACGCCGAACCAGCCCCCTACGTCCCAGCAGGAGGCGTAGGCACCAGTGGCTCAATCCCAGTATACAACGCAAAGAGCGATTTCGACTATGAGTCCCTAGTACGTTCAAGTTTGAAACCAACATCAAATAATAATCATAACCAGGCACCATCCTAACATTTCTCAGGCCCTAGCCCTCTACCAAGAATGGATCGAACTCGATCTATTCCAAGACGGACTCCGTCGTTTCTCCATCAAGGACTTCGAAGAAGCAGGTCTCAACAGCGCCGATCTCGATCTAATCTCCTTCATGGCCCAACAAGAAGTCGGACACGCAACACTAATCAGCAACATACTCGGCTCTTCAGCCCCAAAGCAATGCCAATACAACTACCCCTACACAAATGTCCAAGAATATCTAGACTTCTGCCAGAAACTGACTCGATTCGGAGAATCAGGCGTCTATGGATTCCTGGCACATCTCGACTCCCGAGAAGCCGCAACGCTTCTAACACAATCGATCACTACAGAGGCGCGACAACAAATGATCTTCCGGCAGTTTGAAGGACTCTTCCCCATGCCAGTGTGGTTTGAGGTTGGAATTCCCCAATCCTGGGCCTGGACACTTCTAGCACCATATATTGCTTCGTGTCCTGCGAACCAGACGCGACTTGTCTGGGAGAACTTCCCAGCGCTACGGATTTTGAATCAGCCTACGTTGTCTGATGCGGGCAAGCGGAACAACGGGACAGTATTCAACAATACTCTGGATGCTGGATTGAATGTTGCCAGGGCTTCTAGTAAGGAGAACCCGAATTCGAAGAATGATATTTCCGCCGGAGCTAGCGTTACGCCGGACAGGTATTCGCCTCTTTCATTCCCTGGGAGACGAGTCGATTTACAGTGGGAGGAGCCGGGGCGACCTGTTGGTCCTAATGATAGTTACGTTACGACGAGTCAGGCCGGTGAGGCGAAATACGTTGCTTGGGCTTCACAGTTGAATATTACGTATACGCCTCTGCTTGGTGTTGATGGTCATCGTGGGTATACTATACAGCCTGATATGGAGACTTATGAGGGGGATCCTGCTGTTAATGGTACCATGTTCATTGCTATTACTGACTCTGATTTATTCCTTACTCCGTTCAATCTGAGTATGATCAACACCCATGTCGTCGCTGGGCCTGCGCTCTACCAGGCTGATTAACTTCGGTTCAATGCCCAGGGCTCCACTGAGTACTCAGTGGATGGGCCAGGGGATGTCAAACAGCTTGTATTCGCTATCGTGCATGGCAGTTTCGAGTCTCCCTAGGATCGAAATGAATCTAGAATATCATATGCATCTTTAAATGATTTATTCAAGTCTAAAATACATACAAGTCCAACAAAGGACGTGCTAGCATAAGCCGATGCCATTTCAAAGAAAGGGGACGGCTGAGAGAGGAAGGTAAATAAAAGAAGAAAAAGAATTGTAAAGGCTCAAAATGCAAGATGCAGTTGATGAAAACGAAGGAAAAAGAAGGTATATATGCATGAAGGAAAAAGAAAAAATTGGGAGAATGATCAAATGAAAACCCGAGCCAGAGGATTATTACAGTACAGAAGCGAATCCAGCATGCTGGACTAGACTGCCAGACCCCAAGAGAGATGCCGAGATAGTAGAGAGAGAGAGAGAGAGGGAGAAGTGGAAGTTGATCAGGAGTGTATAGAGGGAGAAGAAACTTGAGAAATCATCATGGGGTCGTCCGGGGGATATTTTGCGAGGCAGCGGTCATGCTTTCTGACGAGGCCAAATATGATGCAGATGGAGAACAATGAGTTGCTCACTCGATCATTAGAAGAGAAGAGATGAAAATGAGTTTTGAGAGTAAAAAACTAACTCCCCTGGTAATGCAGGTGTATGCTTCTGGAGAAATTTATGGCCACCAGCCCATCCGCTTGTAGCTTTCTACCATCTCGCGGATACTGCTGGCATCAAACTTCTCATGTTTGGGCTTCCATCCTGTTGTCTTCTCAAAGAACGAACCATCGATTGACATATCCTGGTCCTTGAGAACGTCGCGCTCGAGGAAAGGACCGATCGGGCCGGGGCGCGAGACATTGCTCTTCTCAATGAGATCGGCCCACTCTTGCAGACTGACTTCGTTCATGTCCTCGACAACATCATCAAGGTTCATCTTAGCCAGCTGTGAAACGAGCGAACCAGTGAAAGTTACCTTGAGGCCGAACACCTCAGCCAGGGCATTAGCCACATGCTGTTGTTGTGTGTCATTGTGGTCGACCACGTTGAAAGCAATGATCGCCTTTGAACCCTTGAACGTCTCTGGCGCTTTCGAGTCGGGCGAGTCAAGCTTGCCAACAGATGCACGCCATTCAGCCGCGCGCCACAGGGCGCTCGCAGCATCCTTCACGTGCAAGGTGTTGACCTTCACATCCTTTGAGTAAAGCAGCTCCAGATCCTGTCCCAATTCCAAGTGTACACGGGCTAAACAGATGGCCATGGCGAAATAACCGGGGTTGTATTCGCCGTAGACGTGGGGCAAGCGCAAAGCACAGTACTGCAGATCAGGGATCTTCAACAGCTCATCGGCGGCCTTCAACTTCCACTTGGCGAGTTTATGCCATGGTTGCAGCTTGTCGGACTCCTTACGTGGAGAAGATCCGCTCTTGTAGACATGCGCGGTAGAGGTCTCGATGAATGCGGGGATACCACGACGGGCACATTCCTTGCCGAGGGTAACACTGAGGCCACAGCTGCGTACCTCGTAGACGTCGTCGGGTTGCGAATGGCGGGTCTCTCCGCCACAGTTAATGACATAGTCGAATTCTTCGCCATTGGCTCGATCGAAAACGCGGGATAGATGTTCTGTTTAAAGAGGATGAAAATTAGGACCTGATTTTCTTGCTGAATTGCTGAAGGGAAGTAAAGACGAAAAGAATAGATATATAAATATTTCATTCGGGGCGCCACTTACGTTCACGACTAGCATCGGCCTGAACAAACTTGTCTTTAGAGCAAGCTTCCTCGAACTCGGGGGCTAACCAGGCTAATTGCGGAAGGACTTTATCGACCAAGCGAACTTCGGAAGCAAGGTTATTCTCATGAATATAGAGCGCCAGGTGACGACCGATGAAGCCTAGAGAAGAAAAAAAGTTCAGTTAGCGCAGGTCAAACATTGGACCCTAGATATTTCCCCATACCGAGACCACCGATAATCAGAACCGCAGGCTTTTTGTCCATTATGAGGGGATATCGAACAAACGATCAAGATTGAAACGGCAAAAAAAATTCACCCTAAGAAATCTCGAACGAGAGGGGAAGAGAAGATAAAGGAGGGGAGAGAGGGGGAGGAGGAGGAGGAGAGGAGGGAAAGGGAGGGAAGTTATTGACGCAGCCAAAGTTCCACTATTGCCTTCCCCACTTCTGCACTAATGCGTCGCTAGAAAATTCGCGAAGATCGCATTCTCCTGATTCTTGTCTAACGCCGTTGATCTCTAGTTTCTGAAGTGGAGTTGCAATTAAAAAAAAAAAAGAAACTAAAAATTGTAAATTAAAAATATTTCCATTAATAATCGTATCATCTTACAGATCACACAGTAGATTATCGCATTGACGTCGGAGCATTTAGAACGCGGACTTGCGCCCTCCAGCACCGTGAACCATGGTTAATGACTGACTAGTAAGAGGATCGCCCCGAGGGACCCAAAGTAAATCGATCTGGGGTTTTTCTATTGCCATTGATACGCTGCAGTGGATAACTAGTGTACAAGACTTAGTGGAGATACTGGGGATGCTTCTCAAAAAACAGAAGAAAAAAATACTTCCTTACGCCCGAACATTCTTCGCTTCAAAGTTCAACATGACTTCGACCTCAAATCCAAACATCTGTAACTTGCCCTGTTCCTGGGCAGTCCATGCACAGCTCAGTCGGGCCATCAAAGCCTCAAGATCATCCGTGTCCGGCCGAAGAACAAACGGCGTCTTAGAGGATGACCACGGCAAGGTGATCACCGCATTAGGCTGCATGTCATGAAATTGTTCCTCGGAATCATTCACAGATAAGCCACGAGGCAAGCATTTAGCCACAAGTTGATTAATGAAATCGGTCGAGGATTTGAAGGTGCTAAATGGCACACATACGGGAGTCAGCAAGCTGCTGATGTTGCTTTTAACCAGGAAGTAGGTCGCGAGTTGACTGCCGCGAAGGGTTCCATTTTGACCATCAGGGACTATAGAACGAGATTAGTATTAATCAATAGGCCTTTCCTCTATCCCAAGTATGCTCGGCAGCAACCTACTTGGTTGAGCGGTTGAATCTGTAGGACTGTCTGTCCTATCTATTGCTTCTTGATCCGCACCATTGGTACCGGGTCCAATGATACCACTTGGGCCTGTCTGGGCCTTCTTAACTGCTTTACCCTTCTTCAATACAGCAGACTTGTTATTATTGCTCGTTTCAGCTGGAGGAGCCGTGGCGGAGCCGCCCAGTTCGGCCGGGCGAATTGTAGCCGACGAGGGCTGTGCCTGCAATAAGAAATCGGATCGTCAATGACAAAAGTAAGAATGAGAGACTTTCAAAACCACTCACATCTCGTACACCATCACTAGCTCGGCGAGTCTTAGCCGTCTGAATCTTAGCCGTCTTCAACATCAAAATGTCGAGCGCTGCAGCAAGACTGTTGATTGTCAGTATCCTGGATATCTGCACTAATTTCCATAAGCAAAGAACACAAAGAGTAGAAACAACTCACGCTTCCCCATTATCGGGATAACTGCAGGTCTTTTCATTCTCAACTCCCTCCGTAACCAAATATTCCCTCCGATTCTCATAGCTTCCCCAATATTGATGACCGTATTTTTCAAGAAACTTTTTGGCGCAGATTCGCCGTTGCTTGTCATTATGGCGGACAACTTGCCAGGTAGAATTATCTTCCACCTCTTTCTTCACTCGTTCCCTAAATGTATTCCAGTAGTCATTTTTCAAGTCGAAAAACCGTCGAAACTCATCCAGCTGGCTTGAAACACTAAGTGCACCGCTAGTGATGCAATCCATCAAGACGTCTGATTTGGTGTCACTTTCCCTTTCTTCTTCGTTGACATCGTCAGCATCCCCACTTGCACGATTATTGCATCCAAGCGTTCCAGCCATGATCTAAAAGAGTTCCTTCAGAGCCAAGGCCATACAATTGTGAGGCTTAAAAGTGGTTGACGACAAGGTCCAGAGTATTGTCGTGGCCAGAGATCGCAGAGGGAGGGAGGATAAAGAAAGAGAAAAAAGGTAAGAGATAAAGAAAACGAGAAAGAAACCGAAGACGATAAAGATAGTAGGAATGAATAGTCGAAGAGGTGGATGAAGTCGAGGGGGTTGGAGAGGCTGAAAAGTGAGAGTGAGGGAGGGTCAAAGTAAGATAGTGAAATGAAAAATGCACAAGAGAACCATGACGAATAACAATGTAGCAACAAGAACACTGGGAGCAAGTTTTAAGAGTAGACGAAGATCCCAAAAGGTAGTAAACTAGAAAACTGGGGTCGTCTGCATGTGCTGTGGAAGTAATATGTGGGAATTTCGCACCTTCGAAGGGCGCGTTACTTAGGGTTTACATCTTATATGACCGTTTTCATGAGGCCACAATAAACCAGTATTGATATGGATAGCTTGATAGAGATGATTTGCTATATTTTACATTATCATTCTACTTTGGAAGTCATACAGGAAACATCTTCAGTACAAAAGGTAGAAAGGGAAATAGAAGGCACCTGATAGAACCTGTAGTAAAACGTGGTTTACTATATTATGCCATCATAAAGGTATGTTCATGATATTGTGAGTATGAAATTCCATCAATGAAGAAGCATTAACTAGCTACAATCATTACTCAGCGCCGAGGTATCGCAGAGAATTCTTCAGTTCCTTAATCGCCGTGTTGACATCGTCGAACGTCAGTGCAGAGACAGCCCAGCGAGCATGCTTCTGAGCAAGGGTAATAGAATTATCATCGACTGTTTGTGAAGGCGGACCCGAAGCGACCGGCACTGGGACCACAGGGGCAGGAGTGAATGAAGGCAGAACAGAATGCGAAGCTGCTGGTGCAGGAATATGAGCACTAGCGCTCGAGGGGTCGTAAAATGAGGCTGGGTCTGGTGCGACACCAGGCAGGCTCGAGGATGGGGGAGGGAAAGATTGAAAGGCATTGGTTGAGGGGGCGATGTGGTTGCTGCTGGACCCAGGCGTATCTGGCAGCTGTGGGATAGAGGCCGAGTTCCCAATAGTACATGGGGTAGAAGGAAGCTCCAGGCCTCCAGAGTAGGTATTATCGATATCCATACTTTGCGGTGGTGAGCCAGGCGCATTGCGCGGAACAGATGGAATGTCTGGTGTTGAAGCTGTGGCTGGTGGTAGCGATGATGTCCGGGATGGGTGCAGAGATTCATCTAACGACGATTGATGGGCCATCTGTCGTCCAAGACGATCGGCCTCGTCGGGGATTTCCTCCACAGATACCTGTCGTGGTTTGGAAGCCTGCTCTGCCACGGACTTGTCGAAGGCCTGCACATCTGAACTCTCGATTTGAGCTACGTCTTCTTCTTCCTCTTCTTCCTTTTGTACTGGATTAGTGGCATTGGGATCTTCTCCCGCTTTAATGGCTTTTGCGATTCGAATTGCATGGTATTTGGCGAACTTGATGCGCCCTGCAATTTCAGCTTCCAGATCACCCCAGTTCTGACATAGTTCGAGGAAAGTTGCCGCCGCTTGGAATGTATCGCCTGTTTGTCTGAAGGAGAGAAAGGATATCAGTTTCATATCTTAGAGCCGCTTATCGTTGACATGGGTGCTCACTTGGTGACCTTGTTAGCAGTCATAGCTGCCTCGGCGCGGTTGAAGACCTCCAATCCAAATTGCTCCACATATGCATTCGCTGCAATACTATCTGTCACGGTCTCATTTTCTGGGTTTTCTACTTTAAACTATTTCCATTTTCCAATGTTAACACCTTCGAAACGTGGGTGGGGTTTTCCAAGGAGCGGGGGGGTAGGGACGGAAGTGGACGTAGGACGTGAAGTGTTGAACGCACTTGTTCGAGCTTGTCGACCAGATCAGTGGTATACAATTTGACTTCATCGTCGGAGGTGTGTAATCCTCTTTCGATTATTTGGTTCACGATGTAAAAGTTGCCTGTATTGCCCATTGCGATTAGCTTAACATCGTCGCGGGGGAGTTCCTTGGCAAGACTGACACCAATAGGCAACGACCGGCTTAGCCTTCTCGACCTGCGTCGCACGCAGAGCGAATCGTCCAATATCGGCTGACCGGAGACTTGCAGGGATACTGCTAGCCATTGTGAGGTTGTTTTTTCAGGGGAGGAGGAAGTGGAAAGTGGGGAAGAGCAGCCTAAGCTCAGATGACGTTTGGATCTTGAAATAATGCCACCGCCCGTGCGGAGATACTGGATCTACTATGTACAACATACTGGGGATCTACATAATGGATATGGTGAACATAAATCATAACCATTTGGAAATAGAAAGGCTGCTCCATTAATAAAATTGCCTGAATTCGTAGTCATATTTTCACAGATGGCAAAATAATTAAATTGGGAAAACCTGCAGGCTCCACCCACCACGATAGATTTTTCTCCCCCTTCGACTGGATATACGATTCCTGGCGACACCAAAATAAGCTCCTCGACTGTTAAAAACATCACCAGATTACCAGGAAGCAAAAAGTTGGACTCGCGGGGAATCGAACCCCGGACCACTCCCATGCTAAGGGAGTATTATACCACTAAACCACAAGCCCAGTGCGATGTGGGTCGAGGCCGTGAAGTGGACACAAATTCATGAAGCGAACACAGATCAGGCATCTTGCACGATCCACTCGCCAATCTCAACTGACTCCTCTGTGAGTGCCTCGATTTCAAAATGATCTTCAACCTGACCTCCTGGGCCCCCAATTCTTTCAATAACTATCCACACCCGGTGATGCGAATCAAGATTCGGCGGCAAATCGAAATCATCAATTCGAACGCCTGAAGCAGCATCACAGTGAGTTCCCTCTTCAGAGGCTGCAAGGACTTCTTTGTATGGCCCTTGTCCACGTTCCACTGTCATTAATACAGGTGAGGGCGCGACAGGCCGAGAGCCGATAATAGACCGTTTGTTTCTTGCAATAAGCTTGATCCGAGTCAAACGAGGTACTTGCAAGGAAGCGAGCATTCGGTCTTTGCCTGGAAGAAGGATTCCGATTTCAGATAGAGTCACTCGGCGGCCGGCAGATTCAGATGCCAGTGTCTGTACAGTACAGGGGATTTCTGACGAGATCCAGAGATTAAAGCGACCGAGCTGGTCAGGGGCAAATGTTGAGCACACAATAGTATATACTCCCTTCTCTAGGGATCTGGTTTCCGCGAGGGCACATCCTCGACGATAGTCACCACTATCAGCGATCATATCTCGACTACGCACTCTCAAGATCCGCTGACCATGAGACCAAAAGAGCTTGACGTGCGTGGCAAGTTCTGGGTTGTTTGATTCGAGAAGAATTGAGACGTCGGTTCTCTCTGAGACGTGGAGACTGAACTGCGGGTTGGATGAATATCGAGCTGACTCTGCGTTGCCGCCAGCAGTCAAAGCCGTCCAAGAGCCACTTGCTTTATTATTGAGGCATAGATATCTGTCTCTGGCGGGGGCGAGTGATATTGGAGATTCTGATAGCGCAGATAGAGTGAAGTTTTGACTCGTTGATGGCAAGGACTGTTCCGACACCACCGCCGTATAAGTTGTTTTCGGGAGCATCTCAAGTCTCATAAGAGTGTTTGGTGAATCCACATACGGCCCTCTGTGAAGCGCGCCGTCACTGAGAGAAACTCGCTTACCATCCGCTTGAAAGATGTAAATACTGATAAACCCCTGCCCATCATCTTCTTGGCTTGGGTCCTCCCCCGATTTGGAATACTGGTTGGTCTTGAAGTGCTTCCCTAAAAGAAGCCAAACTTTGCCTCCAGTCTCGCTGTATACTGAAAATTGCGGGTTCTTGACAAAACATCCGGCAATCACACGACTCTGTGAAAGGTCCCAGGTGAAATGAATGTCTTCGCGGTAATTAAACAATGCCGGGTTCCAATTCAGATATAGATTTTCAAAGTTCTGCAAGACACGCTCACAATCCATCCAGAATGTTCCTGGTGACAGCGAAAGATGTGGACTTGAGGTATCGGATGAGTCGATCTCTGTGCTCTGCATCGCTGGCTCGGCTCCAGCCCAGGGATTTTTTAATAAGAACTGGCGACGACCATGTAGCTCCCTCATTCCTAGGATTGCATAGTCATGTTCGCTCACCAAAGCCAGCCCCTCCTGTTCTAACTCTGTCAACTTTCCTGTTCCGATGGTCAACACCACATCACCCTTGGAAAAAGATGGGTATAGTCGGCCCCATATCTCATCAGAGGTAGCCTCATCGTGGTGCAGGAAAACTTGCTCAGGGACCCATCCTGTGAGCACCCAAAGATCAGTCCCCGAGTTACTCCCGGGAAAGTCGTAGCCCCCGCGAATTTTCAGATAGGCTTTTTCCACCAAGGCGGGCCAGAGAAAGTTGGGGTTATTTCGATCAATAACATGCAATGATCTCTTAGTATTTGTTGATGGGAGTCGATCGTCGACTATGACTTTTCTGAAGCTTCCATTGAAATAGAAGAAAAAGATGTATTTCCCTGAAGGTGAGACCTTGGGCTTTTCCGAGTCACTCTCACAGGGATACATTATGGGAGAAGCATGCTGGAGGGTTGAATCCATCAGTCGCCGTCTATTTAATCTTTGAAGGGGAGCACATACCGTTCCCAACCCTCGCTCTGATCGCGAAGTTGTTGCGCAAAGACTCGCGACCACGGAGCAATCGGTAAGAACATCTTGTACTAAATCGGTCGGCTTTGCGACTGCCATGACGGGTTCAATCTCATAAGAGGTATTCTCCACTGCGTTTCTTGCTCGCAGCAGATCTTGCGGCCTCTTCCATCCCGCAAAAATATCATACTGGCACTCTGAGAGAGACAAATCAGGCGAGTCTCTATCTATCATCAGCAATGAGTATCACGATCGCATATTTATCCCGAGTACGTACGTAAAAAGCTTCCCTTCATGAGCCGTGAATTCCAACGATGATGGCGAACGCTCCCATGGCGCAAAAATAAACCCATTAAGCTTTGCACCCTCAAGAATGATGATCTCCTCGCGGGTTGTAAGACGCCGCTTAGACGTGGGGTAACGCCGACCAGGGATTGTTTTGGGGGAGGCAGCCAATCGCCAATCCTCCGCGGTTTTAATCTTCTCAGCTCGTGTCAGGAGTTCCTTGCATTTTGTATCGAGTACATTCTTATCATCTGGTAATGCTATTCGCAAAGCCCTCATATAATGCTCCGCGGCATCAATGGCGGCGGCAAGTGCCGCCTTCTGAGAGGTCGCGGTAGCGATGACAGCTTCGGCTTTCTAACTGCCGGTTAGCGACTCCGACGGCGACGGCGACAATACAGGACTACCAAGGATTCTAGACGTACCCGCGCTTTGGAAACATGCGACTGTAGCGTGGGTCCGTTCGGTCCGGGCATTCTGGGACTTCAGATCGAAAGGCCCGGAGATCATAAAGGTTGGAGTTGGGAGCAGACGCGACCCGCAACCCTCGGGTGCGGCAATGATCCGTCGGGCCTGTTACTACCCGATTGACCAAGACCTGCCCCTCCTACTTCTACTTTAATTAATTTAACTCTATAAATAATAAAAAACATCTACGCTTGGGAAATCTACTTGGGACAAATTGGAAAATTGATCTACATATCTAGGTGGCAGTCAATTATTAAAATCTGGATGGACCAAGGAATTCTATTACCTAGGTAGAGCTTTAGTAGTACTACTAAGGAGTATATAACTGGTTAGTATTAGCAGTATATGCTACTAAATGTACTAGTACATAGTAGTATATAGTTAGTTGAATACCTATTTTATGTATTACTAAACCACATGTGAACCGTGGGAACGTACCCAGGAATACATAGGACCAACATAAATTCGATCGGAATTACTTATTGTTGATCCACTTTGGCACTGGCACTTGACATGTGTTGAAGGTATAGAGCTACATGTGGAAACGGTGCTAGATCATGTTGTAGGCTATAAAAGTTTAAATGTCTCTCACAAACGAGCCAAGTAAGCGATTGAATATAATCTAAATCATCCGAGGTTGAATATCTATGTCTTTAAGAGAGTAACAAAATCATGGTTGATGCCTGACTGCCTTAATAGTCGGTTGCCCGATAAATCGAGTGTCGATATTTGTTAAGCCAGGGTAAGATTGATGTCAATAGATGAATAGTTGACTATTAGACTACTGGGGTGGTTTGAGCCCTTTTTCGCATAATAGGCCTTGTCATCTCGGAGGATATCTTTTCTTCTCACAATATATCACAACAATCGCAGTTAAACCCATTCCACCATGATCAAAAAAGAAAAGATCTGATAATCTTAAGTAATCCACTTGTGGACACGCTGACTAACACAGCCGAGTGGACCTCGGCTCATTTCGTCACTGCACAGCGCCGAGGTGCTTGCGGTCCGCCCGGTGCGAGCTTGTGCTGTGGTTATCAGAGCACTTCGGCTCTCATCGGTTACTATACTCGAATCATTGCATCTTCCCAGATCATCACCATAACCCAATCTCGAATTCTCTGAATCCCTGTTCGTTCAACTCAACTCGTCGGCACCTCGCCTCACCGGTCTTCGGAGCAAGCGTCGTGTTAGGTCCATAGAGGCCCCGCTCAGTTTCCCCTTTCACTCGCTTCGAGGGTGGTCGCTTTTTTTTTTCTTGCTTTTTTCTCTCTCTTGTATTTTGCTTGAGTGGCATTGTCCTTTACATCATATATACACCATGACTGGTCAATCTAAGCCTGCGCGCCTTTCCCCATGGGGTAGCGCTGTTGCAGGTGCAACGGGCGCGGTGTTGGCAAATTCTATTGTATACCCATTAGATCTGTGAGAAAGATGATCCCCACCCCTCAGCAACCCAAGGCTTGGTTGAACTCCCGCGGGCCCCAGAAGAACCGTGAACTAATCCGATTCCTTTCTAATCAATAGAGTCAAGACGAAATTACAAGTCCAAGTAAAACAAAAGGATTCCGACGGAACTGGAACTGACGATGAAGAACACTATGAATCTACTATCGATGCGATCACGAAGATTGTCGAGAAGGAGGGACTAACCGGTCTATACTCGGGGATTGCAGGCTCACTTCTCGGTGTGGCCTCGACTAACTTCGCTTACTTCTACTGGTATAGCGTGGTTCGCACTCTCTACATGGCCTCCAACAAAACACCCAAGCCTCCTGGAACCGCTATCGAGCTCAGTCTCGGTGCAGTCGCAGGTGCGGTAGCTCAGATCTTCACCATTCCTGTATCTGTGATTACCACTCGGCAACAAACACAACCTAAAAGCGAGAAGAAGAGTCTGATTGAGACCGGTCGTGAGGTTGTCGAGAGTGAAGATGGGTGGACTGGATTATGGCGAGGCCTAAAGGCTAGTTTAATCCTAGTCGTCAATCCTGCCATTACCTACGGTGCATACCAGCGATTGAAAGAGGTCTTCTTCCCAGGCAAGAACAATCTGAAGCCCTGGGAGGCTTTCTGTGAGTCTACCTACCTTTTATCCCAATATCCAAGCCTACATACTGACAATTATAGTCCTTGGCGCCATGTCCAAGGCTCTTGCGACAATCGCTACTCAACCTCTCATCGTTGCCAAGGTGGGCTTGCAATCTCGCCCACCACCGGCTCGCAAGGGCAAGCCCTTCAAGACCTTCGGTGAGGTCATGAGGTATATCATTGAAAACGAGGGTATCATGTCCCTGTTCAAGGGCATTGGCCCACAAATCACAAAGGGCCTTTTAGTACAGGGCTTGCTTATGATGACCAAGGAAAGGTAGGCTTTCTATGTCCCATATTATTTATATTACCTTCTTTGGCTAACAAGGGCTCCAGAATGGAACTGTTTTTCCTTGTTCTCTTCGCTTCTCTTCAGAGAGTGAAGAAGGATAAGCTTAAGAAGGCAGCTGATGTTGTCGCAGATAAAGCTAAGACGAGCTTGCCTGCAACTTTGAAATAGTCTCTGTTGATCTATGCCATTTACTATATACTTCGGTTTTTCTCGGTTTCCACCTTTTGGCGTGACGGTTCTTCTTACTGTGCAATGCTTATATACATTTATCATAAACGATTTCTTTACTTTTCTTTCGTCTTTCTTCTTTTTGTTTGTCTGAAAGATGATCTGTTGACAGGATTATGACTTTGGTCATTGGGCTTCCATCATAGACTTCAATGTATATAAACACTCGGTTCTTTTGGACCTAGTTCACAAAGTCATTGGTAGACTGTCTCATTTTAAGTCTTCGTCCCTTCAGTTTATAAAGAACCTATTTATTTAGAATGAAAAAAACTTACATCGCCCAAATTCAAGTTGCTACCATTGGTTATTATGGATGGTCGAGGCCGCCACCACTGCCAGCACATGCCATTCAAGTTGCCAGTACTAGTGGGTACACTTGTGTATCTGCGGCAACGATAGCTGCGGCCCCCGAGTCTGGTCTCCCCACACCGATCACCTCGCCCAAACAACATCCACCACAGTCCTCAAAAACTTGAACACATCTCCTCTACTGCAGAAGGTGCATGGTCCGATATGCGATGGCCACCATGGAGCTCCAAGTCACACAATGACGACACACAACAAGAAAACAACAACCGGACAAGTTCACTGATCGGCTCCAACTCCAACTCCAACTCCGCACCCCAGAACAGCACCCTCGACTGGACCGCCTTCATAGAGCCTAGAACTCTCGTCCCAACTATTCTCCTCACAAGCGGGATCCTATTCGCCGTTCGCATACACAAACGATACCTGCGTCGCGTCCCCGACGCGCCCAGCATCTCATCCTCCTGGCTGCGCCGCCGTAGCATATTCGGAAAAGTAACAAGCGTGGGAGATGGCGATAACTTCAGAATCTTCCATACACCAGGAGGCCGACTAGCGGGATGGGGATGGCTACCATGGAAAAAGATTCCCAGCACGAAGAAAGAGCTTAAAGATAAAACGGTCCGTACATCTGAACATTCACACGCTACAGGAAACCTTCTTCTCTCATCTGATCTGCCAGCTTTGGACTTCACCTAACGCATTCATCTTGTCTATTATAGATTCACATCCGAATAGCCGGTGTAGACGCGCCAGAACTCGCACACTTCGGTCGTCCCGAACAACCCTTTGCACGCGACGCCCACACCTGGCTAACCTCATACCTACTTCACCGTCGGATCCGCGCCTCGATCTATCGCCAAGACCAATATAACCGGGTTGTGGCGAGCGTGTACGTACGTCGCGCATTCGACTTCCCACCCTTTCGAAAACGAGATGTCTCCTACGAGATGCTTCGACGAGGACTCGCAACTGTTTACGAGGCGAAAGTAGGCGCCGAGTTCGGTGGTGATGCGATGGAGAAGAAGTATCGCCGAGCAGAGTGGTGGGCTAAGATGAGATCTAAGGGATTATGGAAGGATTATAAGCGCGTTGGGTCGGATTGGGAGAGTCCGAGGGAATATAAGACTCGAATGGGGATGGGTGAGCCTGCGGAGAAGGAGAAGGCAAGTGGAGGAAAAACAAAGTGATAAAAAACGCGCTTTCGCATTATTATGGTATGATGGATATACATGCATGATGAGATATGACTACTGTGTATTTGAATGGATGAGAACTTCAAATTCGGCCTGGGGTTTGTTTATTCCTATCTTGAGACCTAATGGGTGGGTGTATAGATATAGTACAAACATCATAACTGTACAAAGTGCTCCAGTCGGGCCCCGGGAGCATATCAGGGTATAATATAATAAAGCCCGAATTAAAAGAAACCCTCCAAATTGTATCACGCACGAAGGTGAATATCGCGCTTCGACAAATGTATATGGATATGAACGATGTTGTCGCTGTCGCTGCCGCTGCCGCTGCCGCCAATAGCATAGCTAGCCAGATTGTCTAACAGAAGCGTCGCTCGAACTCCGAAAACAGCTGCGGCGTAATTTCATCGCTTGTATTACCTTCCACGCGCCATAAGCAACCCCGGCGCTCATAATGCTCTAGTAAGGCTCTGCTCGTCTCCTCGAATTTGTGCAGGCGTGCCTTCCATGTATCGATCGAGTCATCTTCTCGCTGTGTCAACGGATCCCCAGTCACGTCGTCTTTTCCAGGAACCTTCGGGGCATTAAAGTCGGCATTGTACACGCGACCGGAGGGTTCATGGACCCAGCGTGAAGCGATACGAGAGAGAATCACAGAGGGAGGAGTAATAAGCTGGACCACAAGATTGACCGGGACGATAGTATCCAAGCTTGTCGCTTGAGAGGCGGTGCGCGGGAATCCATCGAGGATAAAGGAGGCGGTAGGAGATAGTGAGAAAGATTCATTGTCGGGCTGTGTAGAAAGTGATGCGGAGACGGAAGAGGAGAAGGAGGGCTTCTCTTGTGAAGAGGGGGTGATCCAGCCCTTAGCTTTCAATTCGGAGGAGATGAGGTTGAGTATCATGGAGTCGGGAACCAAATTGCCGGACTGCATTGCGGCCTCGGCTTCAACGCCTGTTTAAAAGAATATTAGCAAGCCATTGACATGGAACAACCTGCGCAAGAAGCGACGGAAGGCATGCACATGCTTCCCATCACTTCGACAAGAAAAACTCACCCAACGGCGTCCTTCGACGGACATTCTCTCGTAAAAGGGAACCGGAGCTAATGGAGGCCAGCTGCGGAAAACGAGCTAGCAAACGTTCTGACTGTGTGCCTTTTCCGACACCAGGTGCTCCGATCAGAATCAGCCTCGCAGCTTTCTTCAGCTGCTTGGGAGCCTGCGACATCCTCGGATGTATGTAGAGTATATGTGTTGGTGGTGTTGTGATTTCTCGTCTATAAAATCATACCGAGCGTTCCTCGAACTGCTGCGTAAATGAGAGGATGCCGAGTAATGTTGAGCCCGGGAAAAGAAGAGAAGCGTAGAGTAGAAGGTGAATGTAGTATGTAGACTATCGCTGATGCATAATCAGAAAGGGAAAAAAAGAAACCAATCAACCAATCTCGATATGAGCACAGGGCAAGTTATCTAGTGCTTATTACTCCGTACTTGATCCCCAACTTCCCCAATTCCTGGCTTGAAAGTTGCAGGGGTTTGCTGTATTTGGCCCCCGGTGAACTAAGTACCCTAGGTGATGGACTCCGAGGGAAAAGAAATGCAACGTCAGGTCGATCATTCATGGACTCGAATTATACATTCAAATCAAAGATTCAATTATATAAGGAAGATTAAGCTCATCACGAGTCACCAAGTGGGGGGTGGATATTGGAGATGTTTCGGCTTTCCAGGGCTCCAGAGCTCTTCACATGCAGTTTCCCTCTTGACACGGAGCCGGAGACCAATGACAGTCTGGTGTATATGCAGCCTGTATTATAAGGCAGCAAGATATTCAGGCACCAAGGCATCAAGTTAAATTGTTCATTTGAAATCACGTGGTTTCGAGGTCGCGTGGAGCGCGTCGCGTCGTAGTTAGTGGTGAACCGGAGCGATAAGCGTGAGGCCCTGTATCCTATGCAAATCTTGGACAAGGCCATACACACCCCAACACTTGTGTATAGTCGACCACCATGATTCGACAAGACGCCCACCGGATCGACCCTAAACGGCGAGCAACAATCGATCATAAGAAAAGGCAGTTCGCTACACCCGTCTACAAGCAGCAGGACTACCCTCATCGTCTGAATTTGTACGACACGCCGCCCACAGCAGAGATCACCCTCGAGCAATTTGAACAATGGGCAATTGATCGCCTCAAGAGTAACAGCAATCTATTTACTGACCATGAATCATCTTACTGATCCTTGTAATATAGTCCTCGCCGAGATCGAAGCATGCTCTTATCGAAACAAAACCCCCGCGGAGACCGCGACACACATCACTCCCCTGCTCCAAAAATACCTCCCTCTGTCCTCCAATACCTCATCTTCCAACGGAGCTGCAGATCAGCGGTTGAAAAATGAGCGTCAAAAAGACCACTACTCACATTTCATTCTCCGTTTGGCTTTCTCCGCAACCGAGGACCTCCGTCGCCGGTTTGCCCGTGCCGAAACAATGCTCTTCCGGTATCGTTTTCAGAAGGATGATTCACGAGAACGAATGGCCTTTATTGACAGCCTGAACCTGGACTGGGAGGCTGTGAGCGAAGAAGAGCGGAACGAGATAGCTGAAAACCTCATCAGTTCAACACCCGGATTGCGTCGTCTAGATGAGGAGACATGGTTTAAGGTTGACTGGGAAAAGGTTCCGGAACTGGTTGAACGGCGGGCGGTATTCCTGAGAAGAGGAAAGGCCTATGTTCCAGGCAGGGAACAGCTTGCTATGATTATGGCTGAGTTCACTGCTCGCCTAGAACGGTCACTAGAGGTATGTTTTAAACTGGCAACCCACACGCTCTCTATGGAAATTGGCTAATTTTGATGATTTTAAAACAGCTTACTAGCCGCGCCCTTCCAAAGTTAGATGAGGATGACCGTTTGACTCCAATCCTAAACCACCTGTCGAAGAATTTCGGTAGCGCCGACTCCGTATTCTCCGAAGGCGAAGGACATGTCGACGGTGCAGCAATCACCGCCAGTTCCGTCGATCAACTCTCGCAGCATTTCCCGCTCTGCATGCGAAGCTTGCATACGAATCTACGCAAGAACAATCACCTCAAACATTTCGGACGACTGCAATATACACTCTTCCTCAAAGGCATTGGACTCTCGTTAGAAGAATGTATTCTCTTCTGGCGTCAGTCTTTCAAGGGGAAAACGGATGACGAATTCAATTCCCAATATAAATACAATATCCGTCACGCCTATGGAGACGTCGGTGGCGATGCTCGCCGTGGTCGGGGATATCCACCTTATTCCTGCCAAAAGATTCTAGGTGATAATAATGTTGGTATTGGTCAATCGCACGGATGCCCTTACCGTCATTACTCTGTCGATAATCTTGTTGGACTGCTCCAATCTACCGGAGTCCACGATAAGGGAACTTTGCGCGAGGTGCGAGAAGATGTGGGCAAGCAGCGCTACCACATTGCTTGCAACCGTGTCTTCGAATGGTCTCACCGCAATGAAATTAAGAAGGTCAAGGAGGATGGAACTTGGAGCCAAGCGGATCTTGATACGATTGTGCATCCTAATGTCTACTTCAAGCGCAGCTACCTTCTCAAGCAGTTGGCCAAGGCTCCTGGCCGAGACTAAGCTTTTTATCTTTCTTTTTGTTATATATGTTCATGATGTTATGTCGGCCTTCTTTTCGCTGCGTCCAAGGCTGAGGAATGGGTGTTGCGGGCGAAAGGAACTGTACAATGGGGTTTTTTTTATTCTGTGCAGAGAAGCATCTAGGTGTAATTGTTCTTATTCAAAGGAAAGAGTTCACAAATATTCTTCTTTCATTCCATTTCATTCTTCAAGTCAAAAATAAATTCTATATGGCAGAGGTCTGTGACCACAGCTGATTCCCAGTAAATCCGAAAGGATCAGAATGACCTTTCAAAACCAGGTGCCCAGCAACGGGTCAAGTCGATCTCCGCACGACACAAAAACAACTTCATCATTGGAAAAGACAGAAGTCGCGGACAGTAATTATGAAAATTATTGAAGAGTCGAGCGTGAAGTAATTGAAGAGAAGAGAAAATTGCTGGAAAAGCGGAACCGAATTTAATCATGTTTGTCCGGGTGCCCGCAGCGACCAGTAGCGCTGCAACCTGGCCTTAATGGGGAAGAACCGCTCCCTCACACTCCCTTTACTCGCTTGATCATCTTCCCCGAGAGCTGACGACGGGATTATTGTTATTGGGATCTGGGTTAAGCTTTGGTGCGGTATTTTGACTTAAAATCTGCCTGGGATTGCCCCGAATCAAGGTTCTGTGTGTCTCAAATTGCTCTATCTACATCCCCCTCTCCTTGGTCAACACCGGACCACCGACTCGGCCCACCTCTATTCACTATGGATTTCGAGGCCCTGAAGGATCAATGGAGTGATGTGGAGGACCGCGATGGCATCCGTCTGAGTTGGAACACTTTCCCGAGCTCTCGTATGGTATGTAATGCATTGGGCTCAGCTCCCACCACCCCCTCAGTATCGCCTTTAGCCCACTAAACCCCGGATTTAGGAAGCCTCGCGCCTGGTCGTCCCCATTGCTGCCGTCTATACACCTCTCAAGGAGAAACCCGATTCCCCATTGCTCCAATATGAGCCAGTGACTTGTAAACAACCCTGTCGGGCTGTTCTCAACCCATATGCGTAGGTGCCCGCATTGCTGGTGGTCCCCGGAATATGTTGTGAAATTGACCATTTGCTTAGCACCGTCGACATCCGCGCACGTATCTGGATCTGTCCTTTCTGTCTCATGCGCAACCCCCTTCCACCCCATTATAAGGATATCACAGAGAACACAATACCCCCCGAGCTTCACCCTCAGAGTACCACGATCGAGTACCAATTGGCACGCCCGGCCCCAGCACCTCCGATCTTCCTCTATGTTGTCGATACCTGCCAGGAGGATGACAGTCTCCAGGCGCTCAAGGACTCTCTCATCATGAGCTTGTCTCTTCTGCCGCCCAATGCGCTGGTCGGTCTGGTTACATACGGAACCATGGTAGGCAAAAACATCATCTGTGAGATACAGGCACGAGTAGATGGATATTGACCGGTTCATATAGGCTCAAGTACACGAACTTGGCTACACTGAGTGCGCCAAGTCCTATGTTTTCCGAGGAAACAAGGACTATACCGCCAAGCAGGTGCAGGAAATGCTGGGTCTCGCTCATGGTATCCGCCCAGGTGTCCCTCAGCAACAACCAGCTCGCCCCCCTCTTCCTCCGGCCGCGCGATTCCTCCTTCCCGTTCAGCAGGCCGAGTTCCAAATCACCAGCATTCTCGAACAATTGCAGCATGATCCTTGGCCCGTTGCAAATGACAAGCGTCCCCTGCGCTGCACTGGTGTCGCTCTTAGTGTTGCGGTTGGTCTGTTGGAGAGCTCCTTCCAAAATGCTGGTGCCCGTATCATGAACTTTGTTAGTGGTGCCGCTACTGAAGGACCCGGTCACGTCGTTTCACCTGAATTGAAGGAGCCTATTCGTTCACACCACGATATTGACCGCGATAACATTAAGTACTACAAGAAGGCTGTCAAGGTAAGTTTTGCATACTCGTTTTTGCCATCTCTGTTCGCCGTTAATGGGTAATGTAATACAGTTCTACGACGCCCTCGCCAAGCGCGCTGCCAACAACGGACACATTGTCGACATTTTCGCTGGGTGTCTTGATCAAGTTGGTCTTCTGGAAATGAAGAACCTGTCCAATTACACCGGTGGTCACATGCTTTTGACAGACAGTTTCACCTCCTCTCAGTTCAAACAATCTTTTGTTCGAGTATTTGACAAGGATGCCAATGATAACCTTCTCATGGGCTTCAATGCCTCACTAGAGGTCCTCACAACTAAGGAATTGAAGGTTACTGGTCTGATTGGTCATGCCATCTCTCTTAATAAGAAATCGAGCTCTGTCGGCGAGACTGAGTGTGGTATTGGAAACACTTGTGCCTGGAAGATGTGCAGTATCGACCCATCTTCAAGTTACGGTGTTTACTTTGAGATTGCCAACCAGGGTGGCCCGGCTGCTGCTCAACCCGGTCCTCAAAGAGGTATGATGCAGTTTTTGACATACTACCAACACTCCTCTGGGCATTACCACCTACGTGTGACTACTACTGCTCGGCCTCTGAGCGGACCTGCCGGTGACCCGACATTGGCACAGTCCTTTGACCAGGAAGCTGCCGCGGTTCTCATGGCCAGAATTGCTGTTTTCAAAGCTGAAGTGGACGATGGCCCAGATGTCCTCCGCTGGGTGGACCGCATGCTGATCAGGCTCTGTTCACGCTTTGCCGACTACCGGAAAGATGACCCAACATCGTTCCGATTGGAAAAGAACTTCACTCTCTATCCCCAGTTTATGTTCCATTTGCGACGAAGTCAATTCTTGCAAGTCTTCAACAACTCCCCCGACGAGACCGCATTCTACCGCCATGTCTTGAACCACGAGGATGCTGGCGACTCACTTGTCATGATTCAGCCTACCCTGGATTCCTATTCCTTGGAGGCTGAGGGAAGTGAAGCTGTACTGCTGGATTCTGCATCCATTCAGCCACAGCACATTCTTCTACTTGACACATTCTTCCATATTCTCATCTTCCACGGTGAGACCATTGCCGAATGGCGCAAAGCTGGCTACCATGAGCAAGAGGGATACGAGAACCTCAAGGCTCTTCTGGAGCAGCCAAAGGAAGATGCTAGGGTTCGTACTTGCCCTTTATCTTATTTCTGACTCCGTACGGACGATGATGCTAACCTAAATTTTATAGGAACTCATTGCCGACCGTTTCCCTCTTCCTCGATTTATTGTCTGTGATGCCGGTGGCTCTCAAGCTCGTTTCCTTCTATCCAAGCTGAACCCATCGACCACTCACACCACCGGAGGCTATGGTGGCGGTGTGTCGTCCCAAACAATTTTCACCGACGATGTCTCCTTACAGACATTCATGGATCACCTGATGAAGTGAGTTTCCTTGAAGAGCCAACACTCCTCAGTCGAGCTTATACTAACCTTACAATAGACTCGCCGTATCCGGTACCAGCTAATCAGTTACGAGATGACAGCCATGAGAGCAAAGGGCGGTCTTCGACCCCTCGGGTCTTGTGTATCTTTAGCGGTGATTTAAAGTTTCATTTTTTGCTTCCATATAGTAGTAGATTGAATGGATTGATACCAATGTCCAGCGCCATATCATTTACCAAGACCCACTTGTAGCAATTTAAAGAGGGATGAGGATCAACATGCTACCGGAAGAGGCAAACACCTCACCCAGTGTGGATCATAAGGCATTAAGGCACCGGCGTACATAGTCATGATGAAATGAGCAGTCACGTGTTGTTATCGATAAGCTTATAACGGGGCTTGCCCTAGTTCCCTCTTCGGGCCTCTCGCTTACAAGCCCGTTGTGGGTCCCTGCGGCAGGGAAGATAACTTTCGTTTTCGAGTTCGCAAAGTTTTCTCTTCTCTTCTTCATCCACCTTTTCGACAACCCAAGGACAGATCGACTACCTTTCGCACTCGCCATGCGTAAGTATCATCGCCTGGGTAATTCTTTCAATGGCGGCTAACATAAATCTCTCTACTTATAGCTCCCAAGTTCGACCCCAATGAGGTGAAGATCATTCACCTGCGTGTGACTGGTGGTGAAGTCGGTGCTCAGTCCGCGCTGGCCCCCAAGATTGGTCCCCTGGGTCTGTCTCCCAAGAAGATCGGTGAAGACATTGCCAAGAACACCGGTGACTGGAAGGGTCTCCGTGTGACTGTCCGTCTCACCATCCAGAACCGTCAGGCTGCTGTCTCCGTTGTTCCCTCCGCCTCTTCCCTGGTTATCAAGGCCCTCAAGGAGCCTCCTCGTGACCGCAAGAAGGAGAAGAACATCAAGCACACCAAGTCCATCCCTCTGGATGACATTGTCGAGATTGCCCGCCAGATGCAGCACCGCTCCATGGCCAAGTCTCTCCAGGGTGTTATCCTCGAGATCCTGGGTACTGCTTTCTCCGTCGGCTGCCGTGTCGATGGTCGCAGCCCCAAGGATGTCTCCGACGACATCAAGGCTGGCGAGATTGACGGTATGATCCAATTACCCCTTTTTCCCTTCCCGGGAACATACAACTAACGATTACCAGTTCCTTCCGAATAAATCAATCTCCAGGACGAAAGTCGGTAACGGTCTACTTTTGTAACGGCCTTGGAATTCCGCATAAAAGCGGCGCTAGTTGCAGAATACGAATGTTGCCCCTAAAAAGAAAATATGTTCATGAGTCATGACCTGATACCATTTCTTTTTTTTTCGCGCTCTTATGCGAGTGTCCAAAATGAACAAACGGATTCCTCGCATGCTTCTCCCTCGGCTGTATAGTTCCATCCATACCTTTCCCTCCCTCTGCTCTTTCATCTATCTCTCTCGCTGCATTTTCATGGCGATGAGGATAGTGAAAGTTTTCTAGATCCGGTGCAAGCTTCGTCTTCATACCGAACCCTTTACAACACTCTGGCCCTTACCGTTCCTTCCTTGCGAGGATTGAACAATCATACTACGTGGTTTAGGCTTATTTTAAGTAAAGGAGAGCAACTTTGACCCATTACTCACCGCGGTATCCTTGGGAGTTGGCCTCGTGTCGGTTCCCGTGGGTGCAGTGGTCCATATTTGTGGCCAACATCTCAAGATTCAGACTTTCATCTGGAAGTAAAACTGTAGTTCATTCCATGTCTTGACACGGAGCGTAGAAATCTGAAAATCAATGAAAATGATCAACAAATTCCAATCTCCCTTTTGTTTCCACTAAATTTTCTTCCAAGCTAAGACCTGTTTCATAAATCGTGGGTTTTTCGCGGACGTCCGCATTGCCAGTCTGCACTGCTAGTTGTTAATCCAGTGTGATGTATCGTGGCGTCTTAAAATCTGATATCGATATGCTTCGCTTCGATAGTGCTATTTGCTCTGCTGGTATACTGCATGGGTTCGGCTGTTGTCGCCCGAATCATGTACTGTATCATGTATCATGCACTCCGTACACAACATCCATGTCGAGCTTCAAGCTCAAATGTTTTGATATTACTGTCGATCATCCTGGCGCCGTGGGTCTAGTCTCCAGGATTTTGCATGCTCTACACTAACACGAGGGCACTATACCTACCAGCTCCTACTACTATACATGGATAATGACGATGCAGCCCTGGAGTCCGGGTCACTGACATAACACATATAATTAGTAGTAGTAGTAGTAGTAGTAGTAGTAGTACCTACTAAGCCCCTCTGAAATGCCTATATACCATGCACGTATGGCGTATCCCAACAATTCAAGTTCCTGAAATATACAAATGCCTAATTGATGCATGGTTCAAGTTGAGATCGATTCTCAGATTCTGAAAATATTCCAACGGTCGCTAGCACACCGCATCCGTTTTCCCCATGCACCATCAAACCCAGGGCCCGCTGAGCAGGCTGGTGGTGCCTAGGCTGAGGTACTTTCGTATCCGAGTTGCCCCCTCCTCGTGGCGATGATTGGGCGCCTATTACACGGCTGACCAACAGAATACGACAGCTAAACTAGAACAAAAGTAGGTCAAATTTAAATTTATCCCAGGAAATAATATAGAAAACAAATTAAATCAAAGAAATAAAAAAGCAAAAAGCAAAATAGCTTTGGAATAGGTAGCTAGATATAAATAACTGATAATAATCCAGACTCAGGCTCTGATCATGATGATTTCAAATCACCATATCAGCCTTGAAGCACCCATCACTACTACTAGTACTCCGTCCACGTGTTAACTTGAAGTCCTTTCGTACTCCAGCTCCCCGGGCTGCTCTTCGCCCCCAGATCATTACAGTGGACTCACCGAGACGTGTCCGGTGTCCGCGTAGCTCAGGCTGGAGCATTACTTTGGCGTGTTCACAGGCCCCAGTAGGAGCCCACGGACCGTCTCCACCACCCCGACGATCATTGCTGGTTGGCCTTGATAGCACATAGCGGGTGATGTTCCTTGGTCCACAACGGACTTGGGTGGAGACAAAAAAAATTAAATACAAGAAGTGTGGAATTTATAATTTTATTTTTTGTTTACTCCCTCATAGTGTGTGTCTAGTAACAGCCACATCCATAAGATGAGTCTAGTCCAGATTCCAGAGTCCAGCTGCTACATTAGGGAGCAGCATTAATTCAAGTTGACAGGCTGTGACAGGCTCAAGTTTTATATCAAGCCCATACTGTTTGTACTAATAATAATAAATCCTCTTGCCTAGTATGCTAAGTAGGACCAGTTTCGGGAATCCTGGTGTCATGGTCGGGGAATATTGACCGTTGGACAAATAGCAGTTGGAGATGCCAGGTCCCCCCTCTTTTAGTTCAGGGATTTTGAAACCCAGGATTCCTGATTTGAATTTATTTTACTTTTCTCTAATATTATTACCATAATAATGTATAATTTTAATCATCATTCATGAAGCCGTACCTGCCGGCGTTTGGGGTTCCGCCCTGTACAACCCGACCCGCATGCCAATGGACGTTGTGTAGGGAAAGGATCCAACAGATTGTCAGAGTGGTGGGGAAGAGGGAAGAGAGTTTGCCGATCATCAGCAATAATTTAAATTTTATCGAGCTTCGATTGGCACCCGAAAATGCTGGCATGTACAGTATTTCCCAGTGTGACCCGGCGAGTGCAGGTACGTATCATATTGACACATGGATCAAGTTCCAGAGAAGAAGAGGAGGTATGTCGAGTTAGTATGCCCAGGTTAGTATGCCCTGTTTCGACTAGTATGAACTTCAATATTGACTGATAAAAGGGGAGAGTACAGAACAGTGCACCAAAACCCCGGAATTGGACCTACAAACAGGGGCTCTGCGGCAGTTTCTAACATGATAACATATTAATATTGAAAAGGTTTCGGGAAGAGTGAGTCAAATAGAAAGACTAAGAGGAATAGGAATACGGTCTACGGTATACTTTACACTTTAAGGAGCGGAAAGTCTCCCAGGGTCATGGCCAGCACCTAATATGATAGTAGGCATATTCCCAGTGTATCTAGATAGTAGTATATCGAGAAAGTCTCTCCTTTCTACTCTGTATATCCTAGACTCTACCTAAGATCAGCGTAGAGTCAGAAAAAAAAAAAAAAAAAAAAAAAGAGGGCCAAGTAAGCACGAGTCCCACTGTGGACGAGGGCTCGACTCGATCATCACAGCGGGGCGTCACCGATCCATGACTAGTTGCGCAGGCGGAGCCAATGGGCCACTGACGTTGGCCGCCGGATGGAGCCTGCATGGCCAGAGAGAGACGCCGTTGGATCAAGTGGGTCTTCATGGGGCTGGAGGAAGCAAGAAGGGAAAATGAGAAGGGGGGAAGAAGATAATGGTAATTATTCAAAAGAGAGAGGGAAAAATAGAAATTCGTGAAGTTATAAGTTATTAAATAGTAGAAGTAGAAATAGATAGTATAGGGCAAGTACGGTGAAGTATACTGTATAGGCAGGTGCTGCCATGTTAAGAGTCCGTGTACAGATCCGCATCCTTCATCTTGCAACTTCCCCCCACTCCAAACTCTTGCCCCATCCTCAAGTGGGTTCAAGACACTTTCTCACCTTGAACCTGATGCTGTTTTCTCTTCTTTCTTCTTCCCATTCTCTTCCTATTCTCCCTCCTTCCCCTACCCCATCTCCATCTTCATCCGCGACACTCATCCGCCCGCCTCGCTCGACTCCCTCAATAACTGCCAAGATCGCCTTTTTTTGCCCTGGTCCCGCATCCCAGAGCTGAACCCCCTTCTCCCTTGCGTCCGGCTTCGATCATCTTTAAATCCACTTGGCCTCTTGCATCTCGCATCCTTATCATCGCGTGGATCGCTTCTCCCTCGATGACGAGATTTCGAGCCTGCTGAATCCCCCCATTCAGCATTGCTTCTTCTTTTTTCCCCCACTGGTGCAGCCCCATAATGCGGTGTCGGAAACGCTACAAGGAGAATGCTTGTTGATTGTCCACCTCTGTGAATCTACTTTGGTCTGATAATTTGTGAATGTTGATTTCGCTCCGGTAAATCTAGCAAGATCCCCCCTGGTTCTTGCTTCTTCGACCGCCCGATCGCTCTATCAAGAGGAAGAGGGGGACTGTGGTGGTCGAGGAGGTGAACAAGAATTGTACAGACCTCTCGAAAAAAAAAGAAAGAGGAAGAAAGAGGGAGACTCGAAAAAACGAAGAAGAAATTATCCCGACAATATTCAATCTCCCAGAAAAGGAGAAGAAAGCGAAACCTACAAAAATATGTTTCCAACTGTCGCGCAGTTCCCTGCGGTTCAGCCGCACCATCATCTCCATCATTATCCCCCCACGATGCTCTTAACCAACCCCCGTACGACTTGAATGACCCGGCCCTCTCCGCCCGTAATGACTACTCAAAACCCTTCTTTAATCCGACAATTTCCCGATCGCGTCTTCAACTACCGCACCCCGTTCAGCGCGTCAACTCTCGCGATGGCTCGGGCTCCAGCTCAAACGCATCGTCCGGTGAACATGCATTACGAAGGAAAACGCCGAATGGGACCCTAGCAGCAGGCTACGATGGAACCCCCGGTGAACCTACGATTCAACCCGCCACAAAGCACATCCTAGTTTCGCCGATGGAATCAGGGCAGTTCTTGTCGCCTCAAGGTTTACAGGCCGACACTTGGCAGTATGCGACCGTTGATCCCTCGACCTCGAAACACATGAACTTCCCTCCAATCTTCAAGAACGAGGTGGGGAATCCCATCGCAGCCCAAGAAGTGGTTCAAGATGCGAACGGCACAAGCTGGGTGCGCCCAGTGAATTATCCACCTGGGATTGACTCGGTGCTGAACCAGAGCTTACCTTTACAGGCTCCCCAGAGGTTCATTTTGCATAATGGTTCCTACATTCCGACCGTGCTCCCTGCAACTCTCCAGCCATGTGTAGGACCTACCGCATCGGCAGGCACTGGTCCATTTGGTCCATATTGGCCCGACGGCGCATATATACCATATCGCCCAGTAGCCTTTCGTGAGCCGCGTTTTGGGTCGCCGAGTCTCCACGGTCCGCCATTTTATGATATCAACCAACCCGCATTTAATCAACAGCCTCCTAACCCATCGCATTTACCTCTTGATAACCATGCAGATAATTCGTTCGGGTGGGCGCAGTCCCAGCCTGCGATGCATACACAGGAATCTATGATGAAAAATCAGACTCACTTCCCTCCACGTCACTCAGAACAGCTACCTTATCACACCAGAGTCTCTCGCCCATTACCATCTTATTCAACCAACTCCCTCCATGCTGAACCGGTAGCATGGAACACTCGTCCCCCAGCATCAAGTTTCCAGACATCAGCACCAACAGTTCCGGTGAATGTAGAATTCAAGGAGAAGATTCTGTCTTGGGCACATGGGGTATATGTCGATCTTCTTGCAACTATTCACCAAGCTCGTCGTAATAGTATGTCGAACGGTGGAGCAGATGGACATAACTCGCGGTTTTTGAAACCTAGTATCTACCCCAAGCCGCCTCGTCAGCCCGGACTCGACTTTTCGCATAATCAGAATTCTTCGTCCGTTCCATCTGAAATCCCTCGTCACAACAGTTATCCGTCTAGCCAGCACGATCTGCATCGGCAGAAACTAGGCCTGCTGTCTGCCAGAATGAACAATGTTCAATCAAATTCTCTGCAGAGCCAGGTTCACAATCGGCGCCCTTCATTGAACCAGTTTTCTCAACCTCCTCGAGCTTCAGATCCACGAATGCGTGATATTGGCCGCGTTCCTGGAACACCCTCTCGTCTTTCCGGGTCACTTTTGAATGAAGGCTCTCCGGTTGCTAATGGAATGTCAGCTTTGGAAATGTTGTCTCATTTGTGCCATGAAAGTCGTTGGGAATGGATTGATGGCATGTTGCTTGGAGGCTGCCTTGCTTATGGTCTTGGGGACTATCATAAAGCTATGCGATGGTATTCTAGAATCATTGCACGCGACTCAACGTAAGTATCAAACGCGTGGGACGATTTTCTGTTTAATTGGAATAAGTATGGCTAACTATTGAAACAACAGACATGTCGAGGCTATATCTAATCTGGCAGCAACATTATTGGCTCTTGATCGACGCGAAGAAGCTCTGCAGAATTGGTTGCGTGCTGTCAAGCTGCGCCCGAGTTTCTTCGAGGCGGTCGAGCATTTGGTAGGACTCTATTGCAGCAGCCATCGCGGAAAAGAAGCTGTCAATATTATTGATTTTGTCCAAAACTCTTTGCGTCATCCAAAAGATGGCGATTGTTTCAAAACAGACGAGCATGCTAGCGAACCCGAGAGTGATGCGGAGAGCAATGTCTCCGATGTCTGCATGTATGACAAGGCATCTTTTGATTATGATGATGACATGGGACGTGTTCAAAGCTCAAAGTTAGGTTCCCCCGAAGCCACGCCGGTTGGCTTTGCGACCAGCGGCTACGCTATTCCAGGATCTGACAATGGCCGCATGCTTGCATTGGTTCATGCCAAGGGCAATATGCTTTATGCTCTTGGTGAAAATGCGGCGGCCGCGGCAGCCTTTGAAGACGCAGTTCTCATTGCCGCTGGAAGAAGAAGACATGGTATTCAAAGTTTGATTAAACAAATCTTTGCAGCTTTCTCTCCCGGGCCAATAACGGGTTACCAGCCCGAAGGAGCCAACGAGAGTGTTCTATTATATCCAGATAGAGCACTACAAACTTCAAAATTGGTATTCCAAGCCAATGGAACCCCGCCAGGTCTCCAGTACGTGTCAGAAGGCATTTCGCGAAGTGCAGCTATATCAACCACTAGTAACTCCTTACTTTCATTGGCAAAGATCTATCAAGATGGCATGGCAACCGTGTCATCTGGGTCAACTCCGAGATCCGCTCCTGGAGTGCGAGACATTTTGGCTCTTTACTATTTGTCGCTTTCTCTCCAGCCGAGCCCATCCACGGCGAACAATGTTGGTATATTGTTAGCCGGCATCCAGAACAACCCCCCAGCTCGGGGTCTTGTGCGCCCCAATGGGGAAAGCCAGCATCCCGAAATTCCGGGGGTTGTTCCGGGCAGTGGCATATCCTTGGCTTTGGCGTACTATAATTATGGATTGCATTTGGACTCCCGCCATGCGCATCTTTATACCAACCTTGGAAGCTTACTCAAAGACATTGGTCAACTTCAAGCTGCTATTAAGATGTACGAGCAGGCTGTTCAGTGTGACGGTAATTTCGATATCGCATTGGCCAACCTGGCCAATGCTGTAAAGGATGCCGGCCGAGTCAACGATGCCATCTCCTATTACAAACGCGCCGTCAAGGTAAACCCAGAGTTTGCCGAGGCCGTGTGTGGACTGGCGAACGCTTTGAACTCTGTATGTAACTGGGTTGGTCGTGGTGGTATCGTCAATGGCCGCGGATTTCATGATCGGTGGCACGTAGACGAAAAAGGCATGCTTCGAGATGCCCAGAGTAACGATGCAGGAGGTGCTGGATGGATCAAACGCGTTGTCGACATTGTTGACCGACAGCTTCGTGAAGGTGAGTTCTGGGGTCGTGGCATATTGACTAAAGGCACCGCCGAGCAACTTTGTGCTCAGTTGGCAACTGCCTTCGACTCGAGTCTTACCACAAACCGAAGATCTTCCCTAGCAAAGATCCTCCAATCTTGGGCAGGCCAAAAATGGGAAGGTTCTCGCATTGTTCGATTGGTTGAACGAGCTATTCGATACATTACATGGCAATGGTATCAGGATCGCTATGTCTATGGTAAAGACTACCCCGTTTCCAGGTACCGTCGACCTCAGCTCCCCGGAGGCCTCAGTGCCCCCAATGCTCCTACAGTTCTACCATTTCACACCTTCACCTGTCCATTATCGGCCAAGCAAATCCGTCAAATCTCACAACGCAATGGCCTCCGAATTTCAACATCAACTCTACGACTTCCCTGGCTCCCTGCGACCGTCTACCGGCCTCCCGCGCCTCCAAACCCAGCTTTGCGTGTGGGTTATGTGTCGTCTGACTTCAACAATCACCCGCTTGCTCATCTGATGCAATCGGTTTTCGGACTACACAATCCTACTAAGGTGAAGGCTTATTGCTACGCGACCACTGCTAGCGACAAATCCATTCACCGCCAACAAATCGAACAAGAAGCACCAGTTTTCCATGACGCCAGTGGATGGCCTGTTGATCGATTAGTCCAGCAAATCGTGGATGATGAGATTCACATTCTGATTAACTTGAACGGCTATACTCGAGGTGCTCGTAACGAGGTGTTTGCTGCTCGACCTGCTCCAATCCACATGTCTTTCATGGGATTCGCAGGAACCCTTGGTGCAGAGTGGTGTGACTATGTTCTTGCCGACCAAATCTCCATCCCTCCAGAGACTCTGAGCCCTGCGCGGCGCACTACCCGCATTGAGGATCGGATTCTTGATGAAGACAACGGCGAAGAACTTGAGAACTGGGTATATGGCGAGAAGATCGTTTACACCCGCGATACCTTTTTCTGCTGCGACCACCGACAGAGTGCTCCAGATGCAGGAGAGCGACAACTTTCCTGGGACGACGAACAGATGCGACGTTGGAGGATGCGCAAAGAACTGTTCCCTAAGATTAGTGATGATACTATTATCCTTGGCAATTTCAATCAACTCTACAAGGTAAATAAATATTCCTTTGGTACCATTGCTTTGGTCCCATACACACCTTTCCTTTCAGTCCATCGCATCATACTAACCTCTATCTTTCTAGATTGAGCCCTCCACCTTCCGAACATGGTTGCGCATTTTGGCGCGCATTCCAAACGCAGTCCTCTGGCTGCTACGTTTCCCCGAAACAGGCGAACAAAACCTACGAGACATTGCTAAAGCATGGGCTGGCGAGGAAACCGCATCACGAATCATTTTCACAGACGTGGCACCAAAGAACACGCACATAGCACGAGCAAAGGTTCTAGATTTGTTCCTCGATACTCCAGAGTGTAATGCACACACCACGGCCACCGATGTCCTATGGAGTGGCACCCCGCTACTCACATACCCGCGGTACAAATACAAAATGTGCTCGCGTATGGCGAGTAGTATTCTTTCCAGCGCACTCCCAGGTACAGAGGCTGGCAAGCGAGCGCGGGAGGAGTTGATAGCCTCATCTGACGACGACTATGAAAGCAAGGCCATTCGGCTCTGTATGGATCTACAGTACATACCTGGCGGCAGTGGACTCGCAACCGGTCGCCTGGCAGACATGCGACAGATGCTGTTTTTACAGCGATACACGAACAAACTCTTTGACACGGCGCGTTGGGTGCGTGACCTCGAAGATGCGTATGAGGCTGTTTGGGCGCAATGGGTGAATGGCGAAGAAGGCGATATCTGGTTATGATGTGCACAGCGATATTATACCCCTTAAGCGATTTTGTTTTTTACTTGATGGTTTTGTATCTGGGACATTTTGCATTCTATTCTATTCTATTCTTATGCCTTGATCTTGATCATTGTTTCTTGATATTTTCTCATAGCATTTGGGTCATGGAATTTCTTTTTTTCTCTCTTTTCATTTTATTCATCTTATTTTCATTTCCTCATGGAGCTAGACGTGTACACGTACGGTGCGTTAGGAATACGCAGGAGTTCTTGCCTCTCAGTTTCTTCATTTACAATCTAGATGAATTGATTGGACTTGCTTCTAAGTCCATGAAATCCGTCCATTATATTTCATTCCATCTATGACTTTGCATTGTTCAGAATTTCATAGAGTCTAACATTTGAATCAAGTCTATAAATTGGTCTAATCGAGTCTTTAAATCAATCCCTAAGTTCAGCCTCATTCAACGCCTCATAGAAGGCTCAAACTTGAACACGAAATAGTATACCAACGTCTAAGCCTCACTCCAATCTACAAGGATGGGAACCCGAGGTTCGCTCTAAGAAGCACACCCCCAAACGCCTAGTCACAGCTCAGTATTCCAAATGTAGTAATCCTCGTGTTCCATACGGATACGCAGCCCCCAAATCAGACTCAATTTTCAATCTCAGAGCAAATCACCGCCCGCACACGATTCCCCAAATAAGCCGTCTTCTCAACTGAGACCAGATCTAACCAACATGATCTACAAATCTATTGAAAACCGAGATACCCTTGTACAGAGTAAGCAAGTTCTAATAGGTCTGTGGAGTTTAAAGCTAACCACATGTGCCCAGTTTGTAAGTAGCTTATAGTTCCGACTCAAAATTCCGACAAAGAGCGGTGGGTACAGAGACTCCTAAACATGTAGTTTTGCTTACTATGGATGTCTAGGTTTGAAACTAAATCTAACACCATGTGGACATGAAGCTCCTGCGCACATTAACCTTTCGTGTGTATGTACACAATTTATTTATGGAGAGACTCAATAAAAATCCTGATTTCTGTGACTTGGGCTACTTGATGCCCAAGAAACAAGGAATAAGCCTGTATATTTAGCTCCAAACACATAAGTCATGATCTACAGAGCATACGAGAGTGGAAGGTGGAGAGGAGAAAGCAAACCATGTACATAAATGGCCTACTATATTCTTTTCGTACCGTAAACAGTGATATCGTGTGATATGATTGCATTGATACATATGATCCGATCCATGTAGACTGAATGACATACTTGTAAATAGTCATTGACAACGTCATCTTGACCCAGCACCGAGGTTCACAGAAAGTGACAGGGGTGAAGAACAAAGAAAGAATCCCAAGAACATGAAACTTCGGACAAGGCCCCATTCAGGGTAATACCGACAAGGTGGAACTAGTGAAAAAGAGCAAGGAATAGTAGTCTGCTTCTCGAGCAGAAGATCTAGGATCGATGGTTGAAAATCCCGCTGCACCCAGTAGGCGGGTACCTATGTACGCTATACCAGGATGGTGATAGTGCCTAGATTGCACCGAGATCCTCCGTGGACCAATCAGAGGCGGTAATAGTTGTGTTTTTGGGTGTAATGCATTAATACGTGTGTTTCCACTCAGTTGGGGGCCTTGTGTTTATTGACTTGGTTTTAGAGTTAATGGGGTTGAGGGGGGAGCTTGTTTGAGTTGAAGCAAGTGGAATTCGATGATATGATACATGATGATGATGATACCTGCTTTGTATTTATGATTCTGTGGGATATTTGTGTTACTCCGTGGTTTATTTAGAGGGAGATCCGTGCTCTACAATGTATCCTGGAGAAATCTCTATATCTATCACGAACACCCCGTAGATCGTAGAAGACATCTGGATTTTTCTCATCGAACAACAATCGAAGCGGGAGAACAACCTGACAAAAGCCGATATCTGGATCCGTGGATGCATCCAGCCCAAAAATGGGACCTCGCGTCAAGACTGCCATGTCGGGCGAGAAGACGTCGATCGCAGGATCCGATGGATTGGAACTCAACGGCGAGCTCATGAATCCTAGTTCCAGGGCTAATGTCATTTGCACACACACACATGCTCCGTCTCTGTGCTTCTGTGCCGATAGCTAACGCTACAATCGGGTCTCAACCCCCTGATCCCTTCATAGTTCATCCATGGTTCAAGAGATTTTTCCATTTATTAAGAGTACATACGTAAGGTTGCCTCCACTCCTAGCCGTTATTAACGGGTTCACCCCCTTTTTCTTTAAAAAGGATAATAAAAAAACAATAAAAAACAAGTTCATGAAAATTACGACAGAAGAACAGTTGAGATCTCTCCTTGGCACCCGTTTTCCCGTCATCGCGCCAGTGCCGGTCGTTGGTCCTGGCGGGCTACTAGTGGCCGCCGGTCAAACTCTACCAAGTTTCTTTCCCTTGGGATCCTGTCAAAGGAATCAGTGGCTATTAAAGTTTCATTTCTTTTTTCATTTCTTTGTTTGTGACCCCCTCTTCCAAGTTTCCTGAAAGAACCATCATTCCGAAGTTCCAACATTTTGGATTTCTTTGTTCGTGTTTGCTCCCAACAGACTAGATAGGTGACTGCGCAATATTTCCCTATTCTCTGGTTCTTTCATATCATTTTTTTTCATTCTCCGTTCATCCTCGTCCCGTCTCTGGGGTCCACCGTTCCACCGGGTCCGTTTTATCTGATGTCCGATGTCCGTATGTATTGCCTGTCCATACGGTAGAAAGTGGAGACCATAGCCTCAAGTCGTGTTATGTATTTTACCGGGCATTTATGTACGGTGATGTTGCTTAATTCCAAATCATGGATCTCCACTAACGCTTTCCAGTAACTGCTGTGTTGGGTCATTTTTCCCCCCAAATCGTGTCTCCTCCGTACTGCGTATAAAACTAGCGTTTCAATGTACAAAGACCGCCCCTATTGATTTATGTGCCGCCCCCCGGGGCCTCGGTGATCGTCTGTAACGAATTATTCCGTATTGAGTGTAAAGATTTCCTCGATCTTGGGTCCTTCCTACTCTGTCAATCTGTAAATCTCGGTGGATCTGCGATGTGGGTGTGATGAAATCCAGATGGCTGGGTTTTTTGGCCTCTCGGTGGCGGTTAACGCCTCCAGCTGAAAAACCCAAACTATTTACTCTTTAGTTTCATATTCTATTATTATTTTTTATTAATTTATTGAGTAGGTCATATTGTGCCTTGCCGCCTTGCCTTTTGATTGATTCTCAGCTTGATTATCTTCATTTCTTGCGAAAGCACCGAACTACTCCGGTCGGCCAAGGTCATGATGTGATCCAGTTGACCATCTTGGAGACATGATTGGATTTGAAATGTATACTTTCAGCTCAACGTAAATCGGCTATAGAGGTGATTGTGGAAGATGCAATGGTTGGCTGAGATTAATTAGATCTTTATTATTTTATCAGCCACGAAGGAAATTCAAGCGCTCGACTTCTGTACTCTGTACCACCAGAGTACTTTTGACTCTACAATGTACTTCCAACATTTCCATACCTGATAATCCATACAATACCCTTTTATTCTCATATCCTAGGTGCTACTGGTGCTCACCGTACTCTTAGTGGATCCAACCCACGAACCACACAAATCCACAAACACAACAAAATACCAGTAGAACCGATAATCAACCGAAAACCAAAAAAAAAAAAAAAACATCCCAAAACTTCGCCCAGGATTAATTCATCTGTACTTCTTACTTCTTACTTTGTACCAGACTGTAACTCGCCAGTGATTCGCCTCCGGGGCGCCCGGAAACGACCCCCGGGACATGCATTACATGCACGAACACCCTCCACGATCCCAAAACTGCCCCGCCGTTCATTCCGTCAGACATGACCAGTCCGATCGACGCATGGGCTCATTGGCTGCTCGCGCTGGAGACCCGCGGGGAGGGGAAGGAGGGGCGCCACCCTCACGCAGGTGGTGTCGCATCGGTCAACGATCGGTGGGATGTGGTTGGTGACGAGACCGTTGGGGGATGATTCTCCTGCAGCTGCGGACGAACCTGTGTGGGTTTTAGGATTTGGATTGTTCTTGAGCATGGAAGTTGTATTTTTCTCTCGTTTCTCCCTCTCTCTTTTAGTGAATCAATAAATTATTCGTGTATTGCAGTCAGTTTCGTACTCAATTATCTACTTATCTACTACATAGGCATTAAATAGTAGTGCATCGCATATGTACATGTAGAGTGCAAGTACTCATTGTACTAGTAAAGGTTGGTTCTCTTAATTTCTATTTCCTTGTATTCTCTTCTGCCCATTTTACTGGCTTTCGTCACTTTGCAGCCGAGGCCAAGAACGCTTTTGTATGAAAAAGGCGCCGTGCATAAACAGTGGGTCCTGTGCCTCACTCGCCCTTGATACTTAGGTGTTCGGGGGGGGGGATCCCTTACGTGTTGTCCTCGTGAGTGATGGGTGGCGCATTCCTCGTTGTGCAAGCACGATGTTCTTTGGATGAATTAATCCACGGAATTTAATTGACGCTTTGCGAATACTGTATGGACCACGGAATCCCCCCGGAGCAGATGGTGGCCAAGGTTCTTAATGTATTAGTAACATACAGAGTATGTACATAGTCTGTACATGTAGCTCAAATCTGACAGATGAGATGTGGATGGTATCACCCCAAGTAAACTTTAGAACCAGATTCAGATACGCTGTAGTGGTACAACTCGTCGACTTCTCCCAAAAGAGATCCCTGAGTACAAGGTACTTGCAGTGTTGGGGTACAGCCCATGACGATGGCCGGCGTACCATGGTTAGTATTATTATCCTCGACTTTTCGGGTCCAACTTCAAGCCGAAGCGGAGCTGATGTGCGACGTGGAAATCAGGTGCTAGAGATAGTCTGATCGATTGATTCCACTTGTGCGATGAATTTGATGTATTCGATTTGCAGATCTTGGTTCCCTTGTCATCGACCATAGGCGGGACATGAGTACGATCCGTCTCCAGATCCTCGCACGGTCTATCATTCATTACACAACTAGTTACTAGTATCTCTACTTGGGAACATTCAAGTCTTCATCAAGTCATTCATCAATTCCTATGTGCAGGACAAAGGGGTATTATAGAAAAAATGCTAGCTAGTCGCCAAATCAAATCCAAAAATCCCAGTGAGAAAATTGCCATTTCTGATTCTTGTTTCTGAAGTCTCCGGTAAATTTCTCCCCTTCGTATCATAAAAACTCCACACTGGGAACAGTGTGCCATGAAACAGCCCAAATCAGGGTTGAAACCCCCAGAAAAATTAGACGCCCCCACATTGACCGAAAAAAAACACCCAGGATTTGAAGATCCGAACCATGGTTATACACATTAGGAGTACAAAGGAAATGTCGCCATAGAAGAAATGAGAAAATAAGAGAGCGAGTGTGGGGCTTTTGGAACATGTACAACTTTGCAGGGCTCAATGGCCCACGCAAGAAGGGGAATAAATAATGTCAAAAGGTGAATATGAGACATAGAAGCAGACCAAAGTAAAAGAAAAATCGTGAAATCATCAGAGAGATAGGAAATGAAATCTCAAGAAAGAAGCACCGCTTTTTGTGATAGAAAAATGTAGGAAAAAAGGAAATAGGTGCGGGCTCAGTTCAAGAGATTGTTGACACCCATGCGGGTGTCACGAGGAGCCTCAGGCCTGGAGTAAGGCTTTGGCAATTGCTCTGTAGGTTGATGCCACGAAGCCAGCATAGGCTGGTGCTCCATCCACCGCCGTTTGGAGGCAATGTCAGAGAGCGACTCCAAAGAGCGAGCGGGATAGCTAGGAGAGTTGTCGACCACTTGGACTGATGCAACACTGGAGCGACGAATATCATATTGCACACCAATAGGCAAGGGCAGAAGTTGAGGTGACGGAAGTGTGCGAGGAGAAGAGGAGCAGACAGAGTTGTGATCAGAAACCATGGAAGGAGGTTCGACGGATGTAGCATTGGAGGCTTCCGAGAAAGCAGGTGAAGTCAAAGGAGTTTCAATGGGACGGTTGATCGAGGGAAGAGTGTAGATGGGAGAAAGTTGGCGAGCAGCAGACAAGGATTCCCGACGAGAGTGGACGAAGGTATCGTTGGATTCTGAGTCGGCCCATGGACGAGTGCTGAAACGAGGACGAATAGGACTAACGACTGAAGCGCGGACATAAGGCGCTTCCACACGGCCTGTGTTATAAGTGCGAGAGGCTGTAGGTGTCGAAAGACCGCGGCGCTTTCGGTTCATGCTGCCATTCCACCAATTCTTAACTGCATTGTCGCTGCGGTTGCCCAAGCGGCGGGCGATCTCTGCCCAGCGCTTCCCCATTTCGTCGACCAAGCGCTCAATCAAAAGCCCCTCATCTGCGGAAATTGGCTCCCGGTTCAAGGATGGCTTGAGGTTCTGGTGGAAACGTTCCCGACATTGCTTTGGTGAACGGTAGTGCATGTGTTGAGAAATGCGAACCCAGTTGTTAGGACCTTGTTCGCGCACCAGCTGGAGAAGTAGTTGGTCTTCCTCGGGGACCCAAGGTCCACGGCGGTGAGAGGGAGCCATGAGTAGATGTATTTATTGTATTGTGTAGGAGTGGGAGGTATAGAAGGGTTGAGGTTGTATTGTATGGACCGGAGGTGTAGGTTGGTTGAAAGATATAAGTTTGAGAGAGAAAGTCTGAAGGAGGGGGGTATATGGAAGGATGATATATGAAAGGAGAAAGAGATGCAGATTTCAAGCCACCAGCACGGCAACGACAATTATATCTGCACCCAGGGGGACGGGTCCAACAGAAAATGACCAGCTCCACCCGCACACGCTATGGGAAGAAGATCACGATCCAAGATCTCGGAGCTGACAGTTCGGAACAATACTGTGGCATTACGAGGAGGTGGTAATAATGAAGTGATGGGATTTTAATAAGATTTAATAATATTATTTTAAAGGATTTTAGAATTTTAATGATTTTATTATGATTTAATCAGTATTAATCGGTATTTTGGGGGGGGGGGGGGAGAATATTATTTTAATTCTTTTTTTTTAATTCTTTTTATTTCCCATTTTTATTATTTTTATTATTATCATTATTTACTTTACTTCCCCTACACAATTACAGTATACAATCTACAGTATAATACATAGTATCCCGTCTATGACCATGGTACTCTCCACCTTGTCCATATGGACAGTTCCAAGGTTTGCCAGACTCATGATTAGGAAATGATAAACAATACTATTAGTTCCTGTGTTTCATGCACCAAAACACAAATCTTGAAGAAAGAAAAAGCAAGTAGAATCCTCATTCTCATGAAGACTACCAACCACTCGAGTCTGTCCCCATTAATCCCAAAATGCTCCGGCGATCGTCAGTACGACCCGGGAATCCGGGCTGAGGAAAATACCGTAATGATCGGAGGGATCGACCCTGAGCCCCGTCGCTGGAATTCCAAATCACTTCTCGCGCTAAGGGAAGCTATTTTGCTTAGGTAGGTCTGAGCGTCGGGGATGCTAGTGTCGGTCGTGCAGAGACCCAAAGCGCTGGTTCAGATGCGGGTGTAAAAACCATGAAAGAAAAAGCAATTCTGAGAATCTAGACCTTGAAGAGACAAATTATGGAAAACATTATCATTATGATCTATTGATATAGACTACGATTGACCATGATCGCATTCTGATCAGCATTATTTACTAGAAGCCATCCCACTTACAGATACAGGGTTCAGGAGGACTCCGTCTAAGTTAATAATAAATAAATAATCAGTTGCCAGTCATTGTATCCCTGGCCCCTTTCCGTTCTTTTGGAACAAAAAAAAATCAATTAAGGGAATAATAGTATTAATTATTTTTATTTTTGTTTTTGTTTTTATTATTACCCTAGAAATTCGTGGCTGTCAGGGGGGAAGAACTGACAAGCGAACGGAGACGCGGTTAGGGTCACAATTCCCCAGGCCTCAGCCAGCCATGCACGACACTAGCTCGATCATGACCGATGGATGTACAATCGGTCAGAAAAGTCCGATGATTGGTCCGATCGGCGGCTCTGTGCCAGCAACTGCTTCGAGATCTACAGTGTTGGAGTGGGTTCAGACAGGAGGTGGAGTCCGATCGTGACAAATTCCCTACAACCGGGTCAGTTGAGTAAAGACCAAGGGGAATATGGGGAAATACAAATGAAAATATATTAGAAATTTACTCAAAATTGTAAAAATACTAGCATTTTAATTAATTCAAATTAAAATCCCTCCCACACAGAAATAAGACACGGCAATCAGATCTCACAACGGCCACTCCGTAATCTCGCAGGAAGCTCTCTCCAAGCTTCATCTTTTGCCCCCTTTTTCCCTTCCTTTCTCCCCCAGGTCCCTCCTCGAGCTTCGAGCCCGAACAAGTCCGACGTTTGTGGTGCCTGACGGGGAGGGAATGTGAATCAGCGAGCGTTGCACACCAGACATTTGGGATGACTTTATTTTTCTTATTTTTCTTATTTTTGTTCTGCTCGGGTTTCTGAATTCCCTAATTTACTAATTATACGAAGTACAATGTACTTATTCTCTCTCATAATTACTTGAGTATAACAAACGCCCTACCAAGTGTACTCCATACGCTACGTGCTACTAGGATGAACAGAGTATACCTTGCAGCGCTCAACTATCTTTCCCTCCCTCCCCCCTTCGTTAAAACAAGTTTTGTTGTTTCTTCTTTCTTGCTTCTCAATCCTGGATACTTTAGCTTCGGTCCCCTTCCTTTCTCCGGCATCAACCATGCAGCAAATGTAAGAATTAGACCTTGACTTATGCACGTCCATGCAAAGACCAAAAAGAACCCAAAGAAAATTCTTAAATTCCACAATTCCCACAAAGAACGAAAAAGAAAGAGAGACGCATGGACCACCTGCCACCTGTCACGGAGTGCCAACTGGGGCGATCCCCGGGGAGGACGTGACGTGATGAAGGTGCTGTGGTCGTTGCGGTAGATCGGAGCTGATCACTCGGCTGCACGCTGCGCGCAATGACACCTGAACCCCTGGTAACCAATCTATGCAATCTATTTCCCGCGTTGTTTCCCACTATTCCCACCCTAAGGACATGGTGTACCAAACTCGGGATCCTCAATCACCTCGAATTAGCACAATCTGGATGATGACTCCGAAAAAAACGCTGTACAGATCACATTAGTTTCACACTCGCCCGCAATCAAGGCTAGAGGGATCGCCCTCGTCTCAGTGGACATTTCCTGGTTCGGCGTCTTGCAGATAGACCTTTCCCCACAGTGGAAACCGTTGAGCATGCCGTAGCAAGCCACACCTTTTTTTGCTTTTTGTGTTGTCCCCTTTAGGGCCTTGGGGGTCTTTTTCTGTTTAGTGTTGGTGTGTTTTACCGTCGTATCACCCCCCACCTTAACCGGCCCACTGTGACGAACCTCTTCCTGTGGCTATCATTGGTCCCCAGGTATTTGTCATTGTTAAGTGGGGCTACTATTTCAGGCAAGGATGTGCTGGGCGGTTAACAACAGTCGAGGGAAGTAATCTTAACGACAATTTAATCTATTCCAGACGGCCTACCCGCAGAATAGCCCGCAGGTATAAACGAAGTTATGGGTAGAGACTAATCTGTATATGTCGTATGCTCCGAACGATATCCATGTTATCTTTGTTTTATTTATTTATTTATTTATTTTATTTCCATTCGTTTGGATTTTCAAGCACGGAGTACACCGCACACCATGATGATCATGAAGAATGAATCGACAAAAGTACGTACATAGTACCCAATTTGGTAGCTGGGAATAGTCAACAATGTACTCCATACGAAGGACTCCGTAGTGGAGCTAGACTCAAGGATTCGAATTCGAATTCCATTGCTTCTCAATAGTGTTCTGTTTATTGTTTGACATTCATAAAGGAAAACCAAAAAATATCGCCCCCTTTTCCACTGAATTTGACTTTATAGGATGTCAAAAACAAGGAATTCTCGAACATACGGAGCAGGTGTGGGCTACATAATCGACAAGTTTTTTTTTTTTTATCACTTCTTTGAATGCAAAAAAAAAGCCACCTGGCTGGGATCAAGAGCTCCTCGTGTGGACCGATCGGATTTCCATATTGCTGGGAAAACAAGAAAGCCGTTGTCGCCGCCCATGAACCCGTACTCCTGGGATGCAACATCGACTAGGGTATACCCGAGATATGACCTGTCATTCTCCTGTCACTTCCAACCAATGAGAACACTGAAAAGTATTTGAGATACATCCCTGTCGCTCTGCAGGGATCACCGCTGATCGCGCCCGTGCACGTTGAGACCCAAATCCTCTGCCGTCCCCTTTTCCAGGACGGAGTATGTCACTAGTGATGTCCTAGCCCCAGACTCAATGGAATTCCCCCGAGAATGAAAGATTCCAATACCAATAGTACGGCAAAGCTCGGGTGATTCGACCAGGGAACCGGGACTACATGGTTTCCAAACTATGGTCTCGTATAAACAATTATAGGGGATGATTATATTTGGATACAAAGAAAAAGCAGTCTATGGATGTCTTTTCGTTTTCTGTGGCTTTTTCTAGCCATAAACTCCATGAATTATTGTAAAAAGGGGGCAAGCATTAAATCCAAAAATAAAAATAAAAATAAAAATAAAAAGTCAAAAGTGGACCGAACGGTTTCGCATCCGCTGCTGCTTCCTGACTGTCGGGCCTGCGTGGCGGGCGGGGCCCGAGCGTCATTCTGAACAGTTCAGATTCCAATATTGAAACTCTGGAGCAATTGATGAAGAAATGACTAGACAATTGCGATATTGAAGCTTGGATGTTGGAGATTTGTTGCCCATTCGTGGAAACTGTCACGAAACATTGATGGGGATTTATTGACTACTGGTAGTTTGAAATACAAAGTAGTAGTACTTGCTAGTATGCGTAGGTTATATATTTTACATTGACAGTTACTACTACCTACTACTATACACATGTATGATGGCAATCGGAACAACCTCCCCCAATAAACCTTCCGGAGATATACCTAGGAAGCACGAGGAAGAGTTGTATTTTGAACCAGTCCCCTTAGAATCAGGAGAAACTTCAATTTCCTAATAGATCTCGCGGCCAGCAACAAACGTCCCATGCAGGAAGATAGATAGCCTCTGCAAATGGTGACTTCATACCCCATCGGGCCCCTGATTGGTCCGTGAGCCTCGGGCTTTAGATTTCGGGGACCATCAATGTATGGTGCCCGATCTGTGAGAAACCGTTCTGGCACGCGCTTCGGGGGGTTTTTACTTGGCATCTGGGAAGCTCCAAAATTGTGCTTCCAATCATAGGGGGCTAGTATGCTCTTAGTTCTCTACACTCCTCTCTACCTCGCAGGACTAGGCAATATTTGGGACCAACAAGCATACTTGTTTTTCTTATTCGGGTGAAAGGTTGCGAACCACCATTGTCCATGTACTATGTCTAGATCATCGAGGCCAGAACCCAGTACTCCGTACGGAGGATGTACTCCCTAAAATTGTTGGTCAGGTGGTGGCGGAAGTCGCCATTTTGTACTATACGATGCGCTGCATGTTATGCCGTCG